TGATATTTTTCGGCACTCGCACTCTCGGATCGATGACAGCAATAAGGTGCATGGGAAAGCAATGGGCTTCCAAACAAGGCTAGAGGCATACATACTTACGTATCACATATGCGCACGCCGGGCTGCAGAACATTGCCCCAACTGGAAGGACCCTTTTTTTTTTTTTGCTCGGGTCGTTCACGCCGCCCAGGGTATCAAGTCTCAGGCTGCGAAACTCTTGCCCGTTCAGGAACGAGGAGGCGCGAGACTGGCGGTGGGCTTACTACCGTAGTCTACCCTTCGTCCTCAAGAAGCGAGGCGCGAGGCGAGAAGGGAAAAAAGCAGCCGAGTAGGGGAGAAAAGAACCGGGAAAAGCAACGAGGTTGGAGCCACGCCGCATGCTCGCCTGCGTTAGCGAGGGGTCCGCGTCTAGCGAACTCGAACTAAAACATGAAATAAAAATAATACAAAAAAGACCAACGGTAAGTGTCCGAGAGAAAATCTTTTGCCCCGCGCGTATTTTGCGGCCAATCACGGCAAACTGGTGACATTTCAAGGGAGGCACCCCGACTTCCCTCGTTTTCGTTGCCGGGAGTCCGCCCTTCCCATTCTTGTCTTCCCTCTTCCCCCTCTCTTTTCGTCGCCGGGCTGCGGTGTGTGTCGTGGCTCTCATTTCTTCAACGGACCGTGGTTCCCGTAGCGGAGCTTGGACGTTCGACTGTCCCCCCCAAGCCGATCTGGGTCCTCCCGTTCCTATCGCCAAGACACGGTGCCAAGACCCGGCGGCCATAGGGTTGGGGTGGCCTAGTGTGGGTCTGGGTTTCGGTGATTTCGGGCCGGTGGGATGGGGACGGGGTTGGGTACCTTTTGGGGTTGGGTGCTGCGTTGGGAGTTTGCTTGTTGCATGTGAAAAATCTTAGCATGTGGGCGCTAACTTTTGACACTGCTGAATGGCGGTTGCAGGTTCGTTTGGTCTTTGATAATGCTGTTATTGCAGAGAGCGACGGGCGAGCCTCGAGATGACGGCCATGGCAAGATGGCGATTGAGAGGTGTCGCGTGAGTCAACGTCTCGCAAAGATGATGTTGTGAATTGCGGGCAATAGGTAACGTGGGCAGAAAACAACGTCTTGTGTCTCATCAACATGGGAGGTGGGTCCGACTTGCCTTGACAAGAAAGCCCTTTCCGCCGGCACTGATTTTTCCAGTGCAAGTAATGACTTGCCAGTGACAGCCGAAGCTGCAAATGAACATCAGAGCTACCCTCGAATAGTCTCAGGCGCAGATATTCCGACTCTCGAGATGGTATCTGAATGGCTGGATGTGTTGTCTTCCGAGCTTATAATGGCGTACCTTCAGGTTTCGCGGCTGTTTTCCATAACGCCAGACGATGTGTGAATACAAGGGACCAATCCCCACCGAATGGCGGGAGTATTGTGGAAAGAGTGCAATGTATATCCAGGACTCGGGGTGGGTAGACTACGGTAGCTTGCCGAATGTCGTGTTGGTTACTAGTCTACGCACGAGTCATAAACGCTGTGATCATGCCGACAAGCATGGGTCGATATTGTCTCGCTAACGGGAACAGCCGGTTGTAACTGAAGCTGATCTTGGTATTCTGCATCGGTTTATCGGTACACACTCTGTTGTGGGAGACTCGTTGTTTCTTTTCGAAATCTGAAAAAGTGGATGTGTTTAACCAGAGCGTCGTTGTGGGGGGAAGACAAAACAAGAAGACATCAGGAAATGCTCCTACGCAGGCCTTTTGTAAAGGCAACTAGTGTTCCTCGATTTTTGACGCAAAATACGAGGTTAGGAACAGCCATGCGGAATATCTGGATTGTTAGTAATGTATCACAAGATTTTGAAACCTGATCTAATTTTGACAGTTGATCAACGTTTATCTTCTATCCTAAGATGTGGATCAAGCTTGAAGACCTACAAGAGGTACTCAAACCATTCAAGTTCTAAATTGTTTATCTCACAATAGAAATCAATTGAACCGAGTGTATATAATAGCCTTTTCTGGTTCTGATTCACCGTGGTCTACCACCCACTCTAGAACATTTTTGAGATGGAAATTTAACTCTTTAAGAATACAAGAACAGCTTGGCAAATACTCCATGGCCCACAACTACGAGAAGCCGTTTGCTATCTACACTCAACTCTCATGACAAAAGCAGGACTGGATATGTCAATAATAAGTCGCGTGAGGAATAAGCCTCACGACTACAGAGTGGGAAGCTATATTTAGTTTAGTCTTTCTGTCTACAGCTACGGTTGCCCCACGTACAGGCTCAGCAGCGGCTGGGAGCACACAATTTGTTCAGACTTCGGGCCCTTACCGGCTCTCACGTGATGCCCATTCAAATCCACGCGCGAAAAGCCCAATTACGACCAATCCATTACATGATAAAGATATGGACGCAATTGGGCGTCCAGCATGTTTTTTGCCTCGTTTTGAAGCATTTAGTCAAGTTCATAGGGTCTGTGTTCACGAATGCGCCAGAGCAACAACCATATCATCTCTGGCGCATTACATATTTATTTTGGTGACAATTATGTGGATGGCAAATGATCTAGAAGAAACAATGGTACTGGGGGTTTTGAAAGCTTCGGTCGCGTTATTTGGTTAGTTTGGCGAGGGTGCTAGCCGGACATCTAGTCGTTTATGGGACGGGGAATATATAAGTTTGTCGATGAATCGCTGTTGGAGACCCCTTCGTTGTTTTATACATGAGATGTTTCGCTTTGCTCGCTTTTTACCGTGCAGAGGATAAAGTTTTGGTTGCTTCATTTTATCCTATTATAGAGCACACCTTTCTCTTTTTTCTTTCTTTTTTCTTTGGTTTTTCTTTGCAGACTTAACCCCTGAAATCTTTCAACATGGGCGCTCACACAAAACGTTTTGTTGTCTCCATAGCCGGGCAATCAAATGAGCGACTCGCAGGCGAGTCCGACCAGCGTTCAGCCACCATTACGAATCCAGACGTTATAGACTCAACTTTGTAAAGAATCCTTTGGCATGCACATAATGCAAATGATCATAAGTGTTGCACGGACTGGATTTGCAGGCTTGGAGCTAAGGGCGCATCTCGGCTAGCATCATGCCTATATACAGTACTGCTGGAGAAACGTCCCACATCAACCTTGAACTTCATCTTGGTCACTTTGGGTACCTTTTGGTCGTTCTTCCAACCTTCTCCGTTTGGGTTTCCGGCCTCGTTCTGCTCTTTCAATGAACCTAGTCGATTCATGCATCTCTTGTGTAATCAGTCGTAATGAGCTAATCCTGCTAGATACGTATGTGTATCGCTTGCTCTGTTGTCCAAATACGGATAGGAGGCCGTTTTGTGCCCGTTGATAGTAAGAGACGGCTTTAGCTGGCTCGCCTAGCTTCTCAAACAGAGAGCCAAGGCTCTCAAGTATGGTCAAGGTGGAGACATATGTTCCTGTAATATCGTGACCTAATACCATTTCGTAGCCCTGAATAGCCCGCTTATACATCGTCTCAGCATCCCCTAGTCGACCCTGGTTTTCGTAGAGTACACCTAGATTGCCGACTGTGATAAGCGTTGACGTGTGGTCTGGTCCTAATGCCTTCTCGTAACCCTGAAGTGCCCGCTTATACATCGTCTCAGCATCCCCTAGTCGACCCTGGGTTTCGTAGAGTACACCTAGATTGCCGACTGTGATAAGCGTTGACGTGTGGTCTGGTTCTAATGCCTTCTTGTAACCCTGAAGTGCCCGCTTATACATCGTCTCAGCATCCCCTAGTTGACCCTGGGCTTGGTAGAGGTTGCCTAGATTGCCAACTGTGTCGAGCGTTGACGTGTGGTCTGGTCCTAATGCCTTCTCTCTGCCCTGAAGTGCCCGCTTATACATCGTCTCAGCGTCCTTTAGTCGGTCCTGGTCGAAAAAAAGATCGCCTAAACTATGAGAGAACCCAGGTCCTTCTTCATCTAATGCATCTATTGCTACCATTATGATGCATCGGTCTGCATGTTGTATGAGTCGTCGATGTACGAACCAAAATCCATGCTCTCTCTTGGTTGGGATGTGAGACGCCACGCATCTTATCGCTGTCCAGGCCATTTCCTTATCTACTCCCGTGTTCAGCACATATGCCATCCATGCGTGAACACATGAATGCACACTGTATCCCTGTGAGTCTCCTCCAGTGTCTTTCTTAAGAGGGTTCGCCTCTACTAGTCCATGGTTACAAAGGACTCTCATCACTGTGTCAAAGTTAAGCTTGTCTTTTGTCACGTCTTGTAGCCAAACAGGCCCATCTGAACCTGCCTCATGTAGCAGCTCATACCACAGATCCTCATTATCGAAATATGCCCACAGCTGGAGGAGCATAGCTGCCCCTTGGCTTTGCTGCTGGATGTGTCCATATGAGATTCCCCATGTAGAATATAACGCTTGATCGTAATCTAATAATTGCGGACTCTCTTTCTGCAAACGCAGCCAAGATTCCTCATGCAATCGGAGGTACTCAGTACAGGTCGTTGAGACTTGTTTTAAGTAGGCCCCGGCCGTCGAGAGGGCAAGAGGAAGTCCATCGAGGCGTTGTACAAGGGTATAAGCACCAGGGTCTATTTATTGGCTTAGTTTCACTTATGCTCTCATTTTTGCTGACTTACCTTGGCTAAGATGAGCACGATTAGATGTTGAAGCCAGTATCTCTAAGCTGTCTTTTACATCCCTTAGCTTACTCAGTCGAATCAACTGTCCGAGTTCCACTGTTGAGGACCGGGTTGTAATGATAATGGCGCCATGGTCGGCTTCAGGGAGGAATGGGCGGATATCGTATGCTCTAGAATCTGCTATTTTGGGCTGGCTTGATTTGCCGGAACCAATTCCAGCATCCTCAACGACACACCTGATACTTTGGTCTGCACCGCGTTGGCCATTAAATCTAATATCATCATAGTTATCGTAGATGACAAGCCAGCGGTTGTTCCCCGGTTCATCTAGCCAACGTTTGACTGCTTCTATCATTCCGTTGGAGTTTGGATTAGTCACGGCATTTTGCAGATAAACTACAGAAGCGTACTCCCGCAGGATTCGCTGAGCCAATTGTTGGAAATCCTGCTTTAGTGTTGTTTCGTCTTTCGCGTTAAGCCAAATAACGGCAGAGTTGTCGTTACGATGCCGCTTGGTGTAAGCGATCGCCAGCTGAGTTTTTCCCATGCCGCCCATACCGTGCAGCACGGCGGTGCGACGCTCGCCAGTCCACTTCAACGCATCATGCAGAAGTCCGAGTTCTTCGTTTCTAGCAACAAAGTGCTTCGCGCCGGTGACTCTTAGCAATCTGGAGCTGAGTGTGAAAGTGGTCGGACTCAATTTGGCTACGTTGATAAAGTCTCTAGTTGAGTCCTAATTAGCTGCGAAAAGAGTGACACGCAGTTTGTTTGGTTGTCAGAAAGCATCTTACCGCTGTATTTCTTCGACGGGCAAGTGAAAAAAGAGCTGCCGTGCGTAAGCAGCTGCTACAGCGGCCGCATACCCGTGCCATTGGTCGTTCTTATGTGAATCGCAGTAGTCGGAAATACCACGCACAACAATGCAAGGGAAATCAGTAAGAACTCCTGCTGCCTCCATCTCAAAGCACAGCAGCTCGTACTGCTGGGCCAATTCATCTCTCAGTGTTGCATCCTTGATCACCAGCTCCCCAGAAGCTATGTTACCTCTGTGCACAGTGATATACATCTCCTCCTCGTCGTCCCTTGCTCTGGGAATACGCTGCAATGGGTCGCATCCTATGTTACAGGGTATCCCTGGTTGTAGATGACGGTACTCTGAATGATAGAGATGATCGTTCTCTGCGCAGGGATACCGGAAATGTCGAAGGCGGCGGCGGTTCGTATCGATTCGCTTCACATTTTGCTGCACTGGATCGTTTTCTGCCCTAGCCCGTCGTACTGCTAAAGCCTGTGCGGCATTGAGCAGGGCTGCTGGTGGCGGCGCAAGCGCACCCGTCCGCTGGAACCGACCCTCTCTCGCTTTCCCATGGTCGTATTGCACTGCGCCAGAATGTTCGCCTGTAGGCTTGCTGACCACTACATGACCCAACCGGATCATCCCGTTGTCTGTCTGTACTGGAACCCCACCGCCAATACCAACTAACAGACCGAACCTAAGATTAGGAAAGGTCATCTTCATCTGTGCCACAACCGTTGCTGCAGGACAGTTTCCGGTTTGATGAAGGCCTGCGATAATGACGTTGTGGCCATTGATGCTTCCCAAACTGTAAACGTTGTGGTCTGCGGCTGGTTGTGGCAAAGCCTCGTGTTCCTCGTCCAACATCTCCATCGCAGCAATCTGCTCCACCTCCAGGGGACAAATCCACGCCACTTTGTACTCGCCGCGGCCCAGTTTTTTCGCCATTGTCAGCTTGGTATGGAATTCGTAGTGGTTATATCGTTCGGTCACCGACTTCTTCTTGGTTGTGATCTGCTGCGATGTTGAAAAGAGGGGTAGCAGGCGCTACCATTCCGTAGATACGATAACGGAGCGGAAAATGCACAGAGAGGTATAGATCGAATGCAAGATGAGTCGTGGGACGTTGGTACTGTGTAGATGTCAGGAAGAATGAGGGGTTTATGTACCGTTCATTGGCAGCCTTGTGCGGCTGAGCAGCGCGTCGCTGGCGAATCATACTGATCACAGGGGTTGCCAAGTTCAGGCAAGGGTCATGTCAGCAACACCATCAAACAGTGAACAATCAACGATAAGGGTCTTGTTACTATTTGATAGGTTTGAGAATAAAATGATAGTAATAGACAAACCTGCCGCTGATAGTCCCGGCTCTTAACAAACAACTACGCAGCACTTATCGAGACCAACAGGTGGTGTAGCATTATCAGGTTGCACCGCGAATGTGCCAAGAGGTCATTCATGAGGAAGAAAAACCAGACTTGAAAAAGGATAAAGCCTCTTTCGAGTGCTAACAACCATGTGGATCTCTTAAGTGACTAGGTTGCTGGGTTGGACAACACGTTGAAGAAAAGCATTTTCAACGAAAAACCAGCAGTCCTTTTGATCAGAACAGTTATAAACTACCGGAACTCTATTTACCAAGTTCTGGAAGGGTCTCGAACTGTTAAAACAGAGCCAGAGACTGGTCTTATGGAGCGTTCGGCTAAAAACACTATGGTCCAGAGACCACTGCCAAGGCCTTGTTCCGGATACAATGGCAACGAGTCAAGACCGTTTGGCTCAGGCCAAACGGTATTTGTAAGGTATCCCGCCGCACTAGGATGGAATTCTTTTTGCCACATTTGGTTTTGTCGGGTCATTGTGTCTGGCAGGATGGATCGAGTAAGATAACAACCTGGCGAAGGAAGAAGATAAGGCTATGTCCCAGCGAGCGCGGCTTTGAAGTCATCTGCAACGCTGAAGCATTCGTGAACACGGTATTTTCTATCGTCGGCAGGCTGGGCTTGACTGTTGCAGGCCGAACTCCCCATGACATCAAGGTATTCAGATTCCCAGCAAACATCTAGAGGTTTACCAGCTGAAATAGCGGGCTCCGTGATGCAGGGCCCAATTGGCTGTAAAAATAGAGTGTCCCTGTTAACAGCGACTCCGAGAATGACTGGGACAGCAAGTGAGCCAGCGTCTTGTTCTCAAGGCAGATAACCAACACCCCAGAAATAAGGCGCGTATCAAGTGCAAAAAGTGCGGCTTGCCTCGGAACTCGTACTGCTGAATTATCGCCCATAAAGACTTCCGCTAATCAAGAGCGCGACAACGCACCGAGCTCCCTCCTCTAAATTAAGGGTGATCCTAGCAAGAACGAATCTTTGCTTCTCTACGGTATCTTTCAGAGTGCTGATTTTTCAGAATTTAATTGATTGAATCATCCATGTTGTATTTTTTCTTGCTGGCACCCTATCTGCCGATATTATCGTGCCGTGAGAGGGCAGGTGCATATGTATTTAGCCTACATTGTGGGTCAGATCTGTCCCAGCTCCGTGCCTGACATGGCAAGCTATTGTATTTCACCCGACAGACTGATAGAAACACCCTTCGCCTGGACAAGATAAATGATTGTACTAACGGCCGGTTTATAAGGGTGGTTGAATGTGGAATTTAACCAGCAGTTCCTAGCCGACGTTACCCCTCAGTTCATCTCAACGTTTGCAGTCAGAAATCTCTGGAGCCGTGGCGTCCCATGCCAGAGGAAACGGAAACGGCGAGCATTAGCGGCCGACGGAAGAGCGGAACGGCCCACTTCATACTTTTCAATGGTGAGACACATCTTCAAGCTTTCTGATCAAGACCTTTGGCTTCCACCCATGCTAATTGAATGCCCAAATGCGTCGACTGACAGAGTATACCCGGCGACAAGACGAATATTTGAGTCAAGCTGAACCTTGGTTCGGGGGGAAGCGCTTTAGTATGGATGCATTCAGATATCAGCTCCAACCATCAACTCTCTACAGTTGAGATGAAGGCATGTGAGCTGCATCCACTCATCGATCATTGCCTGTGGTGCCAGCGGAACTCACAGAGAACTCTAATTGTTTGCAGTGACTTGAGACTTTGGCCTATATAAGCATACCATGATCTTCAGAAGTTAGAGAACCTAGCACGTCTCATTATCAATCATATATTTGCCGCTACTCAGCTGATCTATCTCTTGAGCTATCCCTGTCTTGTAATGCTCAATAAAATCATCATGGGCGGAGTCATTACAAGAAAGAACATCCGGAATCTGTCAAAGACGGAACTGGACAACCTCGTTAGGGCATTTGCTGCCATACAAAAGCTCCCTGCCGAGGATCCTAATTCCTTCTTCGTCATTGCTGGCTACCACGGGGAGCCATTTCGTGGTGCGGGCTACGCAAACCCCGCATGGTGGGGAGGATACTGCAACCATGGCAATGTACTCTTCCCGACCTGGCACCGAGCCTATCTTTTGAGACTCGAAAGAGCCCTCCAGAGTCAGGTCCCCGGCGTGGCCCTGCCGTACTGGGACGAGACCGAAGAGGCTACCCTGACAGGGGGCATTCCCTCAATCTTCCTGGACAAAGAGTACATGTTTTCTGATAAAACCTCCATCCCGAACCCACTGTTCTCGTACAAGTTCCAGGCCAGGATCACGGATAGGCTCTCGCCCATCCCAGATGCCAACTACACCAAACCGGTAGGCTATGAGACTGTCCGCTACCCCTTTTCCGGGCTCGTGGGCACCCCGCTCGACGCCGAGGGCTCCTTCATTCACAACGAGGAGCTGCGCAAGCAAGGAGAAGAGGCAACGAATGAGATGCTAAACGACAATGTCGTCACATGGCTCAACTACTCCTCCTTCTACAACAGCGAAGGGAAGGAGGTGCCCGCCGGTATTAAGGATAAGTACTACGACTGCCTCAACGCGCCCAACTACACTGTCTTCTCTAACGGAACCTCTGCCCAGCGCTGGAACGACGACCGCCTGAACGAAGACGGCTTTCGACCCGTGGTGCCGCTCGAGTCCCCGCACAACTCAATGCACCTCGCCGTCGGCGGTTTCGAAGTGCCCGGCGAGAGCAGCTTCGACCAGATTGCCGGCGCCACTGGCGATATGGGAGAGAATGACACCGCCGCCTTTGATCCCATCTTTTACTTCCATCATTGCTTCATCGACCTCATGTTCTGGCGTTGGCAGGTGAAGAACAACCAGCGGGAAAATCTGGAAATCATCGATGGGTACCCCGGCACCAACTCCGTCGACAGCCAGGGCCCTACGCCTGGAGTGGCGGGCGGGACATGGCTCACCCTCGACAGCCCTCTGGAGCCGTTCAAGAAGCCTAATGACCCGAAGACGGCCTATACATCCAAAGATGTTGTCAACATCACCAGGCTAGGCTACATTTACGACAATGTCAATGCGCCGCCTAGGGCTTGCCCGCCGCGCAGCCAGCCATCCTCCATCCTGACTGTCGGCAACATCAACCGCGCCACCATCGGAGGCTCATTTGTCATCTCGGCTTGGGCTGTAAAAGAGAACGGAGAACAGTTGTTGATTGGGACGGAGGCTGTGTTGAGCCGCTGGCACGTTGCTGGGTGCCAGAATTGTCAGAATCACTTGGAGGTTCGGGCACATATACCGATTGAGGGCTGGAGCAAAGAGGAGGCCCAGAAGATGCGTTTCGAGGTCGGAGTGCATACCCGGAAGTTGAAAGGGGGTGCCCAAGACGGGAACCGGTCCCAGCAGGGAGCTAAAAATCCTACGGTTAAACTTGGGGCTGACCACATTTGATGATGAACCGGTTACCGTCCAGTTATACGACACTAGTTGGCCAGTATGTATGCGTGACAGTTGTCATGGCTATGGCCTTCGGCTTCCATTCTCTGCCAGATTATGAATAAAAATTCTTATGATCAAGAGTTAGGTATCGAACTTAGGGTCTCGACCCAAGATAATAACATAAGAGTGAAAATTCGCAGCACGGTACCTTCTTGATTAGCATTGCTCCACGAAACCCCCGAAATATGGGGGCTACAATCTGCTTGTCCTAGGTGAATCTTGTACAGTGCAAGTCATCACTTTGCCAAACACGCCCCATTTCGATGACTTGGATGGCTGCGTTGTTTGCGATGTTCACTTGAGTCAATACAATGCTTCGGATACAATAAAGCATGAAGTCATTCATACAGGCGAGCCCTTGATTGGCGCAGGAAGGTTCGATAGAATTGCGAATAACCGCATATACTTTAGTTGCACAATGTACTCCCGAAAAGCTTATTTTTACACTGTGAGTGCGACGTCAACATCTGGCAAAGAATTAATTGACCACTATACACCGTGTACAGCCGGTTGACGTCGTATTTCGTAGCCAATACCCACTACGTCTACTAGTCCTGTCAGAATGCCAAGTCACCTACTAGAGAACAGTTTCGCCTCTTCGATGGCTTTTCGACTGGCGGATGCAAGTGATGATGCCACTGCATATGCAGACCAAACAGGATTGCCCACGGGCTCCTCCCCTTTTGGAGCCACTTTCCCCGTCAGATCTCAGGACCAAGATTTTGGAGTGGCGTCCTCTAAATAGGAAACCGGCCCACTGTACTAAGTATATGCTTGCTTATGCTCCCCTGCTGGGGAGCTTCGTTTTGGGGAGGTGGATACCGCATGGGACGATTCCCCTTCCAGTGGGAGAAGAGGGAAAAGGAGCACTCTGTGCGGCCAGGCGTTTACGGACGACGCTCCCGGAAAAACGAGCAAAATAGGCCAGACTGGCACCCCTGAAACCCCCGACTGCCAGTACCTACGCTCATAGACAGCACCGTAATTTCCGTGCAGCGGAGCCAGACATGCACGCCCGCCTGTCGGCCTGTTGCGAATAAATAAATACTCGCTTCCCCACATTGCTATGCAGGATGTTCTCGCCCTGTCTCTTAGTCGCGCGGGTGCTGCTAGGGCCGATTGAGCGTGTTGAAACATCGTGGCTGCAGTCTGCCAAGAAACATGGGGAACGACGAGCTCGACAACGAGCGAATCAAGGTCAAGCTCTGCCACGGGTTCATCTACTTTCGGGTGCCGTCTTGAATGGTCTGCTCGGATAGCTCCGTCGTGAAGTAAGGTAGAAAACAAATGCAGTGCCCACAGCCATATTCTGTCTTTTGTTCCCATGTTTGTTGTTGCTCTTCTTGATCTCCTCGTCAAGACCTTCCATTCTTTTACCCCCCTTTCACTCATTCGGTCCCGGGGACCCTTGTCATTCATTTCTCTAACCCCAACTTTCCCTACGGCGCAAAAATGCTTGCCTCTCCCATTCTTTTGCTGTCGTCCCTGGTGGCCGGCGCATTCGGCGCGGCTCGGACCTCGCCCCCTTCCGGCGCCCTAGTCGTTGCAAAGTCCGGTGGCCAGTACACCTCCGTCCAAAAGGCCGTTGATGCCGCCAAGTCCGGCAGCATCATTTTCATCCAGCCGGGCATCTACAATGAGCAGGTCCTGATCCCGGCCAACAAGGGCGCCCTCACCATCTACGGCTCCACCACCGACGACCAGGATTACTCCAAGAACCAGGTCACCATCACCAACAGCCTCGGCGCCGATAAGGCCGGCAGCAACGACGCCTCCGGGACCCTTCGAGCCAAGAACAACGGCCTCAAGGTCTACAACATCAACATCGTCAACTCGCGTGGCAAGGGCGTCCAAGCCATCGCCCTCAGCGCCTACGGTAACCAGCAAGGCTACTACGGCATCCAGGCCAAGGGCTACCAGGACACAGTCCTCTCTAACCAGGGCAACCACTACTTCCACGGCTCCTACATCGAGGGCGCCACTGACTTCATATTCGGCCAGAAAGCCATCGCTTGGTTTGAGTCCTGCACGCTCGCCATCAGCGGAAAAGGCTACATCACCGCCAGCGGTCGCGATTCCGAGAGCAACCCGTCATGGTACGTCATCAATAAGTCCACCGTTAAGGCCCTCTCCGGTGTTGGCGACGGCCAGACCTTCCTCGGCCGCCCCTGGCGCACGTTCGCCCGTGTTGTTTTCCAGAACACCGACCTTGGCTCCGTCGTGAACTCAGCCGGCTGGACCAAATGGGGAAGCAACCCCACTAACAACGTCGTATACCGCGAGTATGCCAACACTGGCAAGGGCGCCAGCGGCACCCGTGCCAGCTTCTCCAAGAAGCTGACCGCTGCAGTCAAGATCGGTGATGTTCTCGGCTCTACCTCCTGGATCGACTCCAAGTACACTGGCGGCAGCAAGGCTGCGAGCACCAGCTCCGAGTCTTCCACCGTGTCCCAGCCCGCTGTCGTTGCCGAGGCTGCTCCTTCCAAGTCCACCCCTACCACTCTGCAGACTATTGTCAAGGCCTCCTCCACTCCTGCTCCCGCGGTCGCCGCGGCTGACGACTGCAGTGGTGTTGCTGACGGCTTTGCGTCTCTGAATGGCGGCACCACTGGTGGCAAGGGCGGTGAGGTCGTTGTTGTCAAGACCCAGGCCGACCTCGAGAAGTACGCCAGCGCTTCTGGCAAGTACGTCATCAAGGTATCTGGCAAGATCACCATTACTCCCAAGGGCAAAGAAGTCAAGGTTTCTTCCGACAAGACCATCGTTGGTATCGGTGCTACTGCCGAGATCGACCAGGGCGGTTTCAACCTCCAGAACCAGCGCAACGTCATCTTCCGCAACATCAGGATTGGTGAGTTATTATTCAATGACATTTGGTAGAATACGACGACTAACACGGACTGGTAGGCAACACCTACGTTGAGGGTGATGAGGAAGGCAAGACCCAGGACTTTGATGGCATTCAGCTGGTATGTCCCTCACTCACTACCAATGCAGTATCCTCCCAAGCACTGACTGACAAACCCACAGGATAACTGCACCAACATCTGGATCGACCACGTTCACTTCGAGAAGGGCGGTGACGGCCTCCTCGACAGCCGCAAGGACACCACGTTCCTGACTGTCTCCTGGACCATCTTCCGCAATCACAACAAGGCCTTTGGCATTGGTAAGTCATCCTCCTACACTAAGACTATGGACCGTACCCTTAAGTACCCGCTAATGCATTCCCTCAGGCTGGACTGACAACGTCAACGCGCAAATGACGATTCACCACAACTTTTTCGACCAGACCAAACAGCGCAACCCCTCCGTGGACAATGTGAAGCACGCCCACCTGTACAACAACGCGCTCGTCGGCCAGACCTCGTACGGCCACTACGCGCGCGGCAAGACCGAGATGCGCATGGAGAACTGCTACTTCGAGAAGGCCCGCAACCCCATCCAAGCCGACGCCACCGCCAAGCTCAGCGCCACGGGCAACGTCTACAAGAGCACCACTGGTAGCACCGCCAAGAACGCCGGCACTGTCTTCGACCCCAAGACCTTCTACGACTACAAGCTCGACGCCGCTGCCGACGTGTACGGTATTGTATCTGAGGGTGCTGGGCGCCAGGCGAGCATCTGCGCTGCTTGAGTTAGTTGAAATCAGAGAGAGTGTGGAATGACCGGGGAGAGAAGGATGGGGTCACTGTCAGTCCGAGTCGCTGAGTGTGCAACAAAAGAAGAGGAAACTAAAGTTGGAAATTCTTTGTATTTATTACCACGGCGCGTTGCCATTGACAAAGTATACATACTCTATAAAACTGTTCATGTCACATACGAACATTCAACGCCTAATTGCATTGATTTGCCTTCCCTTCCTTCCTCATATGCATGTCTGCTGTTCTGTGCCTGATTAGAAAGCCTCCATCGTTCTTGTTCATGGAGACTGACATGCAACCCGCAAGTACAGAGAGTACAGCCAGCCGCGTAACTTCGGGATAGAGCTCGATTGAATCGCAGGAAAACAGACGCTGAACGTGGTTACAGTTCCTCTACCACTCCACCTCTAGGCTGTTCGCGAGAGGATGTATGCAATAATCTCATTGCTTGCCATGAAGTGACATCTTGGGTAGCCTGGAGGCACTGCCGCGAGAGGAAAGGAGAAGATACTTTGCTGTATCGTGTTGTCCCAATAGCGTTGACCAGTGAATGCAAGAGCATCCTTATGCAAAACGTAGGAAGAATTTTAGTCCACCGCATCATATAGATGTATAGGTCAAAAGTGACAGAAAGAAGCATCTCAAAAACCAAGTTCCTGACACCCAAGCATTCTTACCAAAAACTCAATCCTGCATACTCGGTGTCAGAAAAGCAGGTACCCTGTTTGATGTCCAGGTATGCTCTCTCGTTCACCCCCCAAGCTCACCTCCTGTGACATATTGATCACGTAAATCCCCGCGAATACGACACCAACGACGACAAACAACAGGCGAGACGCACATGTACCTGTACGACTTCCTTAGACCCTGTTAAAATTCCTCAGCTCTTTGAACCTGATGACGGGTAGATCTTGAATTCGGTATTCGGTTGCCGCGCACGTAGCCGGGAGTGGGGAAAAAAGATCAGTCATACATTCTTCCCTGCACGTTTCATGCCTCCAACATTGGGCACCAGTGCAAGCAGTGCACAGAAGTACTGACAAAGCTCTAACAGGATTGTCTTCTTTATTTGGACTTGAGGAAAGGGAAATGATGAAGGATAAAGAAGGTGAGGAAACAAGTTGTTGACTTGTGAAAAAAGTCGGACCGCCTATTAAAATGTGTATAGCGATGCTCACTTCCGATGGATAGTTTGATGCCAAGCCAAGACTCCCGGCTCGACTAATCTGTCTAACCGAATTTCAATGTCATCGCATCGACACTAATAGAGTGTCATTCTCCAAAGACAACGGAAGAAGCAAAGGGCTCAGAACGGCGCTGTCTATCCTCTTTGCTCAATCCAACAAAACGGGAATTGTAACGCCCTGCTGACAGTTCTTCACCCTGATCAAAGCAATAGTGCAGCAAAGATATGGTTTCCAACTCAGCAATTCAGAGTGTGCGGCTTCATGCGAAAGGATCTGCATACTCGCTAGTACGGGTGAGGCTAAAGGGCTAGTTAATCAGAATGGAATAGACCCCAAGAAGATCGGGATCGAATTTGCCACCGCCAGATCTCGCGTCCACCGGCGTCCGCCTATTAATCCAGAAGAGTCGCGGTCCTCGGCCAATCATGGACCTCGACGCGTCCGTTATAAGTAAGACCCTTAAGAATCTTGGCTTGGAGTCGCAGAGTGATCGGCGTGCTCTTGCTGGTTGGAGAATAAAAAACCCCGATACAAATTTCAGGGTCTGTCCATACGGCCCATACGCCACATCCTCCGAGAGTTCAGCGGATGTGTAGGCAAAGGTTGCTTCTTTGAGTCCGCTCTTACAACCTAGTCTTATAAAACTGCAGATATTCCCCAAGTGAGAAGTCGAAGGCAGGAGGCCGCCAAGGCTGAGGGGCTTTGGTTCAGCCCCGTTGATTTTCTAGAGGATGGGATAAGGCATGAACGAGGGATGCCTCACAACAAACCCCTCGGAAAAAGTGGCGGCGATGTGTGAAGATGCCTCGGATATTGCGAATCGATGCTCGATAACTGGATCTCCTGCGCTACTGAGTGGGTTGGCAGTGCTTCGCGAAGATCAACAGAAATTTTCCCTCATGCACGGCGGTGGAAATGTGGACTTTTGGCTCGGGAGCACCTCGGTAGCAGAATCCGCCGGAGAATGGAGATGAAAGGGGTCAAAATGTCACGAAAGGCGCAAGCGAAACTTCAGCAGCCGGGCGGGAAAAAAAATTTGTACATAGTCATGATATCATTGGTATAATGCCTGATAGCTAACTCTCAAAAAAATAGACAACAAATGCTTTTTTAGGTATATCCCTTCTCACATGGTTTCCGCATCAAAATTTCGGAACCTCTTTTTTTACAGACGGGCAGTCTCCTGGGCCTCGTCAATGATCATCTCGGCGGCCTTCTCGCCGACGCCCAAGACAGTCAGCATAGGGTTGATGGTGGGGATGGTGGGGAAGATTCCGGCGTCGACGATGCGGACCCGCTTGAGGCCCTTGACCTTGAGGTGCTCGTCGACGACGGCGAGCGGGTCCTTGCGGACGTCGCCCATCTTGGTGGTGCCGACGGGGTGGTAGACGGTGTGGGCGGCGCGGCGGGCGTAGAGGCTGAGCTCCTCGTCCGTCTGGACCTTGGGGCCGGGGGCGACCTCGCGGGCGATCCAGTCCTTGAAGGGGGCCTGCTCGGCGACCTTGCGGGCGGCGCGCATGCCGTAGACGAGGGTGGCGGCGTCGTAGCCCTCCTCGTCGGTGAAGTAGCGGAAGTCGAGGGCGGGCTTGACGTTGGGGTCGGACGAGGTCAGGTAGAGGCGGCCGCGGGAGCGGGGGCGGGGGATGTTGGGGGTCATGCAGAAGGCGTAGCCCTCCTTGGGCTCGTCGTAGCCGAGGCGGCCGGTGTTGAGGGTGAAGGGGATCTGGTAGCAGTGCATCATGACGTCGGCGATGTCGCCGTCGGGGATGCCGTCGGGGTTGAAGTAGGTCTTCTTAGCGGCGGCGTTGGGGGGCTCGCGGCGGAGGAAGATGCCGGCGTCCGAGTCCATGGTGGTCTTGTTGGGGGGGACGGGCTTCTTGAGCTCCCACATGATGATGGACTCGGGGTGGTCCTGGAGGTTCTCACCGACACCGGGCAGGTCGTGGATGACGGGGATGCCGAGCTCGTTGAGCTGCTCCTTGGGGCCAATGCCGGACAGGAGCATCAGGCGAGGGGTGTCGACGGCACCGGCGGAGAGGATGGTCTCGGCCTTGGCAGTGATGGTGCGCTTGGAGCCGTCCTGAAGGGTCAGGTTGACGCCGGTGACGGTGTCGCCGCGGACGTTGAGCTTGGAGACCCAAGCGTTGGTCAGGACGGTCAGGTTGGGGCGCTTCTCGTCGCCGCGGAGGAAGGGGTGGATGTAGGCGACCGAGGCGCTGGACCGACGGCCATCGTCGGGGTTGTAGGAGATGGAGAAGAAACCGACGCCCTGCTTCAGAGCACCGTTCTGGGTGATGTGCTTGTTGAAGTTGTGGAGGACGGGGATGTCAAGGGCGGAGCTGCACGAGTTGACCCAGTCGAGGCAGAGCTCGTTCTGGTGGCGGGCGTGGACGGGCTGGACGGTGTTGCGCAGCTTGTCCATGAGACGCATGAAGTCGTGGAAGGTCCAGCCCTTGGCGCCCATGGACTGCCAGATCTTCAGGTCGTACTCGAAGGGTCTGAAGGAAATCAGGGTGTTGTGTGATGAGCAGCCACCGAGGACCTTGGCGCGGGAGTGGCGGATGTGGGAGTTGCCTGTGAGAAGAGTATCAGTTTTGTGGTCGACGGGTCAAAGGTTGCCGTCGCCAGCCTCGCTGGATGAGCTGACGATGCGGAGAGGAGAGGGAGCTTACCCATGGGCTGTTCGGTGGTGCCGTAGTCGTAGTCAAGCTCGCCTCCAAGGAGGTTCAACCACTTCCGCAGGTCCAGCACGCGGTCGTCCATGTAGTCACTGGGGCCAGCCTCGATCAGGAGGATGCGCTTCTGGGGCAGAGACTCGGCCAGACGGGAGGCGACGACGCAGCCAGCGGTGCCACCGCCGACAATGACATAGTCGTAGCGGTCGACGTCGGAGAGAGGGAGCTGGGTGGTGGACATTTTGGCGGATTGAGGGGTGTGAGAGTGAGGGTGAGGGTGAGGGTATTCAAACAAGAGAGGATGCGGGCGCCCGGCCAGTAAAAACAGGGTGAGGGGTAGCTTATCAGCTTACACACACGAGGAATGTATGTACGGAGGGGTGAAACAGCTCAAGAACGCGCGGGCGGTCTTGGGTGAGATTGGAGGAATCTTGGGATGAGAGAGAGTTGGAGAGTTGGAGGTGCACACCGATGGTGATTAAAAAAAAAGAAGAAGGGAAGAGAGCTCTAGATGTTCTCCAGTGTCGATCCAAGTGGACATCCGGCCGCATTATCTATGATCAATGGTAACTCGGCATCGGCGCAAAGGACACACTGGGCCCCAAGGAGACCCATCCTTGGAGAGACCGACAGACCTAGAGAGAGAGAGAGAGAGCTCGACCACGACCTCCGTACACGTCTGCCAGCGTCGAACCCTTGAGAAATTTGATGGCGCGGTTGGAAGCCGCCTGAAGGGACCTCGTTCGCGCGCTGCAAGTCGCACCGCCGGTGCAGCAAACACGCAGGCGCTGGCGCAGGATGGTGGAGACGGACCCCGCGAAAGTGGGTGGCGGGGCCATGGAAGGGAAGCGGGTTTCGAAGGCATTGAAACTGACTCGCCGGGTCCCTTCCTGAGGCGGCACCCACGCCCGGACCGGGAACAGCGCGGGAGGCGACGGCCCATTGGGCAATTGGTCGCTAGCAGGTTTTTTTTTTGTTTTTTTCCTGGTCGTTTTTCCCTCTTGTACATTACGTACCTACATGGTAAGGCAGTTAATTAGTTCTTGTCGCGCGCACCCATCATCGGTCCTGCACCTTGAAAGCTCCTCAGGGACCCCCCGTCCGCCCTGTCATCCCTGCAAGACATCAGGGCCGGATTTTCAAAGTTCCAGGTTTCCTGACTGGCTCAACGGCTCAAGCTAGGCCGGACTAACGCTTTTTGCACAGCTGGCAGCCAACATTTGTGTCAGCAACCAGGACCCAGCACCCAGCGGCTGGGCGGCGAGAACGATACGAGATGAGTGCACGTCTTTGCCGACAAACCTGATTGGGCCCCCCTGGCCTGCCAAGTCCTCCCGCGACGCCCACTCTGGTGGAAACTGTCCGACGTCGTCGAAAAAGAATTACGAATAATGGCCAGAGGCCTGAGAGTAATGAAAAAAAAGCCAAGTGCCGCAACGCCGTTTGACGGCACAGCCCAATCATGACGTCTCGACTTTGCCCTGCATCTGGATTGCCTGGTTGACCCGGCGAATGCCCTTGATCCGTCTAATGCGTACGGGCGAGGACGGCGGAAGACATGCCCACCTAGCTTCGCCATCTAATCTTACCTGCATTTTTCCCTCACGTCGTCCACAGTGTGCCCACGCTCTTCTCCGAGGAATATTGGGGGTTATCGACCGCATCAAACCAACGCCGTCGTTGCCGACCCTACCTTTCTCCCCCGGTGGTGTGTGTGTGTATGTGTGTGTGTGTGTGTGTTGCCTGGAGCCGGGGGTGGTCACTTATCATAGTAAGCGTTGAACTTATCAAAGTCACCCGCTCGCCTACACTCGGTTCCAGACAATGAGACATTCCGACATGCTGCATATGCGAGAATTGCAACCGAGATTCCCCAATCCGCCATCTGCAATCCGCGCCAAGCCGTCGGATTCCATCCGTCGGTTTTCGGTTTCCACAGCCGTGCCCGCCGCCCTGTCCGCCCTGTCCGCCTGACGACGACGACTCGCCTTCCCGCCCGGTCGTATGCGCCGTCTGACATGTCGCCTGTGGCCGGGGGGCGAGGTGGCAGGAGTTGACTGGTTGCGTCGTCGGCACCTCCCCCCCTTCACTTCCACCACGTTCGGCCTCATCCGGGGCATCCGCCGACTCGTCTAGCCCGGGTTAGCATGCCAAGGCAACCCTGGCCTTGGTCTTTGTCGGCCGGTTTCCAGTTTTCAGATTCTCCAGGAGCAAAATTCCGTCAGGTACTTTGCAGGCTGCAGCACGATCAAGGGTTTCCCATCAGGGAAAAGCGCTTTTCTGATGTCAATCGCAAACTCTAGTTTTGCTGATGGCCTGACGAACCGTCGCTATCGCCGACACAGACTAGATAGAACTCGGCACCGCAGATGCGAGATACTGCGAGATAGACGGGGTTCATCACGGTCAAGCCTAGACCCTTTTTCTGATATCGGTCTCACGGAGTTATCTCGCCGTCCCCCGTATCTGGCTCTATCTCACCCCCCTGGCTCATGCCCGCCGTATCTTTTTCCCGATTGTGGCTCGCCCACGCGGCTGTGATGCCGCTGGTATGTCGCACTCGACACCATTCATCCCGCAGCTGAGGTCCTCGATGCCGCGGCTGCACGCGTTGCATCGTTCGACTCTGACGGCCGGGCCCGGAACCAAGACGGATCCTGCGGCCCTGCGTGCATGCATTCGTAGCCACATTTTCACACTGTTTCTATCAAACATCAATGCATGTCGCACCGGCAACAAAGAAGCCAATCAACCGGGACAGGTCTCCAGAAAAAAAGGAAAAAAACTTCACATCGCCAACGACCTGGAAGGCTGAAACTTCTTCAAGTGGAGGCAACTTGTCTTTCCTCTACTCGCAACGGCGCCTCACAACGCAGCATCGCTTTTTCCCTCCCGGGATTTTAATTATGGAGTAGTGTTGCATAGGTGTGGATCACCGGCCAATGACGTATGGTCCATGACATCACACCGCCGCAGGAGTGGGCGACCAGGGGTGTCTCCCGGTAAATCTGCAACCCCACCAGCTGGTCCCAGCGCTGGGCGTTGCCAGCCCATTACCCACATGGGTCAGCTGAACTCGAGATAAGGCCCCGGCGTGGCCCTCCGTGGTACTATGTACGATCCCGATCTCACTCCGATCTCTACGAGTTTTTCCACCCTCTGGTCCTCCGCCCAGTCTCCCAGCCTGCCTCCGACCTCCGTGTCCCGTCTAACCCCCGTTCGCCATCCATCCCCGGCACTACCCGTTTAAACTTCCAATCGACGACCCCAGCTTGTCTTGCATCCCATTATACCCCCTTACCGAGTTCCTGTTCGTTGGCTGTGTATTCTGTACCGCTCATCGCTTTGTTTCGTTGTCTCGCTCAAGCACTAGCACCAATATCATTCTCAAAATGGCACCACCACAGCAGCAGCAGCAGCAGCAGGACCGGCACACCTTCTATGCGGGGAAGCCGCAACCGGACTCGGAATCCCCAGGCACCTTCCAGTCCATCGACCCTGCGACGGCAAAGCCCGTCTGCACCATCCACACCTCGTCCCCGGCCTCCATCAACGCCGCCGTGGACGCCGCAAAGGCCGCCTTCCCCTCGTGGTCCGCCACGCCGCCCATTGAGCGCTCCCGCATCCTGCTGCGCGCCGTCGCCATCCTGAGGGAGCGCAACGACGAACTCGCAACCGTCGAGACCCTCGACACCGGCAAGGCCTTCTCCGAGACCCAGTACGTCGACGTCGTCACCGGCGCTGACGTCCTCGAGTACTATGCCAACCTCGTCGCCTCCGGCGGCCTCAACGGCGAGTCCTTCCGCCTGAGGCCCTCCGCCTGGGTCTACACCACCAAGGAGCCCCTCGGCGTCTGCGCGGGCATCGGCGCCTGGAACTACCCCATCCAGATCGCCCTGTGGAAGTCGGCGCCTTGCCTGGCCGCCGGCAACTGCATGGTCTACAAGCCCAGCGAGTTCACCCCGCTGCACGCCGAGTACCTCGCCTCCGTCTACAAGGAGGCCGGCGTGCCGGACGGCGTCTTCAACGTCATCTACGGCGCCGGCGACGTCGGCGCCCAGCTAACCTCCCACCCCGACATCGCCAAGGTGAGCTTCACCGGCCAGGTGAGCACGGGCAAGAAGGTCGCCGGCTCCGCGGCCGGCGGCATGAAGTACGTCACCATGGAGCTCGGCGGCAAGAGCCCCGTCATCGTCCTGCCCGACTGCGACGTCGAGCAGGCCGTCGACGGCGCCATGCTCGCCAACTTTTACAGCTCCGGCCAGGTCTGCACCAACGGCACGCGCGTCTTCGTCCCCAAGACCCTCAAGGCGCAGTTCGAGAAGCTCGTGCTCGAGAAGATCCAGTACGTCCGCGCCGGCGACCTGTTCGACCCGGCCACCAACTTTGGCCCGCTCAACAGCAAGACCCACCTCGAAAAGGTGCAGGCCTACGTCCGCAAGGGCGTCATGGAAGACAAGGCGACGCTGCTGGTCGGCGGCGCCACGCCGCCCAAGGGCCTGCCCTCGGCGTACCAGGCCGGCTTCTGGATCCAGCCGACCGTCTTCACCGACTGCACCGACGACATGACCATTGTCAAGGACGAGATCTTTGGCCCCGTCATGAGCATCCTCACCTACGACACCGTCGACGAGGCGGTGAGGCGCGCCAACGACACCGACGTCGGCCTGGCCGCCGGCGTCTTTGGCAGGGACGTCGACCAGTGCCACAAGGTCATCTCCCAGCTCGAGGCCGGCATCACGTGGGTCAACACGTGGGGCGAGTCGCCCGCCGAGATGGCGGTCGGCGGGTGGAAGTCGAGCGGTGTGGGCGTCGAGAACGGCCGCAAGGGCCTCGAGGCGTGGGTGCGCAACAAGAGCACGCTCGTCGAGATGGGCGGGAGCGTGCCCACTGTTTTCTCCAAGTTGTAAAAGTAAACGTGCGGACGAGAAGGGGTTCGGGATGGGGAGAAAAATGTACTACTTGGGTGTACCGAAGCGGTCAAAAAGGTTTGCTCCCGGGTTGATACCTTGGGGAGCCAGAAGTTGGGTTTGGTAGCGTTTCTATGATATCACGGTTTTATTTCCTCACTACCAACACTATTTGACGCTGTTTTGCTCCTACGAGTGGGTGATGTTCCACAACTGTTGTACTGTGGCAACCTTGGCGCCAAGTTATGGTAGGTTCTGCGCCCTGCAGAATGAATGTGCATCTCACAGCATGCTGTCACTGATGCGAGGAAAACAAGGCGGGCTGGAATGCAAAAGGGTAGGTTGGAATAAGCTCAACGGGGTACACTGCTCTGAAACGGATCAGCGGGCAGGATCCGGCAGCGAAGTGGGAACGCGGCAACGCGACGGAGTAACTCGAAAAGGAAGCTCATTATGCCCATCCCTCATTGGCAATACTGTGACTCTCCAGTAGGGCATCGTGGTCTCCGGCCAATCATGGGAACCAGGCTTGCCGTGCCAAGTAGGTATATGCTTAAGTGGGCAGTGGCTCCCAGCAGACCTCTGCCCCTTGGCTTGTGGCGGGCTGCGTTTGCTAGGCTTTTTGGAGCGTCTTCTCAAACTGGCCTCGTAGAGGACTGTATCAGGCTTGCCACCATGCGTTACCCACTTAGCGCGTCACAAAAAGTTCATACCTATTGGCTTTTCACACTATCTACCCGGTTTCAAAGTTCCCTGCCCATTTCAGACCGAGGTGACCAAGTTGTTTCAATACACAAAACTCAAGTCAAGCCGAACTCCTCGTCTGGCTGCTCCAACTTGGTTCCCGAGTTCATAGGAGGACCCCAATCGGCCATCTGCAAGAACCCAGCGGAAAGCCAGTCATGGCTGCCCAAGGATATCTCCTCCCAGCCATCCAAATCGATATCGGACATTGAAAGCGTCGGCATAGAGTCGACGAGGTCACTGCTGCCGCCGACGCTCATTCCCACGCTGCTTCTTGGTAGTTCTGGCAGGGTTGCAGCGTCGGTGAGGCCTGGCCGTGCCCCTCCCACCACGGACGATGCCACCTCGTACAGGGCCTTGATGATGTGATATGACGCGACCCTCTGGTGGTTCATGTCGTACCCCTCGAAGAATTTGAGAACCATCTTGATAAGCTCGAGGTCTTGAAGAGATTGGGCCGAAGTCTTGTTCTCAAGAATGTTGACAAAGAGGATGTCGACGCACCAGGCGACCTGGTAAAGCAGGTATCTAGGCTCGGTTGTCAGATCTCATCCTCCCCATGGGACGTCTCTCGAATTCATTCCAAAACGGCACATCAAGATAGAAAGAACAAAGGGGAGCGCTCACATGGTAAAAGGGTGCTGCAGCTGATGGTAGTTCAGCAACGAGATCGCGCCGCGAGCCGCGTTGACGCAGATGCCCACACTGGGCCGCAGGCTCTCGACGTCCTGGTCGAGCACCCGGAACGCCGCCGAGTGCACGGCGACAACGAGTTGAAAGTAGACAAAGTGCAACACGCTCAGGCTCATCATCCGGCTGTAATCCGCGTCAATCAGGCCGGACGACGGTTCCGGGCGGATCATCTCCGGGATGCTGTCCCGCCACTCCTGCAACTCGGCGTCCAGGCTTGCGATCTCGCCGTCGAGCGTGGAAGTCGAAGCGGCGCGCCCGCTCCGGAAGTACAACCTTGAGCAGATCTGCCCCTGGATCTGGGAAAGCCGCACTTGTTGACGGAAGTAGTTCAGGATGACGTCTCCGGGGTAGAAGAACATGCCGTAGCCGTCTTGGGGGTACTCTTCTGGTATGTCTAGGAGAAAGTCGTCCGTGATGAGAGGTGGCTTCCCGATCCTGAGCATGAGGTCATGGTCTAGGACGTAGGCTTGCCAAAACAGACGCCGGCGGTGCAGTGTCTCGGCAGGCGTGAGAGTGGGGTGGTCGGAATGATGGTAACCAGCGAGGAGGACAAACTGGACTGCAATGGCGAGGATCGAAAGTGCGACGTGGTTCTCGGCTGTGAAGACGAAGTAGGTCGTCTGTTGTCAAGTCAATTTCAGTAACCACAGACGAGCAGGTACAAAGACACCAAGGGGTGGATTGAAGGTGCCACCTACGAGTGAGAGAAGAGCGCCTATCGTAAGTGGGTCCGGCGTTTGCAGGATGGCGATCGGGATGAGGCCAAGAGCGTTATGCAAGTACTTCTCATACTCTCCGGTTTGGTTCGTCCAATCACGTTTGCGGAGTGAGTGCAGAAGTATGACATTCAGCGCCATTTTCCAGCCGCTGCCCGGAGGCGGTTGGCCGTAGATATAAGACTGAACTGCAGCGCGGACCTCAGTCTCTTCGAAGACCTTGATGTCGTGATTTAGGGTCAAGAAGAAGTCTGCGTCGAACGGGATCAGTTAGCTTTTTGCGTCGATCCAAGCTTCGACACGTTGACGATGAGAAATCCTTACCCGACATGCATTCCATGATGACATTGTTGGGCGGGAAGGGGTAAATGGTCGAAAAAGACGTGAAGTCGAGGTTTCGTGGGGGTGTGATCCTTCGTATCCTTTGCAGCAGTCCTCGAACGGCCGTCGAGAACCGCTTGTCGCCCACCAAAACGTCGATTTTCGTGATTCCCTCCGCAGAGAATAAAGAGCACGAACCTAGCACCAAACCGAATCAATGTCCTGATCGAATTCGGGGCACGTCCGCTTGTGCTAGACAATCACCTACCAACTGTCCCAACAGTGGCCTCAGATGCCGCCCCGGCGTAATACGGTTTCACTCTTGGAGAGTCTTCATCTGAGGGGTTCACCTTGGGATGGCCTCCAACTGATGCAAACGATACATCTGGAGATGCAGTTGAGGAACCTTGAGAAACAGAGTTCGACAGGTCTTGTCCAGTCTCCGCCAGAGTCTTTGGGTCTTGAAGTTCTTTTACCAACCGTTCCATTTGCGCTAACCTGTCGACGACGTGTTCGTAAAGGCTATGAAAACAAGAAAATAAACAGTCAACTTATGAGTAAGCAACCCGATCTTCAATGAGTTCGCCGTATATGAAGAACACGCATTCGGGACAATCGTGACGCAAAGGAGGACAAACCGTCTTTCCTTCCTGGGTGCATTTTTCTTTCTCTCTGGCCAGATACATTCTTCCGCGTACTTTTCACATCCAGAGCATATTGGTTTTCTATGGTCACATTTGATCTGGTATATTGAATCCGGTCAGTCGCCCGCAATTCTCGACTTGGCAATTGATCGGCATTCCCACGGCACTCACCTTTCTGCGTCGGCATGTCACACAAGATAACACCGGCGGCCTTGACCCAGACCGCTGACCGGGCGCTTGCTGCTGAGTCTCCAGGGCCTGCATCGGAACAGGAAACGAGCTTCGGATTCTTGTTCTGTGACTGGTGTGAGACTGGAATCCCCGGATGGCGTTAGGCGAAAAGCGGACTATGATAGAGGTTGCAAAATTTCCGGTGAGAACGATGGTGTCGGAGGGTCTTGAACGTGCGGTCTACAGAGCTTCGCGAGAGGTCCAGCCTGTCGTCAACTTCTGCTGACCAGGCTCCCGGACGGACAATAAAAAGTTCCGGCGCTAGGGGCGCGCCTGGGGCCGCAAACGGAAATATCTCGAGCTTCCCCCTGGGGAACGATAGGGCACGGGCGCGCCGAAGGGTCTCAATTCATGTGATTGGGTTGGTTGGGCTCTCCCACCGGTTGGGTGAGGCCAATGACGTGTGTATTTCATGCAGGAAAACATGGCAAAGAGGCAGAGCTCAATGCATTGCTTCAACGTTGCGATAAATAGTGTCAAATGGCCCTGACGACGAAGCTCTAGAGCCTTTTGTAAATCGTGGTAGATAATTCGTGACACTGGAACATGGTAGCTGTTTTTCTGCTGTAAGCTTCGAGATTACAGCCTCAAAGGGATTTGCGATCTTGGTGAGGCTTTTTCAGACATCAGGTAGTGGCGTCTAACTAGGTGATTTAAGTGTATCCGCCTCCCCCAGCTGCTCACCTTCGTCTGGTTGCTTTATGCCTTCCTCGCGTGATGTATAAAGTTAGTTGGGTAAGCTGGGTGAACAAGTACATGATTGAGGCGGCGCTTGTTATTGGCTTGTTAGTACCAGCGCCAGCCGCCGAGCGCCAAGCACACCAAAGGTACGTTCACACTCCCAAGATGAATGTGATTTGCTGGTCACACAATTGGTCGCGTGGAAACAGCAACGGTTGGTCGAATGGTGAACTTGGAGTGCCTGGCCATGCCCCCTGGGTGTAGATGTGCGACTCTGGATATAAATCGATTGCGACCCTGCACTCACGAAGCCAGACGACCATTCGAAGTCTGTACGACGACTTTAATGACGCAGCGACGACTTGGCAGCCGATTCGACTCTTCCCCCTAGCCAACACAGGGGAAAACTTCCTCCAATTCTCTCGCGATCCATCCCTCGGTCGTCTTGTACCCTTCCTGGGTGTATTCCTCGCAACGACCCCCAGCAATATGCAATTTGGCTCTGCTACGTACCACCTAAGAACTAACAAGACGCAAACATTTTCAGACCTGTCAAGATAAGTCCTGAAAGCTTCAAGCTCGAGAGACAGACACGCATCAATCAACAACTTACTTGGCTCCTTTTGCACCTATTTCTTTGTCTCGTTATGAGATACACCCTTCTTTTGGCCCTTGGGGCATCCGCTGGGCCATTGCCACAACTCTCAACCAGACCATTACTCCCCAAAACATTCAGGTCACGATGCATTTTCTCAAGGGTGGCTATCCCCAGCCGTCGATTACAGCCTACAACAATGATTGCAGCGAAGTGGTCGGTTACTCTTGTTCAACCAGCTTAGCCTTGGGTACCTCCTTGATTGCCTTTATCGTTGACCAGAATGGATCTGGAAACATCACTGTTGACGAAGAGGAATTCAGGGTCCTTGATGATCCTGAGGTCTCAGGAGGTGTTATCTGTGGCCGTATCCACAACGCCGTGGAGACTATTGTGAGCTGTGAGCTGGCAGTCCCGGCTACCCTCGATTTGCTTCCACTCAACCGCCGCAACCTCCCTGAGTGCAAGTCGATGAAATCTGCAAGTACTGGACAGGCATCGGGTCTGGAGGCTATCTTAGATGGGTTTCTCTAAAGACCAGGGTTTCTTCCCATTGAGCAGCCGGTCGAACTTCCGGACAACTCGACGCTCGCACCACGCCGGCATCTCTAGCAAGGAGACTTACCTTGTTGGCATAATAACCCGCACCAGAATCCGCTTAACGTTCAGCTTAGTGTAAGTCTTTCGTCTCTGTCCTTTTCCAACCGCCTACTACCTCTGATGATGCATGATAACTAATGGCTCACAACAGGAGCCAATGCAGTGTGGAAGCAGAGATGGCTGTCAAATCACTTGGACCACCACCCGCTCTTTTAGTATCGGTTGGACGGCTTCCGCAACGGCTTGGCAGTGGCTTTCAGGTGGTTTCGCGGTCGAGATGTCAATCGAGACTGGCAACAGCTACTCATGCCCTGGGAGTGCAAACGGTTACTTCGCTGTATGGATAAAGCAGGCTCAGACGGCGTACACCGTCCACAACAGGCTACGAATGTCATGTGCTCCGATTCAGGATAGTGGCGGCAACTATGTCATATGGTCTCCCAACAGAGGCAATCGGGATGGCTACCCCTACTGCGTTTACGGTCGTCAGTATGTTCGCTGGATTAGAGACCGGTGGTTGGACACCACACCCATCCCCGGTAGCCCCCCTTAGAACAAAGGGGATCTAGGAGTAACTCAAACACCCACTTTTAAACCATATTAGGAAACTTAGAATTGGAATCTAGTTGGACTTTTTTTGTCCTACCCTGTCGTTGACTATCCATCTGAGCATGTAATAACTGAATCTGATGCTTTAGGAATGCCAGTCTATAGGCATGGTTATGCCAGCCCTTCTAAATCTTCCGGAATAGATACCTTTATATATAGATTCATAGTGTTTGCTGCTTCCGCTGGCTGAACAGTTGAAGCTGATGCTGAAGGTCGGCAAATTTTTGTAGAGTTGACCATGGGACTTCAGAAGCAGCTGCTCTGACTGTCTCGTAGCTGATTGGATGATCCCCAACTGTCTTGTATCTCCTTAAGGAGCTTTATTTCCACTTCGTACGCGGGCCGCCTTCAGGCGGGGTATTGCTAGCGCATCCTATATCCGGAATGTTGTCGAGGCTGAACTTCTTGCCCACATCCATCATCGTCAGGATCTCTGGCTATGATTTTACTCAAGCGGGTAGCTAGGCTAGTGAAACCCCCAGTGTGGCACAAAACTAGGCGGCTCAAGCGCAAACACACCAGCGATAGTTGGATGACCGACTGAGTGAAGGGATTTCGCTTGAGTGACATAGTTCCTCGCCACCATCTCGCCACTACGTAAATAGAACCGAATACTCAAGAGTCAGCGAAGTCAATACTTCCGGAAAATATCCAACTCTTCGCTAATCTGACAACAGCCGATTGAAATGTTGGCCTCCTTTGATTACCATGTTTGAGAACTCAGGGCCGGGTCTATCGATATAAGATGGTCCGAGGCCTCAGGAGACACAACACTTTTTGGCCAAGCCAGCCATTCATCCCAGTCCGAACCGAGATACTGATAGATGACATTCAAGAGATACGTTCCCGAGTCTCCTACTTGCCACAGGTCCCGCGCTAGGTGCAAAACAGCAGCATAGTGTGCTAAAACAGCCACGGCCTCAGGACCTCGCTCCACCAGCAGTTCCGTGAAATCCTCCGAAACTAGCAATGACCAAGAAAATATGATCTGGATTTGATGTTTTCTGCCGACATAGACCTTGTTGTTGAGATCGTCAACCGCAATTTGTAGCAATTCCACCGCTGCGACGCATGTCTTTTTGGAGCCTAACGAGAGATTTGACGAGGCTAAAAGGTCTATAATGCCGTTACATTCCTGGCCCACGCTCCGAAGTCGGCTGAGTCCTAGGCCCCAGGACATCAGAGAGCACAGTTCAGAGTTATGCAGAAACGGCCAGGCACGAGTGACAACCGTTCTGACGCCTCGCCGAATCCTTGCAAAGTTGACGTAGCAGTCGAGAAACCCTTCCAAGTATGGGCCGCGGAAGGCAAGAGCGTCGATGCAGAGGTGGCGGCCCAGAATAGAGGAGAATAGAACCAATGGAACGCATGTTGACTCGTTGATGTGCGCCTTTTGAGCGTTGAAAAGCGATATCGCTCTTGTTTGCAGCTGGACTGCATGATCCAGATATTCGGGAGCATTTTCTGGTTCGAGAGTTGACATATGTCGAGCAGACAGAGCAAGCACTTCGTGCATTAGATAGGGAGAGTTGACGCCTGCCTGGAGCGTCAATTCTGTGTTTCGTTCACGAAGAGTCTCTTCCAGCTCTGGTACGGCGAGCTCCAGAGTGAAATGAAGAAGCAACTTCATATGGCCCATATTAATCATGCCATCTGAAAGTGAAGAACCAGATCGGGTACTGTCGTTGCTAGGCCATCCGAGGAGGTGGGCCAAGTCCGGGGTGGGTATAATGGCCGGTGATTCGGAGGCCGTCCCATGCTTGGGCCTCGCCGCCTCAGACGAGCCTCGCGAGGCGCCGTCGGCTTGAACCGAGCTTTTGGTTGACTTAGGCTCTGCGAGGCCTGGAAAGACGCATACCCGGTCCACCATGGTACAATTAACGCATCTTGGCCGGGTCTCGTCGCACTGCTCATCCAATTAAGAGATCATCACGTTAGCTTTGCAGCAGATACCGTAGGCGAGTGCCGAGAATAAATACGTGGAAACAGGTATGAGAGTCTCACCTTCATGTGACGTCGTTTACACTCTGCACATCCCTTTCGGGACTTTTTGTGGGAGCGTCGATACATGGTTTGGCGCGGGTGGTCCGATAAATGTCTTGTTGCCCTCGTAAAGCTTGAACGAAGTCCTCGAATTATCCGCACTGAAAAACAAGGCCTACTATCCAATTGTGGTGGAAAGTCTGGGCCGAATCCCAGTCACCAGAGAGTTTGATTTGCGAAAAGCACATGTATTCAAGTGGTCTTCTTGAGTCTTGGCTGTACCATTGTGCTTTACGTACGTGCCCCCCGCTCTTTGTCGCCCTGGGAGTCCGTCAATATGTGCTGTGACAACTATGCAATAGACCTACGGGCTTAAACTCAGCACTCAATTCTCATCTGAGCAATACGTGTATTCGGTCGAGATCCGAACCAATGGTGGGCCGGAAAGCGTATTTCATCCGAGCTTCAAATACGCGTATCAGAGGCAACCGTATTCTGTACGGTTTCGCCAATTAATGACTGACTCGTGCTGTGGCTAATGCATCAGCCCTGTTGGATGTACCTAGGAACAACGTGTGTCAGTTAAAACCCCAAACGCCCCTAGCGACTTAGGCGGTGCGACTTCTAGGGATGAAGATGTACTGCCAACTACAAGCTAGGTTTAATGGCAATAGAACAACGATCTACGAGCAAGAGGCTAAGGGGTTGTTTGGAGTTTGCTTCGAGCTTTGATCAATAATTCCGTTTTGGATATGTTCTTGTTCACACACTCGCGACATAATTTCTCTCGGGTACTTTAGGGCATGCTTCGACGCGACTTCACAATTAGAAAGCTGGGACAGCGCTCGTACACGCAGCCTCATTCAATTTGATACCGAGTTCGCGTTACCCTTGGTAGCAGCAAGTTGAACATCCGCAATCAAAAAGGCAAAGGAATCTACGTCATCAACAACTTCCAGATAGTATACGTGATGACTGAGCCATGTAAGACAGCCAGAATGCGTTGCTTTTGGTCGTTCATTTCAACCGCGAGCGCGTTATTCAAAACTCTACTTAAAACAGGTAAGGGAGCTGTTAATTCATGAGACATCACTGATGTGTCTTCTTTGCATCTCGTCGACAACGAAGGGGACGGAGAACACCTCACTAACCTCGAATACTTGATTGAGGTAAGAAGGGTGGACCCCAACACACAAAGGACGAAGAAGGTTGGACGCCGTTATTCGTGGCTTTTGCTAGGGAGAATTTGGAGCTTGCAGGTTATCTTATAAATAGGGGCCAAAGTTGACCTACAGCTCAGCATACGTAATTATGGAGGCCAAACACCAGCTAAATATGCCAATGGAAAGTAATACTAGAACCGGCGCGACTATAACCAAAAGGTGTATCGTTGTTGGAATATCCAAACCACTCATGGCTGATGTAGGGTGGCCGACGTAAGCATCACGTGACCCAGCTAGTTGACAAATGAGATATTACGGAGTTACTAGCCTAGCTAGTAATACCGCACACAGGGTTGCTGTAGTGAACCGAGACCGCATCTCTTATATCCACTTCAACAGTCTTTGGCCGCTGTAACTTCATCCTCCAACTCAGGGCAGACTCTCAACACATGCTCCAGAATACGCTGCGACGCCTCGGCCGCACTCAAACCGGTCACGTCCATGTCCAAGCTCGTCACACCCGGCTCGTCGAAGCGGTGAATTTCAGTGCCCCTACGAAAAATGAGCAACAGCTCCGGGTCGACGATTTTGTGATGAGTCTCGCGATGCGCGACCTGTAGCCTCATCAGGTTAGTCGCCTCGTCGCAGCGCATAACGACGGACACCAGTGCCGCGCCGCGGGCACGCGCCGCCGCCAGGTACTCGGCGCACACGGCGCTCCCGACGGCGTCGGTGGACTGGAAATCGGTGAAGACGTAGGCAAAGCGGTGGCTCGCCGGGCTCTGGGCCAGCGACGCGAAGACAGCCCCGCGCGCCGGAGGTCTTGGTAGCCGGCCTCGGAGCGGTGCAGCACCGCGTCAGCGGGGTTGATGAGCAGATGGTTGTGCACCAGCTGGCAACATGCCCCGAGTTGCTGCTGGAAGGCGCGCGCGATGGTAAGCTTGCCAGTCCCTGGGAAGCCGTTCAGGTGGATGATGGGAAGCGGTTTCGATGTTGAGGGCGGTGCTGGTGCTAAAGCGGATGCCATTTTTGGAAGACTTGAGATGGGCGGCAGGGCACAGAGGCAGCGTAGGCGTGCGAAGATGATATAGCGGGTGATGTCGAACGGTCGATGGTCGATACGCTGCTCTCTTGCGACGTGGTCTTTCTTGGGTTGCGTTAGGTTAGTTGTCGAGATTCCGGTTGTCATCGGAGCGAACACGATCTTGAGGCCTGCGATGTTGCTTCTCCCCTGCCCGTTGCAGTCGACCAGTCCCCCTAGCCCTATGTCTGGCCTCTTCGGAGCTGAACTTGGGGTAATTAGGCCAGAATTGACACCAGCGCTGCTTATCAGTAAGCATTTCCACGTAAGTTCCAGCCAATCTAAGCGACCGCTTTTGTAACGTAGCGCACATCCACAATCTTATCTGTGAACAACCAGCAGGCGGAGTAAGATCTGTACATGAAGTGTTCTGGCCAACGTCTCCGTGCCGGTCGATGCATGCATCCTAGCGCTGGGGAGTCAGGGGTGGCCCTGTTCATCATCCCTCCATCCCCTGCCACAAGGCAAGGGCCGTTCATCATCACGCACCCCTGTTCCTTGTTGTCTCCGGATGACGGGCAGAAAGAAGTCAACTGCGGAAAGATGATTCTCAGCGTGACGTGACTGAGTCCGGAAAGCTCATCACCCTGCGTTGGCTGTCTTGGGAAAACTTCGAGCGAGACCGTGCCATTTCAGGGCGCGCAGGTCAACTCCTTGAGTCGTGGTAGTGGCTGAATATCCCGGATGTCATCATGCTGCAAGACTCAGCCGAGGAATCTCTCCGGGCCAATTCCCCATCCGGTAGTATTTAGTGGCTTCAACTATCGTATGTCGACGTAGCATTTGTAGTCAGCAGGGTCGACTCTGTGCTGGTCAAGCGTAGCCAAGGCCTCGCCGGCCGTCGTGTGGCGCTTGCCGCAGCCAATAACTTCATCGAGTCCAAGCAAAAAGTCACTGCAGCGGGCCTTGCCGCGCTGCAAACCGTCGGCGTAGGCCCGACAGAACGGCACGCCGAGGTGGTCCATTTCTATGACCCAGCAGACACCGCCGAAGCGCTTCAGGAGCGCCTGCTCGCCCCGTCACGTCAGCGGGCCTCCACCCCGCCACCGTGTAGTCCGACATGACACCCTCGCCGTCCCTCATCTCCGGCAGTGCGAGCACCTCGTCCAGCTTTAGTGTGGGAAAACGTCCGCTGCCCTGGGCAGTGAGTTCCAGGAGGTCCGTTATGTGACGCGTCGAGCCGGCATACGCCACAATGGTCTCGCCATGCTTCTCCAATAGCGTCTTCGTGAGGGAGATATGTACTACTAGGGCGGTAGGCAAGTATGCATCGAAGTTGGAAACGCCTCCTTCGGCCCAATGAATGTGTCTGCTGCTCACCATAGGGATTGTGGACATGGGATAGCACCCTTTACCAGGGAGTTCAATGGTTTTCACCGCTACAAGTTGATTTCACAGAAAGCCGCAAGGTAATTGTGAATAGATAGCAATGCCATGTTACTAAGGAAAGTCTGCTGCTGCTGCTGCTGCTGATAATAATAATTCTAAGAGAACTGAGACTGCAAGAACAAGAGAAGATGACATCAAAACTCCCAAATGCCTAGCCCGATGAGGTTCCAATCTCCAGTTACCATCCAGCCTTTCCGTCCTCCGACCTTTGAGGGGTCGCGTTTCCCGATTTCCAGTTTCCATGGCGCACCACACGATAAAACACAAACTGTTACAACTCACTCATAACAACTAGTAAAGGAGATGGCAGAATTGTGGTTCTGGTCGCCCTTGTGTCCCGTGTGACCTCCATGTCCCCGGCGTTTCCCTCAAATTTCCGTTTCCATATCCTCATGTCTTCATCATTCCCCGTGTCCCAATCCATACTGTCCCAATCCATACAAGTACCCCCCCCCAAGCGCCCCAATTATATCTTCCCACACTTCCTTGACCGAAAAAGAACAATCTAATAATCACTACTCGTCTTCATGCCTTCGTTGAATGATGCCTGTATCTCTTGCGTGTACTCTTCCATCTTTCATGGTCTCTAATTGCTCCAGTCAAATCCGACGCAAAGCTTGCTCTTCTTGCAGACAGCCTTGGTGAGAGTCTGGATGCTGCCACTGCTCAACAACTCGAGGACCTGCATGTTGGCCTCGAACTCGCGGGTGATGAAGTTACGGATCTCGATGGCGACAAGCGAGTCGAGAGGGTAATGCGACAAGCTGCGAGTGACGTCGAGGTCTTCGGTCTCCATCATGAGCACAGCGGCAATCTTCTCGACCAGACCGCGGCACACGACCTCCATGGCCTCCGTCTCGCTGCGCGACGCCTTGAGCGCGGCATTGAGCGACACGGCGCCGTTGGCACCAGCCTCGGCGGCGGCAAGCTCCTCAGCTGCCAGGCGGAGGGCTTTGAACTTGGCGTCTGGCGTCCAGAAGGGCTGGATGGTGGGCGTGATGCGCATACCCGTGATGACGTGGTGGTTGCAGACGGACGTCTTACCCGAGATAGAGGCGCCGATGAGGGCGAGCACCTCGGCCTCGCAGATACTGTCGGAGCCCAAGTTCTTGGCGACCTCGGCGGCACGCTCAGCGCTGCCATCGGCCAGGTAACCGGCGTCGGAGACAGCGGTAAGATCGAGGGAGGTAGCGGGCAGACCCAGGGCGATGCGGTGCTGGACGAAGGCGTTGAGGAAGCAGTTGGCAGCGGCGTAGGCGGCTTGGCCACGGTTGCCGACGGCTCCGGCGGCGGAGGAGATGGCGATGAAGAAGTCAAGCTCGGTCTGACGCTCTTGGAGAGCGTGATGGAAGTTCCAGGCACCCTGAACCTTGGACTCGGTGACGGAGATGTAGTCATTGAACTTCATCTGCTCAAAGAGGACGTCCTGTACAATTGTTAGGTGACATGTAGATAGAAGCAAGGTATAGAAGACTTACACGAAGGACCATGGCACCGTGAATGACACCACGAACAGGCGGCAGGCCCTTGAGACCAGTGTTGAACAGCTGCTCAACGCTGGCCTTATCGGCGACGTTGCAGGAGCGGACGGTGACGTGAGCACCCTCCTCAGCGGCCTCGTCAATGAGGACCTTGACCTTGCCAGTGGCGGAACCGCTACGGGACAGGAGTACCAAGTTTCTGGCGCCGTGCTCGATCATCCATCTGGACATGCTGCGACCAAGACCACCAGTACCACCGATGAGGAGGTAAGTGGCGTCGGCCTTGAGAAGAGCCTTCGCAGCCTTGGAAGGCGTTGCCATAACAACATCCTCAGCATGGGGGACGACGACAAGCTTGCCGGGGCCCTGAGTGGTCTGAAGCGTCTTGAAGGCCGTCTCCATGCAGGACACGGGGAAGATGGTGGCAGGGTCAATGGGGCGGAGCTGGTCGTCAGCCAAGAGTTTGGAGACGTCAGTGACCAGTCTCTCCATGATCTTGGGCCTCTCGGCGGCGAGGCCAAAGATATCGACGCTCAAGAACGAAGCGTTGTTATCAGACTGGCCCATGTCGAGGCGGGTGGCGCGAGAGCCATCCTTCCTACGAACATCGACGAGGCAGCCGAAGCGGCTGAGACAAGCCCAGCTCTCCCTCAGAGCGTCAGCGCCCGGCAGAGTGTTGAGGACAACGTCAACACCCTCATCGTTGGTGGCGCGCCTCACAGCAGCTCTCCAGGTGGTGTTGCGGCTGTAGAAGATGTGGTCCTCGGGGACGTTGTAGTGCTGCATCAGGAGCTTCTTCTTGGCGGCGGTGCTGACGGTGACAAAGATCTCGGCACCAATCATCTTGGCGAGACAGACAGAAGCCTGGCCAATGCCACCACCAGCGGAGTGGACCAGGATGCGCTGACCCTCACGGAGGCGTGCCTGCTCGATCAAGCTGTAGTAGGCGGTGCAGTAGGCCAGAGGAAGAGTGGAGGCGTCCTCGAAAGACATCTTGGATGGCATGGGCATGACGTTGGCGGAGGTGGTGCGAGTGCGCGTGGCATAGGCGCCGTGCTTGATGGTGAGGGCGGCAATGCGATCGCCAGCCTTGTGAGCCTTGACAGCGGAGCCGACTCTGGTGACAACACCAGAAGCCTCGACACCAAGGGCGTGCTTGTCGGCGTCGGGGATCTGGCCCTTAGCAAGCATGACATCGCGAAGATTCATGCCAACAGCCTTGACCTCGAACTCGACCTCATCGTCTCCGAGAGGCTGGGTAGCAGAGACATCATCAACGAAGTGCACCGTCTCGATGGCACCGGGAGTAGAGAACTCCATCTTGAGGTATCGGTTGTCCTTGCCAAAGGGCTGGAGCTCGACAACGCTGGGGTTGGTCTCGCGGTGGACGAACTCGTTCATCTCCTCGTCGTGAACAATGCGGGGGGTGAAGAACCGGCCGGAACGCTCCATGAACTCAAGCTCGCTTGTGGACGAGGCATTGGCGCCGAAAGCAAGCTTAAAGATCTCGAAGATAACGGCAGAAGAGTCATCCTCGTCCAGCTGGTTGTTGTCGTCAAGATCGAGAGTCGCGAAGGGCAGAACGGTCTCGGAGCGGACGGTTCTGCTAAGACCGATGATCATGTTGGACTCGGGCGAGGTGGCCTTATCGTAGGCACCACGGACAACCCACAGGCAGCCCTGGACGCCAGCAAGCATGTTGCGGACCTCGGCGAACTGCTCCTTGGTAGGGTTGGCAAGGAAGGGCTGCTCGATCTCAGTGAGGACGATGGTCAGCTTGCCCTCGGTGTTGACCTCGTGCATGCCACCCATCTCGGGAAGTCTGGAGGTAGCACTGGCCAGGGCAATGGCGAGACCGTTGGCCAAAGTCTGCTGGAAGTTGGAGTCGCCGTGGATGATGGCGACATCAACGTCAGGCAGAGGAGCGTCAACCTTGACTCCGAGAGCGCCGTTGATCTTGGTCTTGGCCTTGCCAGAGAGCGACTTCAAGTTGCCAATGTCCTCCCACTCGAGCTTGTAGCAGAGCTCGCGAGCGGGGTTGCTGGCCAACTCAGTCTCACCATCAATGATGGGGGAAACGGTGAGCTCATCAATCTCAATGACGAGGTCATTTTTCTCGGAAGTGGCGAACACAGAGACCTTGGTAGAGCGGGCCTCGGCCGGGAAGTCAGCCTTGCAGTAAGCCTTGAGAGTGCTGCCAGGCGTCTTGGTGAGGGCGGTGATCTCGCGGGCGATGGACATCCTGCCGATGGAGGAGGGCAGGTAGACGGTGTTGATGTCGGTGCGGCCGGCGCCAAGGATGGGCCAGTACATCTCGATGACGGACTCCAGGAAAGTCGGGTGGAGCACAGTGCTGGTCTGGTAATGGTTGGGCATGTCGGCGGCGACGTCAAAGGCTGCGATGTTACCCATCGCGTACTTGCTGGAAGCCTTACAGTCCTTGATGCCCTGGAAAGACGGTCCGTATCCGACACCGAGCTCAGTAAGGCGCTCGTAGATGTCGGCCTCAGCGACAGCAACAGCCTCAGGACCCTCGCTGGCCTTGATGGTAGCCTCAGCGCCACGAAGAGCGGCCAGCTTCTGCTCCTTGCCGTCGACCTCGTTGGTCTCGGTGGTGTGTAGGGCAATCAGACCGACGCAATGCTCGGTCCAGCCGCTGCCGTGCGACCAAGAGCAGATGCGGAACTCCTTCCAGGTCTCAGATGCGGTCAGGTTGGTCTCCTGGTGAGGGCGGAGGTTGATGGTCAACTCAACATCGGCGTCCTGAAGGGCCAAAGGCTTGACAACAGAGACATCTCTGAGCTCGAACTTCTCAAAAGAAATTTCCTTGCGCTGCGCCCACTGAGCGGAAGCCTCCAGAGCCATGCCGATGAAGGCAGAGATGGGGAAAATTGTGACAGACTGGACAGCGTGGTGACGCAGCCATGGAAGGTCATCAAGGTGAATGATGTTTCTCCATGTGGGCTCAAGGTCGCTGGAGTAGATGGCCTCAAGACCGATCAAGTCGTTTCTGGGCGACTTGCGGTACTTGTGCATCTGAGTCATGCGAGACTCCTGCCAGTACTTGTTCTGGTAGTTCCAGGCGTAGCGAGGAAGATCGGTCAACAGGGAAGGCTTCTTCTTCAGGTTGGGGAAGTTGACGTTGTCCATGTTGAGGATGGCACCCTTGGTGATGAGGTTGCAGGCCAAGTCCATGGCAGACTCAACAGCATCCTTCTTGCGGATGAGGGGAGATACGTATGGGATCTTCGTCGCGGCTTCTCCAACATGCTTGAAGATCTGCTTGATGGGACCCTGAAGAGCGGAATGGGGTCCCAACTCGATGATCATGTTGACACCAGTCTTGTGCTCGCCAACAGGCTCCAACATGGTCTCGAGAGCCTCGGAGAAGCGGACGGGGCAGGTAAGGTTGTTGACCCAGTAGTGAGCCTGGCATTCAAAGCCGTCGATCTGGTGGCCGTAAAGAGAAGAGTGGAAGCGGACGTCAGTGGTCTGAGGGTGGGGGAGATCAGAGATGGACTCCCTGTACTCCTTGGCGACCAGGTTCATGTGGTGGGAGTGGTAGGCAGTCTCGATCTGCAGGCGCCGGTTGAACATCTGCTTCTCCTCGAGGTTCTTCTCGAGCTCGATGAGAGCGTCGGTGTCACCGGAGATGGTCAAACTGGAAGGACTGTTGTAGCAGGCGATCCTGACTTGCTGCTGCTTCAACGCATCAATCATGGGCTGGACCTCCTCCTTGCTACCGCCCACAGCCATCATGGAACCGCGAAGGTCGGGGTTCCTCTTCTTCAAGATGGGGACAAGACGACCTCTGTGGTAGGCAATGGCCATGGCAGCCTCGAAGCCGATGATACCGGCGGCGTAGGCGGCACCGATCTCACCACTGGAGTGACCGGCAACGGCTGCAGGGCGGATGCCCCAGGTGCGGAGGAGATCAGTCAATGCAAGCTGGACGGCACTGCAAGCCGGCTGACTGATGTGAGCATCTCCAACTCTGGATGATTCTTGGTCCTTGCTGAGCTCCTCGACGAGAGACCACTCGGCGCCGAGCTTCTTCAGGCACTCATCAGCTCTGTCAATGGCGGCGGTGTAGATCGGGTATGCGCCGTAAAGCTCACGACCCATGCCCCACCATTGGGCACCCTGTCCGGTGAAGACGAAGCCAATTCTCAGAGGCTCAGTCTCCTTGCCGGGGATGACCTTTCCGCTGTTGAGAGTCTCGATGAGCTCGAAAGAATCCGAGGCAGGGATAGCAACCCTCCAGGGAAGCAGAGAGCGACGCGAGCCCAATGTGTATGCAATGTTGTCCATCAGGTCGTTTTGGAAGATCTCGGGCCTTTGCTCGAGGTAGACAACAAGGTTCTTCATGACAGCACCGACGGAGTTCTTGTCGTTGGCGGACAAGACGTAGATCTTCTTGGTGCCCTTGACCTTCTTGGCTTCCGGGGGAGGCAGGTTCTTGTCCTTCTTGGGGGCAGCGGTAAAAGGCGCCTTCTCCAAGACAATGTGGGCGTTGGTGCCACCGAAACCGAAGTTGTTGACACTGATGTACTTCTTGTTCTTGGGCCAAGGCCTCTGAGTGGCAGGGATCTTCATGTTCCACTCCTTCCACGGGATCTTCTCATTGGGCTTCTTGAAGTCGTGGTTCGGGAGGAGGAAGCCTCTCTCCAGCATCATGGCGGCCTTGATGACTCCAGCAATACCGGAGGCGGCCTCAAGATGGCCAATGTTGGACTTGACGGAGCCGATGAAGAGAGGGTCCTTCGTCGATCTGTTCTGGCCAATGACGTTGTGAATGGCGGTGGCCTCGATCGGGTCACCGACCTTGGTACCAGTGCCGTGGGCCTCGACATATCCGCAGTCGCTGGGGTCAAGTCCAGCGTTTCTGTAGATCTGTCTCATGAGCTTCTCTGCATAGGGTTGTCAGCGTCTACATTCATAACGTGGGGCGCTTTTTGATGCATACCCTGCGCTGCGCCGCTGGGCATCGTGATGCCAGGGGTCTTGCCATCCTGGTTGATACCAGTGCCTCTGATGACGGCACGGATGGAGTCGTTGTCTCTGATGGCCTGATCAAGAGGCTTCAGAATAATCATACCACAGCCTTCGCCACGGCCGAAACCAGTACCACGCTGGTCGAATGCAATAGAGCGGCCAGAGTCCGCAAGCAATCTGAAGTCAACTGCGTCAGCATCGACTGAGGGCGACGGGAAGAAGCACCCGAGCGTGCATCATGCGCTTACCTGCAAGACGAGAACGAAATCCAAAACTCAGGCAACATGTTCAGATGGCAACCACCAACAATAGCGGCGGTGGACTCGCCGGCACGCAAACTCTGGCAAGCCAAATGAAGGGCTACCAAACTAGCCGAGCAAGCGGTGTCTGCCGTGAAACTTGGCCCTCTGAGATCAAAGAAATGTGAAAGTCTGTTGGACTGCATCGCATGGGCACATCCTGACCGGTAGGTTAGCGCGAGTAAGCATCCGGGGTACAGGGATGATCCTCTTCTTACCTGTGGCCTGGTGCATGGGTATCGTGTCGCTGTCCCTGAACAGATGGCTCTCATACTCGGCAAAACTGCCGCCGACAAAGACACCGACGTCTTTTCCAACGATCGTGTGCTTGGGGATACCAGCGTTCTCGAGCGCCTCGAAGGTACACTCGAGCAGCAGACGCTGCTGAGGGTCCATGGAGATGGCCTCCTTCTCCGTCAACCCGAAGAAGGGGGCGTCGAACGAAGCCAGGTCGACATTCAAAAAATTACCGCCCTCGGCGTGGTAAGCGCCAGTCTTGCCAGGGTTGGGGTGATAGAAGGCCTCATGGTTGAAGCGCTCCTTGGGCACGGGAGTAAAGCCGGTTCTGGCGCGGGAGCACAGCTCCCAGAATTCGGCAGGGCTGGAGACGCTGCCCGGCAGACGACAAGCCATGCCGACAATGGCGATGGGCATCTGTTTCAATCCGGCATCGCTGCCACCGACTGGGTTCGTGTAGGCCGCGTTTGCGCTGCTGCCGGCGCCGCCATTGGAATGGCCGTTGGAGTGGCCATTACCGTTCGAGGATTGTCCGTGGATGTTGAGGCCGACGCCATCTAGGGGCCCCACGGACAGGCTGGTGAAGCCATCGGACGTGGTATCGGAGTGATCGATCGGGGTCATCATTACAGGACTTGCCGAAGGCGATGTCCCCGAGGAGGAGTAGGACAGGACGCCGGGCGCCATGATGAGGGGCGGAGGGAGAAGATTGCGGAAGCCGCTTGTGTGTGATGATCCTATTCCGCAAGCATTCGTCGAAGCAACGAAAGAAAGTGACAACGAAGGTTCCGGCGCTCTAGGCGTTCCTTACAATGACAAAAGAAGAAAGGAAGAAAGATGGGTGAAGAGAGGACGAAACGAAAGGCGGACTGCGAGTGCTCTAATTGATATCTTTTGGGCTTGGAAGAGGGCAGGCCGGATGATATGGGAGTACGTACCAAGCCTCGTTGAGATGAGTGAGTGTGACGAATCTTCTTTTCCTGGACCTGGTTGGGAATCTCTGTAGGGTTTTTAGCTGATCAACGGCCACGGGTGAAGATCGCCTCGATGGTGCTCGCTCCGTCGCGGAGTGGTTGACATGGAAGGGACTGGTTGGTGATCAGATCGCCAAGTCGGCCGGAGTTCTTCGCACAGACTAGCCTGTGTGATTTAAATTTGCCTGACGGTTGGGTAGATCATAGGGAGATCCCGAACGTGCATGCCAGGCTCATGCCAGGTGGGAGAGAGGTCGTTTACGGAGAGTGAGCCAGGGCACATCCGATGCCGGGTTGCCCATGTCGAGCCGGAGCAGCGGAGCAGCGGCAGTCCTTGCTGTTCACGACGTCGCCATCCCCCCCAGATCAGCCAGATCAGGGAGTACTAGGCAGGATCAGAGTAAGGGTACTGGTGGCGCCGGTTGGAGAAGCCTGTTCCATGATTATGGTTATTCTCGTCAAAAGCAAGTCTCATGGAATGATTATGCACATCAGGTGGATCAATTGGTCTATCCGTTCATCATCGAAGCATAACCAGTAAACCACGTGCGGTATATTCGGCGGCGAGAACCAGGTCCGGTGGTTCGTCTCCAAGGGCCATATCCAATCGGTCACCGTGATTCGGAGACACTCACTCTGCCTCAGCAGGATGGCGTTGTCTTTGATTGCGCAGAGTGTGCCTTAGCCTGTTTGCGATTCAGCAGCACTGCCAGGCTACTCTGCAGTTTCCATGCAGATTGCAGAAGCCCGACGTTTGACTCGGACCAAGACATGGCAGCGCAATGAACACTCGAACCCCCGGACGGGGGCCCGGTGGCGTGGTTCGGAGGTGAGGTGGTGGAAGGAGTCGAGGGCGACATGGAGGGGACGGGAGAGAGAGAGAGTTGCTGTGTGTTTGCACTGGCGCTACTGTGTAGAATGCCGAGTCTTTGGAGGGTGGAGTATCCCACTGAGAGAATGGACCGTGAAGCAGAACAGAGCCACCAGGAGGTGGAGCAGCAGCAACGCGCTGAGCATCACGACAGCATGGCAACGCAGAATGCAGCGTGCACCGTGGGCTTGGGAGGAGGTCATTGCGGCTTGGTCCCGACGCGGCCTAGCGGGCTGCGGAGGAAGAACTCTGTTGATGTTTCTGCTTATGTAAGAGCCAGGCAATGCTCGGATCGCAGTTGCTAGTGGCTTTTGGAGGAGGCTCTTTGGGGCTCTTCAGGGCATTTTGCGGCCGATGTCATGTCTGGAGGTTGCCGGCGCAGTGGCGACCCAGTGTCCACGATGCAAGTCCCATGGCAGAGACTGGGAGAAGGGATTCCTGCAACCTGCCGACCCAGCCATTGTACGGACTAAAGCCCCCCCCTCCCACGAAGTGGCAGAGCACTTCATAACTGCCCGTAGACGAGATGATGGGGCGGAGTGCAGATTTCCCCCCATCTCCAGGCATCCGTCTGGTCCTGTTTGCTGGGAATTCTGCTGGCTCCGCGGGTTCTACAAAGACTCGCAGGGAAACCAACGTGGCGGTGCTTGTTTCCTTCGTCCGCTCTCATGTTTTTCTTTTGGTCTGGTATTCGGCGCTCGTTTGTCAATCGGGTTGGAAAAGAGGTGTATCTTGTGTCAAAAGCACCGACAACCGTGATGGCGGCGGGCGGGAGCGTCGAGGCGTGCGTCTGTTCTCTGCCCAGTTTCGTCCCTATCATGGTGGAGTGGCCATGGCCAAGGAGCAAAGGCTATCACGACACGAACACCGACACCTAGGCAAGCTGTGCTGCGGCGCCAATGTACAGATGGGGGTGAGAAGCATTGGGACCGTTCAACGTTGTCTGACTCCAAGACAACCTAGCGAACGGGGTTGAGTGGAGCAAAGGGGGGAGGGGGTGCAAAGCAACGATGGGCGGCGAGGGAGATGCATACGGGTGAAGAAAATCAGGGGTTGAAGGTACAGAAATATGTAGCTGCAATTGCAAGATGCAAGGCCCCCGTGTTCGGGGTTCCATGAAGGACAAGCTGATTGATCGATTGATTGACTGACTGACTGACTGGCTGCAGATGCAGATGCAGATGCAGCCTTCGAACGGCACCATATGCAGGTGCTGGTGCAGCAGCCCGAAAAAGGAATGGTTGGATCTATCGCCCGAAATGGGCTCTAGCTTGGCCTCTGAACAAACCGCGGATGAGTGATGCAAAAAGTGAGGATGAGGTCAAGGTAAGGTGATGTAAGGTCGCACTGCATAGGACGGTATCCACTCTACCGGCCTATCGCATCGTCCCTCGTTATCAGACTATACCGTCCAAGACATTCCCAATGCACAACCAGCATATCTTTGTACCACCTCCCTCGCCTTGTTCGGATGTCCTCCCGCCTGGAACCCTCCGTCTTCGTATTCTCACTGTCTCTGGATCCTGCCGTAATTCCATTTCATCGACAGCTCCGTCGAGTCAAGCTGGCTCGGTTTCGGATATACCTTCCACCATCGCCAGCCGCCTATCCCAGCTCTCCATTGTTACTGGAAGACAGCCCAAGGCATTGAGTATGTTTCTAAAACTGCTTCTGTCAGAAAGCTTTGGCAGCCTTCCAAATCACAAGCGCGCGCCCGCCGCACTCCCTCCCGAGCCGTTGCACCATCAAAGCTCTTATTTGACACGCGCCAGCCACACTAAAGGCCTTGTCCCTGCACCGCACTCGATTTGCGTTATCTTTTTCCGCGCCCTGCGCTGCGCTACGTACCTCTCGTGCTTCGCTCTCAGCAGCTCTCCTTGACCTTGACCTTGACCTTGCTCTGCCTCGCTTGCTTCCAGAAACCCATACACGCTCAACACGGCAACTCAACCGTGAGCCTCCCATCCTAGCACCCATCTTACCACATCCCGTCAAGGTCTGCAAGCGAGTTGGCTGGAGAATGCCCGTGTTCCATCGAAACGTAATCTCTGCAAAACAATGTTTCCTTCTCTGCAAACACACGCGCCTACCGGACGTCGCTCGATCGCCCGCCCCCCCAGCCACTCAAGTCGCCCAATCTTTCTCACTCATCCCTCGTCGATGCTCACTCTCGAAATATGCACGCTCAAGCACACAACCACACATTTGCTGCTCAAGCACACCATTTCAGCACACTTTCCGTCCACCCATCCCACTCGTCCCCCGTCCTTCCAGTCAGACAGACGAGACCATTACACCCACACTGCGCCCCCGCGCGGGCGCTTCCCCATCTAGTTTCAAGCGTACAAGGTGACAGAGCAGGCCCGAAGTCCAGTCCATTCCAAAGTCCAATCATCGTCAATATGTCATCGGTGGCGCCAGTGCATCACCAACGCATCGGCCGAGTGTCCGAATCTCGGGTTGCCCAGGAAGTAATTTGGCAGCTCGACATACCTTTGCCGGCTGCCAAGTGTCCTGCTCCACCTGCAAAGAAGCTCAATGGCAACATTCCTCTTCGATTCCTTCCATGTGGCGTGGCGTCTTGCCGCGCTTGTTTCGCCCCCCTCCCCTCGTCTTGAGTCGCTCCCACTCTGATCCTCGCCTAGATTCCTTGCCCGAGGACCGGGACATCCTGCCAAGCCCGCCTCGAGGACCGATACTCACAGGCCCGGTCTCACATCACCGTACTCCCAGCTGTAGCCATCCACTCATCCACCCATCCCGCTGCTCTCCAGTATCAGCCCCAGCTCTAGTAACAACAGCTCAAACCAACCCGTTGTTCGAGCTGGTCCCATCACTGCAGTACATTGCCTCAATCACTATGAAGTGCAGAGTTTCAATTGTCTTCCCGGGTCACGGCCGATTTGACTTACTGTTCCAGTTCTGGGACTCTTCCAACTCAGCCTCCTCCTGTCTTGTCGTCGTCCCGCCTCAACTGCTGCGCCGTCTCATAGCCAGTCTGAGCTGATGATTTTGTTCGTGAACCGAATGCCGCACACCAGATCACAAGTCTTTCTTTTGACAGGTTCGATTTCATTAAAACGCTCCCGTTGGCCAGGCCAATCTCGTCAACAATTCATTCTCCACACCGCGCTGAATCATCACAACCATCACCACAATCATAAAACAAACAAGTCCACAAATACTCACGCACCCGCTTTCCAACAATCGCCTCTTGACACTCTACTTGTTGTCATTGGACGATCGGTCTCTCCTGCTTCCGTACTACACAATACACTCACACTAAAAACCCATACCAGTCATCATGCTGCGCTTCTTGTGCCTTCCCGGAGCCTATGGCAGCTCGGACGTGAGTACTTGGACCTGATGCTATCTTGGACATCTCACTAACGCACAATAGAAATTCCAAGTTCAACTAGGTGGGTTTTCTCATGCAAGCCACTCCCGCCCTTCGCGGGTGGCTTCACTTTTGACAACAGCATACTTACTTTCTTTCAGCCCCCATCTTGAAGGAACTCACCGAAGACGGCACCGCACAGTTCCACTTCATCCATGGTCCCTGCAAGGCCGTCCCGCCTCCCGGCTTTGAGGACTACTTCGGTGCACCCCCTTACTACCGCTTCATCGAGCCCGATAGAGATGTCGAGAAGTCTCACAGCGATGATGTCCTCGCCCGTATCCGTGATTTCCCTCAGTGCGAAACCGCTGAGGACACCATGAGGGATCTCATGAGGGAAGGTATCGCGACCACGCACCGCAGCACCGATAGAGCCATCAAGTACCTTGCGGACATCGTCGCCAAGCGCGGCCCCTTTGACGGCATCATCGGCTACTCTGAGGGCGCCACCGTGGCGTCGACCTTTATGCTTTACGAGCAGCGCCGCCTCAAGCGCTCCGGCATCAAGCCAGCATTCAAATATGGCATCTTCTTCGCCGGCTGGCCGCCCGTCGACCCCAAGACCCACGCCCTCGTCCTGTCCGACGAGACCGACGAGAGAATCGAGGCCCGCACCTTGCACATCAGTGAGTCGTTTGCGTGCAGCGCATCATCACGCTTGTCCGTAGGAATGCTGACGATCCTTTCCAGTCGGATCCTTGGATCCTTATGTCGACGGCTCCATGGCTTTGTACAACATGTGCGATCCCGACACCGCCTATCTTTTTGATCACGCCAAGGGCCACACTCTGCCCCGTGACAAGGATACCATCAAAGAGTTGGGCGACATTATCCGCGACACTCAAGCTGAAATGCAAGAGGAGGGACTCTTGACGTCGTCGTAAAAGGTTCAAGGAGAGTGTCGTCCCGAGCAGGGATAGATCCCGGATGGATTAGCGTTGCATCGGTTGTCATTTTAGGATCTGTTGTCATTTTGGGAACGAGGTGGGAGGTGTAGCAAGGGACCGGTTTCCTCTCGTGTCAGCATTAGAGATAGATCGGATCGAGTTTTGGGAGTTCCGCATATCTCGGAGCCTGCTGGAGTCGGGTAATATGGTTATTTGGGTTTTATTCCGTTTATGGCTTCTCACTCCTTTCTAAATCTTGTCCACCACCATCTTCTTTGGGACCTGCATGGTTTTGGTTCAGCTCGCCACTAAAATTCTAGACTAAAATTCTAGATGCATTTCCTAAAAACTTGACAGGAGTTCCATCACGGGACCGTCAAACATGTCAAACCTGCTTGATACTGGAGAGATACTTGAGGGGCGCATAAATGCATGATCTGGCAGAAACATCCTTCGCAGAGTCTTTGTTTTTGTCATGATGGGGTAGCGACTGTCAATCTGCCACCAAGACAAGATATCAAATACTTTTGGGACTGGGATTGCATGGAAACACATCATGTTCATGAATGCAAACGTGAGAAGTGTAAAAGGTTCCTTTGTGTGTTACCATCGGAATCGTACCCAGATTCGCTTCTGTTCCCGGGCAATCCATGCAACTAATCTGCGAACCATCTGCACATCTCCTCATAACATCTCCCAAACAAAAGATGAAATTCTCCATGAAATTACTCCTCTAGGCATTGATCTCCAGGATTGTGGCGGCAATCGGAGGATGGCGAGAGGGTGGGTAACAGGGGAAGGGGGATACCTGTTCTTGCATCGTAAAACATGCGTGACCTGGCTTTGCCCCAGACCACTCTGGGACGAGCCGGAGCGTGATCCATCCTGCCGCACGGGCTATCCCAGATAACCCCTTGATGTGCATATGCGAGTATGAGAAATAGTAATGTAATATCTTCTCTCGCTGCCTAGCCGCGCTTTGAGTTGAGCTTTGACGCTTGAGAGGGAGAGACATTGAGAAAAATAGCGGCGAATAGTTGGAGCGGAAGACGAGAAGAAAGAGACACATGCACCTTGTTTCATCTTTACAACACACGGGTAAAAGAAAGAAACGACGTCCGTTCCCTTACTCGTTTCCACTTTCCAAGGCCGATCTGAGCTCATACTCTCTTAGCATCTTGCCCCAATGTTTCCATAGGCATTCCTCCGCTCTTGGTGCCCACTTGGGTGTTTCTGATGGCCTTGAGCCGTCACTTACACCAGCTTCTTTTCCCCGCTGCCCAGGCTGCTGAGCCATCCATTCATCCCAACTCGTCCAGACAACCCAACCACCCCAACTAAGCCTACCAAGCCCTCCTCTCAAGGAATCCATCCCATCTCCTCTAAGTAATCATCACACTCCCAGCGCCCAAACCAACTCTCTCGGCGCTGGGTCGATTTTGCTGTTTCGAACAGCAATGCGGAAGCGACACAGCCCTTCTCTTGCCCGGGTGGCCCGTTGACAACGTGCCTGGTTACATCTGCTCTCCCCCCCATTTCACGGCGATACCCCCCATCCCCCCAATTTCCAATTCCAAACCCTTGCTCCGTTCTCCCTTTCCCCCCTCCCTCTCTCTTGCCCGATTTTTGTCGGCTTCTTGGAGTTCCTGAGTTCGCAAACTTCCCTCTCCCCTGGCTCCTAGGAGCTTTCCTGTTGGTTAGGTTGCTTCTCTTACGAAAGACTGCCGCGGGACGACAGAGACGCCACCGTCACTTGTCTCCGAGCATCTGACAAATTGCCCCCCCCCCCGACAAGATCGATCTAATCGAATATCGCATAAGGACACGAGCTTTTTACTAAAGTATACCTTTTCAAAGATTTGATCCATTTCACTTTCTTCCCGCCCCCACCGATCCCTGGTCAAATCCCACATGGCCCGGACCTCCACTTAGTCTGCAACACCAAACACATCTGCCGCCGGAACCGGTATCCGATCGCAACCCGGATCTAGGAGCCTCCACTCCACCAAACCCCCGAACCCATCATGGCCACGCCGGCCGGCGCCGCTGGAGCGGCTGCTCCGGCTGCGGCCGCCACCGGGACCGCGGACGCTCCCACTGGGACCGCTGGCGCCCCCGCCGACCCCGGTGGTACACCGGAGGTCAAGAAGGGCTTCTTCAAGCTCAACCCAAAGACCGTGGCAACGATTCGCAACTTCTTTGTAAGTTCACCTTGTCGACGCCTCACATGCACTTGACGATATCATGAGTGCACTGACATATCTTTTTGCTAACCTGCATCGCAGAAAATCATGAGCTATGGTACCCTGCTTGATAAGTTCATCATAGTGTTTTCATGTCTTGGTGCGATTGGTGCTGGTCTTACCATGCCGGTGATGAACATTGTCTTTGGTAGGTGCTTTTCTTCTCGTTCAAAACAGTAAGAATTCTGACAGTTCTTAGGACAACTCGTCGGCACCTTCACTGGGTTCTTCATGCAAGGTACCTCCGAGACGCAGGAGCAGTTTGTGCATGCCGTCAACCAGGCGTGTAAGTGTTGTTCTCGGATCGCAACCACTCGTTCCTCGACTAATAAACATTCAGACTGTACATAGTGTACCTTTTCATCGCCAGATTGTTGTTCACCTATCTTTCAAATGTGAGTAAACTCATCAGCTTGTTTGCACCTTGGCTGACACCCGTATAGCTCGGCTTTCGAATGACAAGTCTTCGCATCTCAGCAAAGATCCGCCTCACGTATCTGGGACGCCTGTTCGCCCTCCCCATTTCAACGCTCGACATGCTGGCACCGGGCCAGACGGCCGCAATCATTACCATCACCGCTAGTATCCTGCAGCTGGGCATCTCCGAGAAGATGGGGCAGTTTTTCTCCAGCCTCGCAGTCGTCGTCGCCGGTTTTTCCATCGCCTTTGCTTACAACTGGCTTCTCACCCTTACGACGAGTTCCGGCCTGGTCTTCATTGCGATTGTCTACACCATCACCACCCCACCGATCATCAAGAGACTAAAGGACGTCCAAGACATGGATATCGCGGCCGCCTCCGTTGCCACCGAGGCATTCAGTTCCATTCGCATGCTGGCGGCTTGCGGCGCTGAGTTCAAGATGCTTGCGAAGTACGGGCTGCTGGCTGACCAGTCGAGGAAGAGAGGAGCTGGTATGGCTTGGTTGGTGGCAATCCAACAAGGTCTTAGTAAGTCACCACAGCTCGATTGATAAAGTTCATCCTGGCTGACTATTGAAAGTTTTCTTTGCCATTTATGCGTAAGCAACCGATCCGAAATGTGCGAGTGGCACTAGCTGACCATTGTAGAACTTTCGCCCTGTCATTTTGGTATGCCTTCAAGATGTACACCATGATGGCATTGACGACCCCGACATCATTGATTGTGTGAGTGCTGCTTATCCTTCTGGGCCCACTGTCCGGTTTCTAATCCGATGTCAAGGGTCCTTCTGTGCATTATGATGATGGCATCTTCTCTGGGTCAGATCACGGCGCCTCTACAAGCGGCATCTCAAGCGGCCGATGCCAACGCCATTTTCCACACCATCATTGACGCCCCACAACAAACGTACGGGACACTCAAGGGACCCGAGGTCTCTGCAGCAGAAGACATCGTCTTCCAGGCGGTTAATTTCGTGTACCCTAAGCGCCCGGACGTCAAGATCCTGGACAATCTCTTCATCAACTTTCCGGCCGGCAAGGTCACTGCCATTGTGGGCCCTTCGGGCTCCGGCAAGAGTACCATTGTCGGCATCTTGGAGAGATGGTACGAGTTCAACGGCAATATGGAGACAAACCAGCTGGTGAGTTGTCAACCTACATCACTCTCACGTTTGGAACTAACACGCAGCCATAGGTTCTGTTTCTCAGAAATGGTATCATCAGGGTCGGCAATCGACTTCTGAGCGAGATCGATCCCAAATGGTGGCGTAGCCAGATCGGTTTGGTTCAGCAGGACAATGCCCTCTTCAACACTACGATTTACCAGAACGTGGAACACGGCCTCATCGGAACTGAGTGGGAGCACAAGTCTCAGGCGGTCAAGGCTCGGTTGATTGAGGCAGCGTGTAAGGATGCGTTTGCCGATGAGTTCATCTCACGCCTGCCAGAGGTATTTTCAAACCACAAGACTCCTCAACGATGTATACTAACTTGCTGCAGGGTTACCAAACGGAAGTTGGCGATGCCGGAATTAAGCTCTCTGGAGGCCAACGTCAGCGCTTAGCCATTGCCCGCGCCATTGTCAAACAGCCCAAGATCCTGATTCTTGATGAAGCAACCTCCGCCATTGATGTCCGCAGTGAACAGATTGTCCAAGCCGCCTTGGACAGGGCCTGCAAGGGCCGAACCACCATCATCATTGCCCATCGTCTAGGTACCATCAGGAAGGCCGACAACATTGTTCTTTTGCGCAAGGGCCAGGTCGTTCAGCAGGGTACGCACGAGGATCTCATGTCACAAACCGACGGCCCCTACCACCTTCTGGCTACTGCGCAGAAGCTGGACATGGGAGTCGAAGATGAGGAGGATGTCCTGTTTGGCGATCTGAGCTGGAGACGACCCGAGCCTGAGGCATTGTCCGTCAGGAAGTCTTTTCAAGGTGGCAGTAGCACTGGCGATCTCACCGAGAAGAGAGCCAGCAGCGATGGCACTTCCGCGGGTATGTTGCAGCATCTTCACGAGATCGACGCTTCTGATGAGGAGCTTGAGCGCACCGAGGCTGGCACTTTGAGAGTTGTCAAGCCGCCGCGAGGCTGTCTTGGAAGATGGAAGGCTTTCCACATGTTTGGCAGCTTCGGTCAGCTCCTCGGTGAACAGCAGAAGAGATGGAAGACTTACATTGTCATTGCTATTGCCGCACTTGGCGCTGGAGGTAAGCCATCATACATTATTGTCATTCCCATTCTCTGATGATCTAACCAAAACCACAGCAAGTACTCCCGTCCAGGCATATCTCTTTGCTGTCTTGGTCTCATTGTTCTCGTACTGGGGAAGCTTCTTGAAGGTTATCGCCAACCATTGGTGTGAGATGTTCATGTATCTTGCCACAGGTGTTGGTGTTAGCCATTTTCTTCTCGGCTGGGCTACGACCACCATCGGCTTTGTAGGTTACTCTGTTGCCTCGTGACTGTAAACAAACTAATCCCATCCCAGGGCATCGTTCGCGTCTACCGAAAAGAGTATTTCCGCAACATTCTGTACAAGCCCTCTTCCTTCTTCGACGCAGAGGGCAACTCGGCTGGTTCCCTCACCGCCCGCTTGGCCACCGATCCGACGATGCTCCAGCAGCTCCTGGGAACCAACATGGCGTTCGTTCTCATCTCGCTCTTCAATGTCATCGGATGCATCGTCGTCGGTCTCGTCTTTGGCTGGAAGCTGACCCTCGTGGCGCTCGGCACGTCCATGCCCATCATTGTGGCGGCCATGTTCTACCGCGTCAGGCACGAGACGAGCTTCGAAGAGGCAAACAATGCTGTCTTTGCTGAAAGTGCCAAGTTCGCATCTGAAAGCATCAGTGCCATCCGCACCGTCTCTAGCTTGACGATGGAAGACGGCATCTGCCAGCGGTATGAAGACTTGCTCAATGCTCACATCAAGGATGCTTTCCGCAAGTCTCGTTTTTCGGTTATGGTTTTCTCGTTCAGTGATAGTATCTCGCTGCTTTGCATGGCTTTCGTTCTTTGGTAAGTATGGTTCCAAGCTCAATGGCGGGACAGCATACCTAACCTATGACAGGTATGGTGGCAAGTTGCTCTCAAGCCATGAGTACACGCCCTTCCAATACAGTAAGTAAAATTGAGCACAAAATATTCAATACAAGCTAACTCATTTCAGTGGTTGTATACATCGCCGTTGTCCAGGGTGGCATGAGCGCAGGCCAATGGCTCAGTTTCGGTCCCAGTATGTTTATCCAATGCTAATGAAATGAGAACATTGCTGACGTCTATAGACATTGCCAAGGCAAAGACCGCCGCCGACCGCATCTTGGCTCTGAGAGAGAACGATGAAGACGAGAACCAGGTTCAGAAGGGCGTCAGCGACATCGTTCCTTACGAAGTCCACTATGAGAAGGGCGTCGAGATTGAGTTCAAGGATGTCTGGTTCAGCTACCCCACTCGAACGCTGCCTGTTCTCAAGGGCCTTGATTTGAAGATCGAGCGAGGTCAATTTGCCGCCATCGTCGGACCATCAGGCTCCGGCAAGACAACAATCATTTCCCTCCTCGAACGCTTCTACCACCTCCAGGCCGGCGGAGAAATCCTCTACAACGGCCACGACATCAAGACACTTGACCTGGTCCACTATCGCAAGAACATATCTCTTGTCTCTCAAGAGCCCAACCTATTCACCGGTACTATCCGTGAAAACATCCTTTTGGGCATCGAAGACGAGGCCGCTGTCTCGGACGAAGCCATCCACGCCGCAGCCCGCGATGCCGGCATCCATGACTTCATCATCTCCCTGCCCGAGGGCTACAACACCCAAGTCGGCAACGCCGGAGTCACACTCTCGGGTGGACAGAAACAGCGTGTGTCGATTGCGAGAGCCCTCATCCGTCGCCCTTCGCTTCTCCTTTTGGATGAGGCGACGAGTGCGCTCGACAGCGAGACGGAGCGGGGGGTCCAAGCTGTGTTCGATGCCACAAAGGGCAGCAGGACGATGATCATGGTCGCCCATCGTTTGGCGACCGTGCAGAATGCCGATGTCATCTTCGTCATGGCCGATGGCAAGGTTGTGGAAAGAGGCGACCACGCAAGTCTGATTGCCGAAAAGGGAGTATACTTCCAAATGGTGAGCTTTCCCCTCCTTCAAACCCATGATCCTTTCTATTCGATGCAGATGATGCTAACCTCCAGCAGTGTCAATCACAAGCGTTGGACAGGTAATAAGTGTTTTTCCATACGGGTTAGACAAGAATGCGTGGTAAAGGCGTCTGAAAGATTGTGTACAACTACATACCACGGGCTTCGTTTTCTCGGTGCATTTTTTTATTAGTTTTTTGACCCCATCTCCCCGGTCACATTCTAACATGTTATCTCGGCTCATTTAGAATAGCTACGTTGATATTTAACACGAATCAAATCACCCCGTTCGACTGAGGGGGTTTTGATACATGATATAACTACATTGATGACGTGAAAAGTTAATGAGGCTGGCTGCATGCTATTCAAGTCTTTAAAACAACTAGATATTGACAGCCAGCTCATGTTCCAATAGAATGTTTCTCTTCTTCACGATATTTAGAAGTTGTGCTTTCTTTCTTGATTCCGAACTCCATGAACACGATTCCATTTGATCATGCTGAATTTCTTCATTGAGAAAAAGAAAGAAAAAGTTATAGTCACTTTACTCTAGATCATGAGAGCTGCGAAGCCCAGCAAACCCGCAACGGCAACACTCAATGTACCTGGTGCACTAGTCGTAGCACCGCTCTCACCACGGTTCTCATCATTGTTGATGGTGTCGGGCATTTCCTGTCCGTCCGAAGTATAGGTCCTCAGACAGACTAGTTGCACGTCTGGGCTCCTGTCATCCTCGTCTTCGTACAGGACGCTCAGGACGGGCGTGACACCTGACCGACCTCCTGCAAGCCCGGGGTTATTTTCTCCGGTAGGAAGAATCTGACGCATCTCCGCTACGTGGTGGAGCTCGTACTCCTGGGGTACAACAGGCTGGCAGCCTTCATTCTGGAGCTGGATCGAGCTGGAAGAGACATCCGGCCCGACAATAGAACCTCCGGTGGTGTTGACAAAACCAGCATAGAGACCGCACAGTGAGAGTTGTTGGTGGATGTTGGTGTTCACAAACTGCGCCAGAGATTCGCATCGTGACAGGGTCGAACCGGTTGTGCTGTTCTGCCCTCGGCCAGAGGAGTACTCAAACTGGCGGACTACATCGGCCAGGTTTTCTTGGCAGCTGTCCGAAAGTGCACCCTCGCACGATGTTGTGTTCCGTGTTTCGCTCATGTTGAAGGTCTGTGCTTGGTACTGCATCATCAACGCACACCCTGCGGACTGGCCGCTCGTTTCGAAATCAGAGGGCACGCCGACATAGAGCGTCTGTGTGGAGAACTGGTAACCCGGCTCGGAGGCCAAAATCCCATCCGCGGTTCCGTCGACGAGGGTGTATGAAAGACTGGAGGAGGAGATATTGACAACGTCGGCTGCTATGCCCACGCCAATTACGCGAGGTGAATCATCTATGGCACAGACGCCCCGACTTTCGGGGTTGATGCACGACAGGGCTTCACATGAAGTGATGGTGCCCTCTTGCTGAGCTGCCGCGGAGGCTGCGAAAGCCGCGGTTGTGAGGTATTTGGATCTCATGATCATCAGACAGGAAGATTCGACGGTTTTTGGGAATATGGTGCGAAAGTAAGAATAGCAGGAAAAAAGAATTGGGAGCTATGGGGATGCTGGAAACCCCAAATGGGGAGAGGTAGATTAATACGTTTGCGAAGTCGAGTTGTTGGCACTGACACTGGACTCTGTTAGGATCTTTTGTAGCGGCAGAGAGAGCCGAAGGGCGGTAGCGGTGATGTCACTTGTGTTTTCTAAGCTATGTAGGAAAACATGTTGGGTGTTGATTTCCCTTGGCGATGTTCTTGGCCAAACGTGCAAGACTGCAATGAGCAGGCCATATTTTTATGGGTACTGCCAGATGACAATGTTTCCCTTTTGGTGCACCGATGATTGTGAAGGATTGGGTACTCTACCCAAACAGGCTGCTCATTGTGAGTCTTGGCTTAAGTGAGCCCACATCGTACCAAAAAAGGGCAGTGTTGAAATGACATACCTAGGCTGTAAGAAGAGCCACATATCCGTAGGCCGTCTCTACGGAAGTCGACCGCGGGTGGTCTCCGCTGCCCGCTCTTCCCGCCCGAGCTGTTCCTTTTGTGGTGAGTTATCCTCTTGGCATAACTCTTGGCAGGTCTTGGCCGCAACCTCCTCTTGGCTTCTTGCTTCTCCTCGCTCTTGGCCCTGGACAAATGTCTTGGTCGACTCTCAGCCACCTGAAATGCTTACTACTGTAACATCTCGATGACCTCAATGAGCCGGGAGAATGACTACCATTGAGGATGAGCTTCCCTGTAGATATTGGTGCTACACAAGACATACTGGACTTCTGAGCGTGGGTCTCTGCGGCGTCACATCCCACCTCTTTGCAGATGGAACTCACACTACTGCGTATTGAGCACGTGGTTTTCAAATCGCTGCCTTGGTGGAAGTAATATGTGGTCATGTTTAGGCCTGGTTGTGCGGCTGTGAACCATTGCTACTCGTTGCAACAATAACATGACTTGCTACACAGCAACTAACCTTCACGTGAGCTGGCAGGGGAAAATATGTGCCTTACCAGTACAGAGTAGAACTAGAGTTAATTCGTGGCTCTCTGGTGATAGTCTTGACCGTCTACTCCTGGTTTTCGATAAATAAGTGCAGCATCCTGATCGCGATTCCGCCGGACTCCACACCTCCCTCCCGCAGAGGATGGGCCGGGTCAGTGGTAACTAGTTAGCTGCGGCTTTCAGGTTGTCATGATTCCGTTCCGCCCGTTTGCCGGCTCCAAACTGGTTTCTACTATAGTTCGGGCTCAATAGGTATTTTCTTTAACTCATCTATGTCCTGTGCCAAGGTGATAGGATTCGAGGCTCGGGAGCTGTCGGCCTTATGAGCCCCACTCCCGCATGCCTGTTGTTATCACAAACAAGTCAAATACGATACGAAGGACTCTGTTCAGTCGGAAGATATCAAGACAGTTCGATTTCTGACCAACGATAACACCTCTCAAAGCAGCAACAAATCCTTCTCGTAACGAAAGTCCCTGTTTTCTCATTGCAAAGCCTCCAGATTCGGAATTTCTATCATTGGAACCTGTCAGTTCTTGTGTTTATTGACTTGGCATACGTAGACTGAGCTTTAAAAACGTTCATCTCTCATAAGCCCGGGTTACCGTTTCTGGAAGAAACAGGGACTTTTGATTTCCTGGCCGTGACTTGGAAGTACAAAGTAGTATGGAAGTCTGCGTGTTCACGTCACTTTTTCCGCCCTTCCGCAGGCAGCAATATTTATCAAGCTTGGCGTCGAGAACTATTGCAACCGGAGTTTGAATATGTCCTTGGTAGTAAACCAGTAGAGTACTGAACACCTTAAGATTGTGTGGAGGCATTCAAGGGGTCTTGTTAGGGCAAGGTTGCAAAAGTCTGACTAGAAGGATCCTGCCTATGCAAAAAATCACTCTTTGTAGTGCAAAAACTGGTGAACCATGTCGTGATGGGAGACGCAATGATAGCCGTAGGCCTTGTATATAAAGATATCAATATTTCCCTCTCAACCAGTTCTCAATTTTGACATTAGCTCGAACCATTACCAATCTGAGTGTTGTCTACTAGGCTACCGACCTCAGTTTGAACTTCGTTCTCCTCTCTTCAATCTTTGGGCAACACTTAACAGCTGCAATCCGACTATAGTCTCATCCTTACTCAAAATGGCCACCGCTATCGGAGTCGTCTCGGGCGTTATCACGATCTTTTCCTTTCTCCAGGACATGTTTCCCGCCCCTGACAACCCCAGTGCCAAGTTTGCATTCAAAGTCGGCCTGGACGGTGCAGGCGACCCGCCTCTGACCAACGCTGGCGGCGAGAAGCCTGACGTTCGCTGTTGGAACGAGCAAGGTGGCTTCCTCGGTATAGAAGTCAACGACGGCAACAGGTGCGAGAACGGCGCCGATCTTTGCGAGACTACCGTTTCCGATGTCGTTCAGCAACCGACTTACACACTCTTCACCGGTAACGACGACGCCATCTGCCTGGCTTGGGCTTCTGTAACATTCCCTGGTGGCCAAAAGTACGCCACTACTATCGGAAACTGGGCACAGAGCTGTGATGAAGCTTATGGCAATGGTGGCAATTGGTAAGCGAATGATCTTTTCCACAAGTGTTTTCATGTTTCAATCCATCTGCTTGGGTTTTCTGATCACCCACCATGCCAATACTGTGCCGTTACATGACTTGGAGAAGATTTCATGGTTATTCGCTGGTTCAAAACTAGCTAACACGTTTAGGTATTATTCCGACATCTACGTGCCCAGAGAGAACGGTGCCGATGAAACAGTTTTCTGCGCCTGGGTTGACAAGAACGGCGACGTCGGGACTACAGGAATTCAGCTTCACTGGCCTGAGTACGCCTCTGAGAACGGCGCCAACGATCTTGGCTACTACTGCAACAATGACCCCCCTCTCAGATTTACCACTGAGTCCGACCCTTCGGATGTCATCTTCTGGACTCGCCGGCGTGATCTCTTCTCTAGCGAACCCTCCGTTTCTGCTGCGGCTGCACCGTCACCGGCCGATAAGCAACGCCGGGTTGTTGACCAGCAGCACGAACGTCTGGCACAACGCTTTTCAAACGACTCGCGCCTTGTGAAAAGTAAGCTGCCAGCTCATACGGCCTCAGGTCTTTGTAGCGGGGGCAAGTCTGTTGGGCCAAGCTTCGTGTCTTATGACGAGCGTATGTTCTGCTATATGCCGACTAAGACTGTTTACCCATTCTGTGACGACATCGACGGCGGCGCTTGCTGGTCCGAGGAGGAGAACAAGGTTATTGATAAGGGGAATGCTGGAGCTCGGATTCCTGAGGTCCCTGCCATGGAATTCAACAATGTTCTACTGTGGGGCGATAAATAACTGACTACGAGTCGGATATAACCGCTTGTAGGCAAGGAAAGACTCCCTTTGGGAGACTTACTATTGCTTTGGTACGATTTCATCTACTCTACTACAATTCTATCTATTCAATCATATTCTTAGTATGGAAGTCTATTTGCGACAATATAGCCTGTTTATGGGACCTTTCTTGTTTTACACAAGGTCGGAAGCATGCAATGGTTGATTAGCGTGATCTTGTGGGCAAGACCTGACTCACAGACAATCAACGTCTAAGGTTCTGGCTTCATTGAATGTAATTTTCTGTTCATATGGCAACATGGTTCACTTTTGTGTCCTCTATGTGGAAGTAGCACCGAAGGTTAAAGAACTGAACTGGTCGGTTGCCTATCGTGCGTCGATTCCAGCGGTAGTCCTCAGAATAGATGGAAACAATCACGTGTTAGCACTACACTGTTAGAATTGTAAGCGGTGCTAAAATAACCACGACTCAATCATCTAAGCAGCATTGGCATATCTGATACAAATAAGACATTCGTCAATATTCTAGAATCTACTCTATATTTTCGATCAAACGCACTTTCCCCTAATTGGTGGGTTTTTTGTCTTTATAATCTGATCTCAGGCAGCAACAATAGCAAACGCAGTCAAGAACATTGTCAGTCAAAGAGAATATCTGAGATTAGTATGTCCGGTTGCTTGAAGACGCCTTGCAATTATCACCGTGTCTTTGTTCATCGTTGTTCGTCCGGTTCTCGGCCACCGATGGGATGATTACATGTCCGTCTCTGTCACAGCACTGACAAAACTTAAAACACCCGTCAAAACGTAGGTGCGACTCTCTCCTCGCTCCGTTCCATGACACTCCTCAGCTTTAGAGAACGCAACGAGCTCATGGATGTCTGCGAGACGTGCCTTGGTCTACCATCTCCTCTCATAGCCCCCGCGCTGCCCATACTAATGACGGACCTTGTACGCACCAGAGCACCACCGTCCATTGATGAGTTCTGACGACTGGCAGACATTGTTGCGGATCCGCTGCGCGGTCTTGTGTTTAGACGGCTCATCATCGAGCTCAGGGCTGTCTGCGCATCAACAGCAGGATGTCCAGACGGTGGCGACGGAGAGCCGATGACAGGGTATGGAGCGGGCGAATTGGTACTTGATGGTGCTCCTCTGGAGAGGGACGCACTGCGGGGCCTATTGAGATTGGATAATAGCATCTCTGCGGTCGACCTGCCATGTTTCTGATTTATACCAAATGTACGAGTGAACCTGGTAGGTGAACGGCTTGAACCACGGCTCGATGGCGGGGTAGGAAGGACTCTATCCCTGTTGTCGTAACCATGCTTGCCAAGTCTCATCGCATGCTCTGAGCCCAGGCCCAACATGTCGCCAGTTATCTCTGGCGGCGACCGCGGGCCGCTATGCTGAGACATCTCAAGTAGGGCGGCTTTTTGGATATCCTCGAAGCTCATGGTTACAGCTGGCATCTTGCTCAGTCTGCGGATCGCACGGCTATTTTTCTCAACAAAGGTGTTCATGGCTCTAAGTGCCCCCGCGTTCTCACGGCTCGCGACCGCGCTGACATCGCCTGTGCTGCGACCTCTGGCCTGATGCACAGCGTTGAGGGTAAGTGGCTGCGGCAGATGCGCAGAATGGTATGAGTTTGCGGCGCCCTGACTACCGGCCCGCAAGCTTGCCTGTACCTGCGCCATGACGCGGTCAAAGTCGATGTTCTGATTCGGGTTCGCGCGGGACATGTAATACGCTACCGAGGTCTGCTGTTCTAGCATGCTCGGATTAAGTTCCGCCTTGGTTGCCAGAACAAAGAGGCTTCCGTCTCTGATGCGGCGGCGGACGAGGGCCCAGCGTGTCCGGGCCGGGTTCTGTTCGAGTTGAGGCTGGTAGACAGAGCATCGGGCGAGCTGAGTGTAGAAGACTTCAAGGTGTCGCGCCATACGCTCAAGAACCTGGAGAAGAAAGGTAGATAGAGCAGTGAGGCGGGCGTTCTCGACGTCGGGATCAGAGGATTCTCTGAAAGAGTTTGCGATGCTATTCAAGGCGTCCATACCAGTGCAGGCTTCCTGGCGGAGATCCTCCAAGAGGGCAATGTCGAGCTCAACGCTGCGAGCAGCGTAGGCGAACACTCCGCGCTCTTGGAAACGCAAAGATGCTTCGGCGTCACAGACAAATTGACCTACCAGGGCAACTTCTTTGGTACAGGCCGCTGCGTCTCCGCTTGTCTTCGCCCGCGCTACTGTCCCCAGGACGTCTGGCAGCTTGGTGTCCGCAGCTGGGCCATTAGCGCTAGCAACGCCGAAGGACAATTTAAGGACGAGCTCTTGAAGCTTGGGGCCAAACAGTGCAGCGAAACCACCCTGTAGAAGTCGACTTTGGTATCCGTAGAATGTACGGACAGCGATGATGTTGGGCAGGCTCTCGCGTAGCCAAATGTTGTTGCTGCCCGCCGGGTCATAAGATGAGGATGTTTCGAGAGATGCGCCCATGATCTCGTACATTTCAAACTGGTGAGCCACCAGCGTCTCGACCGTGGATCGAAGATATGCTGACCAAAGATCGTGGAGAGTGGAGACCTCATCGTTACCGTAATCAGGCTTAGGAGTCAAGTGTCCGACAAAATATTTCGACAGGAGACTAGAGACCTCAGGATTGTTTGTATGGGCGAGATTGTCAAAGGATTTGGAGCAATCAACGCCGGCATTAGACTTGATGATAAGCGTACCTCCGGGATGCATCGGACAAAAGTCGGTGACATCGTAGACGCTTCCGTGGACCCCAATCCACATGCGAGAACCAGGGCGGTGACCGGTATGCAGCGCCAATTCGGACATGGGAATCGTCGGCAAGTTGCATGGTAATGGCTTCGGCGTCATGAAGACATCGAGCATGAACCTTCTTTCCGCGAAGGCTTTGTTGATAATGACATCGACACCCTTCTCTGTGGCTGTTCTGTAGGTATAGATTGCCTTTCGGATTCCGTTCATGACGGAATCGAAAACTGAGACAGAACCGCAGACATACAGATAGCCACCGAGACCACCCTGCTTCTTGGACATAACGAGATCACAAATCGCTACGCCCTGTTCAACAATTAGAGTATCGATATAGCGAGGTGGGGTATGCTTGTCAACAAGATCGCGGCCCTCGTATGCGAGGCCACGAGAGTCTCTGGAGAAAGCAACATGAACTTCCATGAAGTCTGCGTTGACGTACTGCCGCAACTCTTCCTCAAAACAAAACTTTTCGCGCGACTGGACACCAAGATACAGCAGGTTCTTGCCTCCAGACAGACCGCTCTGGGCAAGGCGTGCTTGCCAGAAACTCCGGAATGGGGCAATGCCACTCCCGCCAGCGAAAAAGGCACAGGGTGCCATTGGATCGAGAGGCAGGTGGAAAGCTGCCGGTCGTGAGACGCCGATGAGGATCTCATCATCAGAGTCGATCACTCCCATATCCACAGGTGGGTTGAGAAATCCGCTGGATACACCTGCGCGTGAGACCTCCTTGCCTTTGGAGAAGGTGGAGCACAACTTGTACTCCGATCTGGAAACAGCAAGGTCGACAGTCTCTGGCAGAAGATCTTCGCTGTGACTGGCGATAGAGTATGTTCGCGGAACTTCAACAGAGATTAGCTCAGCCAACCATGATAAGTTTTCGAGGTTGAAAACTTGGTCCCAGATCTGAGACGGCGTATCGGTGACGGCGTCCTGCAATAAATCACCCAAGGAGCCCCTGACAGGCCACTCATCTGTACTGAGAACCTGCAAGACGGTGTTGGAGGAAGCATGCAGCATGCCGTGAATCTTGATTGCCATGTCCTTGGTGATAGGGGCCAAATGACCTCGTCGCAGAATGTCGCCAACAGTCAACTTGGGCGTCGCCGTTCTTCTGACAGATCCAAGATGCATCTCAAAACGAGCCCAGGTTCCGCTTACTTCTACTGGTGTATCGATATATTCTTCCAAGCCAAGGGCAACGATGACTTTGACGCACTCTTCCCAGCCGTTGAGGGGCATCACTGCCAAGCGATCTCCTGGGGCAAAAGTGATTCCAGTCTCGCGGATGTCTAGGGTCACCATCGCGATGGACCGTGTTGGATCAGAATCCACAAAAGATCTGCTCAGGACCCGAGTGACATAGCGGCACTCTTCGAACGTGCCTCTCATTTGATGGGGCTCTACAGGCAGAGCGCCTCGGTAAGGCTCCAAGCGTTCCTTCATGGCCTCAGAAAACTGACGATGTGTTTCCTCCCAAGGTCTTTCGCCGTCTGCTGCACCTGAAGCGCCATTGGTCTCGGTGCGGCCAGTCTTGGCCGCGACTTCGAGGATCCCAAAAACCTTGTAACGGTGAACTCCCATAAAGCCACGTTCTCCGGTATAAGCCTCGACAATACCATCAAGTACACCCATAAGACGTGGGTCACCGGACTGTTGAACGAATTCGGGGATGCGGTAGTGGTACTCGATAGCCGCAATAAAGGCGCGCAAGTTGGACGGAAGCCACGCTCGGAGGTGGACACCCTCGGCTCCAAGGAAGGATGTGTACCTGAGTGACAGTTAGTAAATAGAATTACTGAGCGTTTGAGAAACGAAGGAGCATCACAAACGGCTTGTAATGGAGTAGATGACTTACTTCTTTCTACCAAGGAATGCATCCATCACCAGGTACGGTGGGAATTGCAAGCCCGAAGAGGCAGGACATCGCTTCGAAAGAGGGGCAGAGAATTTGGCCCAGCGCACCCATTGTTGAACAGGCACGTAATTCTCACCTGCATTGGGGTTTGTTGAAATTGAGTGGAAGGCGTTGGGCATGCGTTCGAGTATTTCTTTCAATCGGATCATCTCATGAAGCAAGCCTTCGATATTGCGATTCATGACGTGCTCTTGGCAGGCTGCGATGGCGTCGGGTCCATGTTGAAAAGAGGCTATTGATAGAAGTCAGCAGCAGTTCTTGAATAAGATTTGCAAGAGAAAAACTGGAGCGAGGAATCAAAACTGACCGGATGTCTCTGCAACTCCCTTCAAGAAAGCTACTTCAGCACGTTCGCCAAACATGGGCCATCTAAGCTCCATGTTGTCGAACCGAGCGACGTAGGGGTAGCTTGACGTTACGTCCTTAATCTTCAAGTTGTAGGAAGATTGGTCAACGAAAGTGAGGTGCGGGAGGGTCCTACCCATGCGGCGAGACACTTGGAAGTAGGGAAGAGCAATGCTGAGAGGAATGCCGACAAGTTCTTCTCCTAAATAATCACCCATCTTGCAGCTCAGTTTCAACTTCGTCGGGTTGGTTGTAGCGTTGACCCCCTCGTTTCCATCATACTTCTGCTCGAAGCGGTAGATAGAGCAGAGCATGCCTAGGGCGACGAGGGCTGCCCAGAGTGCCTGGTCCGGGATAATGTCTTCGGTACCTTCAATAACTGGTGCGGCTGCGATCGACTCTCTTACTCGGCCACGAGAAACACAACCAGGCATCCTCTCACAGAGGTCGGACCACACACGCCCTGGAGATCTGGCTAGGGCACCCGCAGCCTCATCGTAATCAGGTGGGCAGAATCCATGCTCTGTGCTGAGATAACCGTCCCTCCAACCAGTTTGTGGCCCTATCTCCTCGGCTCTGAGCATGACTTGTCTGGCTGGTGCACCAAGGGCGACAGCAAGTAAGTCTTGTTCGTTAACATTGAAGGCATCCATCTCGGCTTGGCTCTTGACCGTGTCAATCTCTTGGGTCGATGGGTACTTGGAGTAGAGGACATGGTTTATTGACTTCCGTTCCCTGTAGACATTGGGTCAGTATGCAGTGTGAACACCGGGATTAGTTGTAACGTACCTCATCTGTAGCCACTCCTCCGCGTCGACGCCTCGAGGGATCTACTCTGTTATTAGTGTGCTCAAGCCGGAGATCTGGGATTGACCTAAACTCACGTCGAATGCTGTGTGAATATCACCAGGCTGGGAAAAGCCTGAGAAGGAACATCCTCGAGGGCCCATACGGCTAGTTGATCTGCTTTGCCTACTTAAGTTGTTTGTGGCAACGGGGCACACCCTTCCAGCAACGCCCCCAACGCCCCGAACGGGGCATGATCTGTCCGAAACTGACATTTTGAGTGTGGTTTGTGCCTTCAAATGCACTTGAAGAACCAGTGAGACTAGATAAAGAAAATAGTGATTATGAACGAGGATGAATATGGCCGCCAGGGCAGGGGGAATCTACAACCACCAGGGCAAAGAAGGAAATCGGCCTCAAATCTACAAAGCCAAAAGTGAAAGAACGAGTTGGTTGAGGAACAGGACCCTTTCTGTTAGATCGATGCCGTCTCTAAAGGAGCACATTAAGTAATTACGCGATCAACGACATGAACATCGTCGTGGGCCCCATGCAGAAAAACAAGGAGCACCTTCGCCCCTGTATGCCTTTCCATGGGCAGAAGAAACTACACATGCAGACGCGGGCCACTAGAGGAAGGTCTGTGCGGTCGTTTGAATACTGATCCTAACTCCACGAGACCCAAACACGCTAATAGAGCCGCCTTAGGATGACTTGACGCCATCCCATGTCGAGACTTGGTCGTTCCTCCGGTCTGGAAGGCTTGGTTACATGGACGCCAAGATAATCGACATGCTGCAAAGTGTGGATTTGCCGGGATTGCCATGCATCCTTGGTACAATCGCTGATCTTCTGCGGCAGTCAAGCAGAGTCAGGGAGGATCCGTCTTCGCAGCCACACGGTCATTGTCTCCGGTAATAATGCGAATTGTAAACTCACTTAGCAGTTGAAGTATTCGCTGAGGCGGGATCCAGCAAGCTTGTTCCTTGAGACAACCTAATACGTAATTTCGTGCCCAGCTTTAGAAAAGGAGAGGGCGTTGGGCGACGACATAAAGTGATAACGTTAAGGGAAGAAAGAAACAAGGGTCGGGAGAGGAATAGCCTCAATTGCAAGGGCCGGTAACGCCCATGTGGATGTTACAACTAGGAATATTTGACCAATGGTGGCGCGTTAATCCATCACATATGGTTCTGTACCAAAAAACTCTGTACCTGTACAGTCGGTCCCGGTCCGCCAGATCCATATTTGTTCTTTTTCTGGATTTACGGAACGTGGGGTTGTTTGAGAGCTTGGCAACTCGTCCCTGCATCAAGTTGCAGTCTTCGAGACGCCGTCACGCAACAAGACTCCGTGAAAAAACAAGGGAACGAAGCAAATGCCAAGATTCTCAGCTTGGAAAAGAAACTTGGACACAGAGTCGCGCATTTCTTCGGACATTGATTGAAGAGGTATTCCACCGGACTCAGCAGCTTCGACGAGGCAAAGTTGAGTGCACAAAACTCCCACACGGCTCCTATCCCACCATTGATCTACGGTCCCCAGTTCCAGACAAGTAACAGCATGGAGTATGGTCTAGCGCATACCCTTCGGTGCACTTGATGTTGCCGCCTTACTTTAGGAGATTGCTAAGGAGGCGTCGCTGTCACTTCTCTCTTACATTTCTTTTTGCTGTTGAAAGGCTGCACATCGACTCTTGTGCTGCCAAGAACTCACGATGACGCGCGTTCCAGAAGTTTAGGATGCCATTGACGTTCCTTGGCAGTCCGGGCACACAGATATGGCGCACTTTTAATCCAGCCACACGTTCCTGTCATCAAAGGATAGCGAGGGGTTTTATTGCAGAGGTATCCCACACGTTAATTCAATGTATCATGGAAACTCGCCATGTGGTCGGGAGTTTGTGCTGATAATTTAGATTCGCACCAGCTTTCCCCAAAGGGAACAATAGCCGTGAACCGGCCCGCCCCCACACTGGTAATTCCCCTACGACAGACAACGCATCCCTTCTGGGACATGTTACTGAGCCAGCTGTTGGGGGTAGAACTGTGGTAGAAAGACACTGCGTCATTTACTGAGCATTACACTTTTTCTCACAATGAGGATCTTGGATGCTTATAATTTAGTGGTTAAGGTTATTCAAATTTGTCTAGTGTTCTTGCTAACACTAATCTCTCGCCTTATTCTACTCAGGTTATTACTGTATTGCACACCAAGCGTTCGTTACCGGGCATGTCTCAACTGTGTGGTTTGCTCTTTGCATTCACCAACGTGTTCAGTAACAAGATGGCTTGCGTCATCCTTTCGGTATTCGCCGATTACGCACTACATCAGCCCATACTAGACCTTGGCATAGAAACTATTTCGACAGCTAAGCTAGGCCTACAATTTCACATGAGTTCTTCTGCCGAGGTCAATAAATGGCTGTGGAGTTGATGTTCCCGCCCAGTCTTTCTTTCCTTGGCCATAAGGAAAGGGAGCTGCTTTGTCGCCTCTTGAGCTATTTGATGTATTCATGTTCAATCATTTGCTCTATCGTGTACAGATAGCCGTTTCGTTTTCTTTTATTACATCAACCCGCTCTTTTTGTTTTCTTTTTCTTTTCATGGACAGTATGCCCATGTCTTTTTACTGGGGTTTCTAGTAGGCATTTTATTTGTGGGACTTCCGACGTTGCGGTGTCTGTGGGGGAAAGGACCGGATAAGTGGTGTAGAACTTATCAGATCGTTTCTTCGCCTGTCTCATCTTATTTTGCGTTTCTTCTCTCCAGCTTTCTTCGTCTTCTGCCCTGAATTTTGTGACAAGTCGGGTGCCACAACCGTGTTTCATATCAACTGTGATCGAACAGAGGATATGAACCTCTGCCCAAGCCACCTATACTACATGCTTCTCTTATGCTTCATTGAACCCAATCAGTGATGACCAGCGATGACACAACTGGGCAGAACCAGCTAGCACTAACTAAGGTAGTACAAACGGAGCAAGAGTGAAGACTTATAGGTTTTTCATAACTTGTTTTTTCATTTATCGTGGCGTATGCCCTGGCTCTGTAATTGCTGCAAGAACTGGTTTTGTCTTATTAGCACAACCCCTGCCCATCCTTCAATGAAATGTATGTTGGCCTAAGTTAATGGTTGGCGCAGGCTAATCGAAACAACTCTTGTCATTTTCCCGGTAAACTGGCCGATGATTCCAATGAGTTTTCAGTTATCAGAATGTAGGACGAAGCTGAAAGTGCGTTGACGGATACAGTGACTTGCCAGGAATTCCAGATGCGTCTGCGAGATTCATTTCTCCTTCCTATCGCTCGCTTGCTATGCTTTCATTAATAAAATGCTCTAGATAAACCCTACACTTGCGTTCGCTTGCTCAACCTTTCCAAAAGACCTTCCATCTAACCTGTTAAGACCATAATCAACCGCCAAATTCGTAGTAGGATAACCAAACGGCTAGTGTCTGGCATAGTCCTTAATGGCAGGCTCACGTGTGACCTTATTGGGGTACATCAAGACGTTCTTCGCGGCGTCTCCTAAAATAGCCTCTGTCGCCTGTATCTCAATCATGTCCAGCTTACCGGCAGCTGGATCCCCACAGACCTTCTTGTTAATTCTTTCCATCTTTCCAGGTCCTTCGTTCTCAAGAGCGTCTTTCAAGAGGGCAAATGCCAATGAGTTGTACAGCATGCCTTCATGGGTGACCGCCCCCCCAGCTGGTGTTCCGGGACAGGCTCTCTGTACCTCAATGTTTGACACTTCAACCCCGTGCTCGTCTTTGAGAAAGGCCGAAGCTCCAGGACCAGATTGGGGCTGCACAACTTCGTCCGTTGCACTGAATACTGATGTAGTTGGAACTATGCATATCCGATTAATTTCAAGTTCCCATTGAAACACGTGTTTGAGGGCGTCATCTTACCGTAGGCGCTATCGCCTCCCATCGCACGCAGAGTGCGCACGAACTGAGAGTCGTACATCTGTTGATAGACGCTTGGCGTGCAGCCGATGATGACCGCAGGCGTCTTGCAAGCAAGAAATGCCTCCGTCGTTCCGTGAAAGTCGGGGCTCATTGCCACTAAGTCTGTGACCGCGTCCCTGGTGCTTGGCCAGTACTTGAGCGCCCACTGCACGTTCAAGTTTCCCTGGCTCCAAGCCACAACAGCTGGCTTCTTGCCTGTTGAAGTTTGGACGTAGTTTATGGCGTATGCGACGTATTCTGAGTTTTCTTGGGCATCGCCGAGTGATGCGTCTGGGATATTGACCCACAGAGGATCAGCAAAGTCGGATTTGGCGAGAAGAGGGCCCAGGTTCGCGCGGTATGTCGATCCTGCCATTGCAGCAGTACCAGGTATAAGGATAACTGGTTGTTTATTTGATGACGCGGAGAACGTTGCGGGGAAATAAATTTTGCTTCTGAGTTCTTTCTCCGACATCGAATATGGCGCATCACGATCAGATCTCTTGGGGTAGATCCGGGTCTTTGGGTCGGCGTTGGCATTCTTGATGGAGTTCATGCCGTCTCCAAGAAAATTGTTCAAAGCCTCGACATCGGGCTCTAGAGGTTGTGATTCTATTGCAATTGTTTGATTGCTGTTAACGAGATTAGGAATTGCCGCATCCGGTTGATCAGAGATGGGCCGGGCAACAACATTCGTTAACCCTAGGGCAAACAAGATTGCAATAGCGTACGTAATCTTCATGGTTGGTACTGATATAGAGGAGTTGTTAGATCACGTCCTTTTGAAATTCGATTCAACAGCGGGCGAATGAAAGGTATAAATCCATTTTCCTGTTGCTGTTTCCTCCACTGACGGTGAAACGGACATTAGGAGACCCCGGCCTCGCCCTTTGACTTCAACGAAGCTTAAATCCTAGTTTCTGTCTTTTAACTTGTGATGTCATTTGATCACTATACACATGAAGAATTGTCCGATGTTTGGTGCACAGAGCAGAAACGACAAACCGCCATTTCGGAGCCGGTAGGAGGCTGACGTCGCATGCTGGCAAGATGTCAACCGATGCACACACCACCATGTCTAGGCCCGTAGGCCATATTGAGTCACCACAGCGACTACGCAAACACAAGACTCATCCCTCCCAGAGGATTTACGAACGGCCGATTCGGGTGTCCAATCAGATTGCCTAGAAGTACGAAATGTGTACCATTGTAAGGGCCTCTCGGCATCTTGAATCGGCAACGAAGGGTCACGCTTCAGATGATGGCAATTTGAACAAAAAAAGCTTCACTTACACAGTACGTCGATAATGGTTCACATGACATCATGGTCTGTGACTGGTCCATGCGGTTCTCGGGACATTGTCCAAAATAGGCTATAATGAGGGGCTTTACACCGATCTTTTGGAGAAATAGAATGGTCGAAAAGATTCTGGCTGTAACGTGGGTATCTTGTTATCTGTTCAGAGAGTTTTAAACTAGGGGCTGCAAGTCCCGGGCCCCAGATATTGGGGAATAAATTTCTCCCAGCGAGACGAACTCAGGCCCGCAACCCGTCAGCCGCTCATGACGTGACAGAACTTTGATAAGACTTCACCTGTACTTCCAAGAATTTCGAGCTTATAGACCAACTGTGTCTCTTTCCAGTTCGCTGGTGCTAGAATGTGTCGGGAATACGTTCGTGTTAACAAATACCGTCAGGTGTCCCGCTCACGTAGTTGGTAACACTCAGTTGGCCGGCTGATGAGCATTTGGGTCATTGGTTCACGACTTCACGACAAGTGCCCTCTCACCTCTTTTTCGGCTCTAATATGACGAAAGTGAATGACAGCATAAGCCAAATGATACCGAGCGTTCCGTAACCTCTTTTGGGTTTCAGAACGCTCGGCCGGTCTGCGGTGTCATCCCAAGTTCATGGCCCTCTCTGCCTCGGTAACGTATTTGAGCGAATCAGAAACAACTGTGAACGAAAATCTCTATGCGATTCCAACCGGATATCCGAAACTTTGATTTCTAGCCACCGGGTTGTTATCATGTTCGTAATTCGAAGTTGCTCTGCTGCTAAAACGATATTTTATCTTACGTGCCTCGTTTCTGTTGTGAATCTATTAAGCAACATCTGCGTCTTCTTCGATGAGAAATCGGGAACAGGCCCACATGAGCTGCAAAGGACTCATTTCTGGCTGTGTGCAATATGTCTAGCTTCGACTCAACACTAAAGTTGAGCAAACGCTTGCGGGGCCGACATTCAAACTTCGCAGGCGGCTGCTTTTTCAGTGCTGGCTTCTTTCAGTGCTGCAAATCTTAACAACTCGTGAGATTGAGATCCGCTCCACGTTCGAGAAGCAATTCTAGAAGTCCAGTAACTCCAATCATACCATGAATCTTCTCAGTCACATCGTTGTTGCCCCCTACTCCGGTATCATACAGCCGCGCTTATCTGACCACGGACTTGTCAAACTTGACAGAGTTGATGATAAAGTCCTATTTGTAAGTTTCTTTGCGGATGGTGACGTCAAGTCGACTAACCACTGCATTGATCGCCAATTTAACGGGTTTGGCATCGTCGTTAAGAATAAAGACGACTGTGGGAGCCTTTCCCTTTCGAATGCCCTGAATAAGCCCTCGATTTCTAATCACTTTCACCTCTTCTCGGTTCTCCGACTGAAACATTCTGGATCCTTATAATCATTGTCCCTTATTGGGCTTTCTGGCAGGAACATACAAGCCATGATGACTTCTCTGGAAAGAATCCTTATCAAGCATAGTGTGAATTGTCAACATTTCTGACTGTCTTCCGCACGAATGAGCTTTAGAGTTCCCAAGCACGACGGCGCTACAGTTTGGCCTCGGCTCATGCAGAGGACCACAGAGTGCTTGATCTTGATGTGAAAAAATGGCGAAAATTCCGACCCCAATGGTACCAGATGTTAGATACCGAGAAAAGCTACGGGTTCATCTGGCCCTCTCCTCCTAATTGTCAATAACAAGGTGCTTTTGAGGACCGTCGAAAGCTGCCAGAAGACCAATGATACTGTAAGACGACTCGATGACATAATCAGCACCCACCCCGGTTACCCGCCCCCATCCAGACAGGGATCTGGGCGCCAGTGCCAGGTCCGGCAGGAATGAGGTCAGCTCTTGGCAATCCTAGGTCGTCGAAAACGCCAGCGAGTCCCCAAGCTTGATCGCAAATTGACATCACTTCGATCTGCCATCTGATTTCTCAACTACTCCGCAGCAATCTTTCGTTGCGGCTTCTTGACGTTGTTTCCTTTGCACGTCTTCAACTCCCTTTCAGTGATGCTCAGAATTTCATAATGTCCAACGTTCTCTCCCTTCTAGGCTGGGCCTTTCTGCCCAACGTAGGCGCACCCACACCCCCTTGATCGAGCTGTCCATGACCACGAAGACTGACTTCCTCGCAGCTAGTTACTGGCTGGGTGCAATCAATCTACTACGGCATCGCCATCCGCGCCGGCGACCCTAAGCCGCAACCCGGTTCCGCCAAATATGCAACTCACCGTCGTCGAATCCACATCCTCGTCGTCTCCTTCTACCTCCTCTACACCCTCATCGAGGCCGACCGCACCCTTCGAGTGCAGGGCACATTCTACACCGACCTCGATGTCGCCGTCAACGCTCCCGTGCGCATTATAAAGTCCCGCTTCCGCCGTCTCGCCGCCGTCTACCACCCAGATAAGGCGGGCGCCGGTGGGGACACGGGCGCCGCTGCCGCGCGCTTCATGCACCTCAAGACCGCCTCCGAGACACTCTCGGACTCGGCCCGCCGTTTTGCGTACGAACGCTTCGGCCCCGAGGTCGGCGCCTGGCAAAACTGCAAGACCATCCACGAGTACGTCTCCCGCGGCATCTTCCAGGGGACGATTCCGTATTACGGCATTGCGGCCGCTGCGACGTACGGGTTGGGCTTGCTGGGATACCTCGATTGGGGACGGTACTGGCGCTGGGTGGTTCTCGTCACATTCTTCGTCGCGGAGCTGATCGTCGTCACGCGTCCCGAGATGCCGCCCTTCCTCTCCGTCCTCAACACAGTGCTCAGTACGGCCCTACGTCGCCCGCCCTACTTGCAGTTTCAGCTCGTTTCTCTGGCTCGCCAGGCCGCTGTCACGATATACATCGCCTTTGGCCAGATCGGGCCACTCATCAACCCGCAGGGTCAGGCGGCGCAGAAGGCGGCTGAAAGCTCGGCCGCTGCGGTCGACGAGGGTCTGCAGCGGCTTGAGATGATTGCGCGCGGTCTGGACGGCGAGACAAGCAGACTGCTGGAGATGGAGATGACCCCATTCGCGGGCGACAAGGAGGCTCTGAGTAGCGTCCGTTCCAAGGTCAGGGATTGGCTTGTACAGAACACCATTCGTGCGGACCCAATGGTTAGAGATGCTATTGGCAAGTCGTTCCAGAAGCGAAGGGTCGATGCACCCGCAGGTGCGAAAGGCAACAGATAGAGATGATAAACATCAAGCGTAAGATTACTAGAGGGTTGCTACACAAGCATACTACAGGGAACTTGTACCTGATTCTCATTGTTAGTTAACGAGATCTTGCCATACGTTGGTGAAGCTACCACTGTGATTGATTTGACCGGGTGCCGTGGTGGCCTAATGTGACCGGCTGTGTCCAAAGGAGTATTATACAACAATTTCTCGCACTTGCATACAAATAAGCGAGTGTTTAGCAATGAGCGAAGCTTCACTGGATATAAATGTGAGAAATATCAATATCGCGAAATGTTGAAAGTGTGGCGTTTGTGGCTGATATGTGGCTCAACTCAGGACCGAAAATCTCTCAGTCTGTGGCCTTCGGACGAGGAGATCGTCAACAACAGCGAGAGGAAACTTTAGGAAACCAATTAATTGACTCGTTCCATTCATTCGCAGTCTGAAAATCGGAGTCCAAGGGCGAAAGGCCTCGGAGTCACAATGGCGGCTTCACCGTCATGGCACCTCCTCCCAACCGACTTAATCGAACATCAAATCGGTCAGATTGACCTCTTAACAGCCATGTACCCCACCGAAGAAGAAGTCACAATCGAAAAGGAATCAGAACATACTCTCACGCTCCTCAAAACCCACCTTGAAGACCCGTCATCATCACCACCGTCTTTCACCAGACCCCCGCAGATCACTGTTCTGCTCACCCTCACCATCGCCGAACAAGAAGATTCATCAAGTCCGAAGACGTTGCAGCTAGACATCAATGTGCCATTTTCTCATGATGCAGAAAATACACCAGAGGAGGCGCCGCAGATCAAAGTTCGCATATGTCAGCCAGCATGGCTGAGCCGGGCGGCGACGGCGCAGCTTAACGCAAAGATCCCGGAGGGCGAGGAGGATCTGTTCAGTACGATCGAGGTCGTCAAGGACTCGGCAGCGGAGTATCTTGAACAAGCAAAACTCGCAGAAGCCGAGTCCCTCAACCCTGGCGGCGGAAACGGCGGCGGTGACGGAGAGCCCCTCGTCCGGGTGTGGTTCTACTTCCCCTCCATCTCGACCCGGTCCAAGCGCGACGACTTCATCATCAACGCGCCGGGCTACAACCTCACCGGCTTCCTCTACGCCGGGAAACCCGGCTTGTTGTGCCTTGAGGGCGGGTCGCAAAAGATTGACGACTACATGAAGTTCATCAAGACGGAGAGCTGGGGCGACATCCCCGCGCATCACAAAAAGGTTAGCGAGAGGCATCGCGAAAAGAACATCGCGACGCGGGTGTTTTCGGACATGCAGGAGATCACGGACTCCGTGGGCGAGAGGCGAGGCCAAAGGGCGAATCGGGGCGATATGAAAGCCGTAGAGGGGTGGTTGGTGGAGCGCGGGCTAGGGGATGCCTTTGCCAAGGTATTGATGTAGTCAGGGACTCGGGAGCAGGAGGCGGTTTCGCCAATGACTTGGTCGACCCAGGATGCGAGGACAAACAGTGAATACCAATGGCTTTCTCGCGGTCAAAACAATCGTTTGTGACTGATTGTCATCAGAAAGCCCCTGCCGCATGCGAAAACAGGCCAGGCGTGGCGGGTTAAGAAATAGATTAAGCCTGTAACTTGACGACCCGCAGGTTTTCAACACCAATCTATCGGTGTGTGGTCCTCCCATACTTCTATGCCGATTCGAAAGAAAAGTAGTAGCATCAGATGGCAGATTGCATCCAGCCAGTCTCACCGGAGAATCTCGACGAAAGCGAAAAACATTCATCTATAACACTAACGCCCCATGCACACCTCTATATCGGCAATCGACACAACATTTACAGTCTCTGACGCCCCCTCGTCTCGATAGGAATCAGACACATCCCCACAAACGCCGCCAGGATCAACGCACCCGACAGGTAAATCGGCGTCGTCGTCCCATCGCCGGGCATGTTGGCCGCCAACACGGGCGCCAACAACCCCATGGCCCTGTTCAGAAAGCTCGCCACGCCCGTGCCGGCCCCGCGGACGGGCGCGGGGAAGATCTCCGGGGTGAAGGCGTAAAGCACGCCGTACATGATGTTCTGCGAAAAGGCCTCGACGCACGAGAAGAAGAGCTGCGACGCGGGCGAGGTGCCAAACTTTACAAACATGAACAAGAAAATGGCCGAGATGAAGGAGGAGCACGCGAGCGTGCCGCGGCGGCCTAGCCAGGGGGATTTGTGGTCAACGAGGTAGGCCGCGAGCAGACTGCCCGGCACGCCGACGGCAGAGGTTATGGCGTAGGTGCGGTATGTGTCGGGGGTGATGGGCGTCGCCCCGGCGTCGGGGGAGTCGTCGGGCGGAGGGGCCGCGCCGCCGTGCGAGAGGTATTGCGGGAGGAAGGCGTTGAAAAGCGGGTAGCCCATGCCAATGGTTGCCCAGACGAACCAGACGATGATGGTCGCGAGGCCAAGGGTGCGAGTCTTGAAGAGGGGGCGGAGGCGGTCTGCAGAAAAAGCCTTCATCCTCTCGCGGAGAACGTTCGTAGTTCTCCCTGCCCCTTGGAGCATACTTGCACGGCTGCTTCTGGAGCGCCCCTGCTCGTCGTCGTCCACCACACCGTCCACTACGGCATCGAGGACTTCCTCTGTGAGCCAGGTCTTGGCGCCATTGCGGGAAGCTATGCCGTGGACGACGGCGATAGCTTCGGATTGGCGGCCCTTTGTGAGCAGGAACTTTGGCGACTCGAAGAGGCGAAACACAAAGAACCGCACAACGAACATGACAAACGTGATTAGCCCAATCGTCAGCACGAACCGCCGCCACCCTTGATCGGCGGGCCAGTTCGCGATGAAATACCACGCCGCCAGCGACGAGGACAGCTGTCCCACGGGCCACCACACCGACAGCAGCGTCAGCAGGCTGCTCGACGCGTCCGGGAGGAACTCGAGGAACAGCGCGCCGTCGACGGGGAGGTTGCCGCCGACACCGAAGCCAAGAGCCGCGAAGAGGACATTTACCCAGCCCCAAGTCGGCGCGAAGGCCAGCAGGATGCCAAAGACGCCTGTGATGAGGAGGGTGAGGTTGAAGGCGACACGCCGGCCGAGGACGTCGGAACCGATGCCCCAGACGAAAGAGCCGAAGCAGAGGCCGAGGAAGATGGACGACGTCGTGTAGCGGACGCGTTGTTCTGAAATGCCAAACTCTGCAGAGAGAGAAGGAAGGGTAAGAGCAACGCCCTGGGGGCGTTAGTATATCTTCTGTTGTTGCTCAAAAGAAGCAGAAGGTTGCTGGTCAACTTACGTGCATCCACAAACTGGAAACGACAGTTAGTAAACTTCTCATCCAAGACAAAAGTCCGCTGAGTTTTTGAGACTTACTTATCCGCAAACCATCCGAATCCGCACAAAACGAAGAGCTGCCAGTTGTACCTCCCCATCCCGATATCCTGAATCGCCTTGTTGACAAGCTTCGACTTCACTGTCCACCTCATCAGCACCCGAGGGTCTCACTTGACACTCTCATTCCTCAGCGTCCGGGAACAGTTCACAACTCACACTCGTACTCAGTCCACTGCCCCTTCCCACCTCTCCTCACCTCTTTCCTCAGCCCCTCAATCGTATACTCGGCGGCACTCATCTCGAGCATCCCGGCGCTCTCGCCCTGGTCCTTGCCATCGTCCTCTGCGGCATCATCGTCGTCGTCGTCGTCCTGGCTTGGCCGCTCCTCAAACTCGCATTTGCCGGTCCGCGCCGAATGGCTGTGCAAGTGCGCCTCTTCGAGCGGCACCACGACGCCGATGTAGTCGTTGACCGACTCGGGCCGGTCCGACGTCAGGCGCCGGAAGATGGAGCGCAGCATGGCGTTTCGTGGGGCCGGTGTGCGGCGGTCGAATGAGTGAGAGTCTGAGGCGTGATGTACGTGTGTCAACGAGATAGCGCCGGCATGTGACGTATACGCGTGATGTAGGTAAGCTGTGAAATTGTTGTGTCTAGTCGTCGTTTGCGGTCGCCGATGAATCCGCCGTCGTCGTTCACCTCTTTAACCCGTTAAGCCGGGTTGGTCTCACTCCCAACACAGTCTCCAAACGTTCAATTCTGAGCCTTCCACTAAATTTCTCCGTCTACATTTTTCAATGAAATGGGAAAAATGAGCTCAACGGTGAGAGACGAAAAAGCTCATAGAATACAAGTGATGCAACAGTACAAATATAAGAGATGATGGATGAGATGAATTGGTACGGAACACAGTGTTGCCTTCCTACTGCGCTCGTAAGGGGTGTTGTGCGTCGTGCCGTAACCGGGACACCTGACTTAAAGAAATGCACGCTGTGCCTTAGCGCACTTAGGTAATCCCTCCATGTGTCCATAGCGCGTCGGGATCCGAGCCACAGCGGACCGCGGCTGCTATGGAGTTACCCTATGCTCCGGAAATAGCATGCTGGAGCCCCGGCAGCACTAACAATCTTTAGTGTATGATAATGCAATATCTGTTAGTGGTAACGGGAGGCTCGGGGGTCTGTGAAACGGTTGCATCTCTCGGTCACGGGCGGGAAGCAGAGGGTCAGCTAGTGTGGGGGAACCCTGTCATCTGCCCTGGCTCTATGCATCTCATCATCATCGTTGAGGTCCCTTGATTTTGTGCACGAAATATCGAGACAGCTTTCAGCTCAACGCTTGCTTGAATGCCAACCTGATGAGCTGTAACCAGGATTGAACTCATTCAAAGGAATGTTTCGTGACTTAGACCACGTAGACTAACCAGCCTGATAATCCAATCCTGCCCTTGTAAGAAGCTTTAATCCAAGAACCTGTCGCCTTGAAATCCCACACCCTTGTACCAAAACGCCCCAAAGTCCGCTACCGAAGACGCCAAATCCTCGTCTATTCCGCCATGAATGCTTATTTGAGAACGTCAGATTCGCCTTACATCCTTCAGATCAACTCTCCATCACCATCATCTGCTCCATCTTCCTCCTCTTCCCAGTCCATCGAAGCAGCCCGCCTCTCAGCCTCTCGCTGTACCTCAGCAAGTCCCGACAGCTCGGCAACGTAGTCCTTCTCCAGCAGCGCCTTCTTTACGAACTTCCAGCCGTCGTTCCGGTATGCCTCCAGAACCGGGGGACCACAAGCGCTGCAGCACGGGTATGACTCTCCACGGATAACCTTGTTGCTGAAGTTGTGCAAGGCGCCACGGACGGTGTGGGGTACCAGTCCCAAAGCGTGGTCAAGGGGGTCTTTCTCGTCATTCGATGTCTGGGGTGCCGGTGCGTGTTGTTTGAGAGGATGCTGGAGAAGACTTGCGAAAAGCTCGACGAGCAGTGCTGAGGCGATCGCTGCTACACCAGGGCGGGTGACCGTGCATTGCTGGTCCAGAGTCTGGTCCTTTTGGGACTAAACCAAAGTCAGTAGGAGTTCAGCATCATTAATAGGTGATACTCACATCAGCCGGGGCGACAACGTCGTTGCAGAAATAGCAACCAAGCGTCTTCCGCTCTGTATCCTCTGGCTGGGCGTTGTCGGGTTCAGCGCCGTGACGCATTACCACAAATGAGTCGAACCCGAGTGCTGCGTTGAGCACAATCTTGCCGGCTGCCTTGCCCAAAACGCTTGGGAGCCATCTTGACTCCCGGCTGTCCATCAGAAGGAAGATGGCATCGTGGTCGTCGATTAACTGCTTCAACTTGTCGTAATCCGCCTTACTTCTAGCCTCATCCGTGAAGGGATGGCCCAGCATGGGAACGGAAAGAACATGGCCTTCGCTCTCGACACCGGGATAAATCCTCTTCAGGGCCTGGGCAGCCCGCGGCGCTTTGTGCCTGCCACCTTCCAAGCAGTCCTCAAACTCGAAAAGTGGCTGGCGTACGGGATTCGAGTATGATACACGTCCGTAATCTACGAAGGTGATCTTGCGAACGCCCCAGCCCATGAGATTTCTGGATACGTAGCTGCCGAGCGTACCAGCTCCCAGCAGTAGACACTTGGTGGACTTGATTGTGTCCAGGTCCAGGTTTGGCGAAATCCGCCATTTCATGAGTTTGAGGTTCAGATCCACGGATTGGTCTGCCAGTCGTGTAGGGTCCATGTACTCGCCGAGGTTCGCGATCCTGGCCCGGAGCTTGCCTTCTCCATCGCGCTCCCAACCAGTTACTTTGGGCATCTCCGAGACCGCAAGAGGCTCTACCGGGTCCATCTCCAAAGGCAAGATGATGCTTCTAGCTGCATGTCTGCTTGATCTGATGTCCCGGTAGCACAGGATCTGTACCTTCGTCAGGCGGAACCGCTGTCGGATAAGCCACAACAGGTTGCGTAAAGGCCAAGACGGGTTCTCGGGGTACGTCGACGGATCAACAAACGCGACGTATCGGTCCTCCTCAGCAACATCGTCAAAGAAGCCGTTCTCGAAGTCTCCGAGGTTGGCAACCTCCCACACGTAGCCAAAAGCGTCGTTGAGGTCGTGGAGATCGCTGTTTGCATCTTTATCCAAATCGCTAACATCCACACCCCGGGCCTTCTTGGCGAGGAAGAAGCCGTTCTGCCTCTTGTCGCGGTTCGCTTGCCAAGTGCCCACGCGGTCGACCAGCGCGGTGCTCTCCTTAGGGTCAAGGCGGCCGATCGGGCCTGTGCGCTTCCACTGGGGGTCTGAATGCAGTGCTGGAAATGCGAACCAGTATGTAAACTTATACTTCTTCAGGTCGGCGTACGAGAGGATCGTGAAGGACGAGAGGAGGGAGGGAACGGAGTAGATGGTGCCGTCGTTGATGGCGTCCCAGACCTGGAGAGCTGGCGTCAGCTATATGTGTAGGTTCCTCCTGAAGCCACGATTTGAGCTTACGTGTCTTGCTGCAAGCTTCAACATAGCTTGCTTGTCGGTGTTCTTGAAGTCTTCGATCGTGTTGACGTTCTTGATCCAGCCCTCAGCGCGGACATGCTCGTCGTTGGGCCTGCTCTCCTCATCAGTCCTGACGTGGTCAACATGAAGCAGATCTCAAGCTCATCGCGAGCACCTTACTGGTCGCTGGTAAGTGCGTTGCCTAGGATTGACATCTTGCAGCTCTGGCCCGGCTCGACCGGCAGGGTCGTGTACTGGCCCAGCACGCGGCGTGCCGAGTCGTCAAGTTTGTCATGCTCGAGCTTGGAGGAAAAGAGGGCAGCGTAGAACGGGAGCTCGATCTCGGAGGAGAACGGCGCATATTGGATCGCTGCCATGGCGGGCAAGCAGGGGTGGTGGGCGCGCACTATCGGACGCGGGATTGGAATGGGAGCACTATTCGCAAGGCGATGCGCCGGAGGTCGGGTCTTGAAGTGCGCTGCAACGTTGATGCTGAGAGACGTCTAAGTTTCTGGAAAGCTTCGGTGGAACGGGTATGTAGGAGTAGAATTCTTATTCGGGCGCCGCTCTGGGTCGAAATGACTCAAAAGGTTCAAGGCCCTTACGATGCGACGGAACAGGCAGGTCGCACTTCCAGATGGACTCCGGACAAGCGGAGGGTCCGGGCGAAGTCGCTAGCAACGGGAGGATGCTTGGAAATATCGGGTTGGAAAGAGTCACCTGTGCAAACAGTCAAATCACGCCTTGTCTGGATCAACGAGTCACGAGAACAAGGCGGATGAGAGCTTCCTCGGGAGTAAGATGGTTGTCTGACAGATGAGGCATGATAGGTAGGGCAGCAGCTCCCCTCCAGTGTTCCCCTCCAGGCTACCAGCTGCCCAGCTGGACTCCCAAGGTGGGGGAGCTCGTGCACGGGGTTATTGTGTCATGCCCTGCAGGTCCCGCCGGCTAAACCCCGGAGGATCTTGGTCCGAAGGACGCGGGGTGAGGAGCCCGACCGATCGGACCCGAAACGGAAACCCCCTTTACGCGTGGAGACGCGTCTTATGCAAGGAATCCGCATCGCGGCTTTCCAATTGGATATTGGTTGCCGGGTTGACTTGCAAACCTTGCAGTACGCAGCCAGCAGTCCGGCATTCGTCGCAGTTCTGAACGTACACTTACAGAGAGACAAACCCTTTGAACCTCTATCCAGATTTCTGCAATTAGAAAGCCAAAGTCTCAGTCGAGATGCTCATCGGAATCTGCGGCGGTGAGTTTCCCATGGAGTTGAGCCAAGCTCACCCGCCATGTATGACAAAAGGGCATCTCTAACACCCAACAGGCATATGCGCCGGCAAGAAGACCGTCGCCAAGTACTTGGTCGAGCACCACGGCTTCAAACTTCTTCGTCTGGAGGACCCTTCATCAAGTCCACCGCGGAATGAGACTCCGGCATACAATGCTCCGCAAGTACCGGAGCCGGAGTTCGCACCATCCACCACCGGCAACGACGAGTCGGAAGCTCAGCAGCAGACTTCATCCAACAAGAAGAGCAAGAAGAAGAAGGTTCCTGTTTGCTTCATCTGCAAACAAAAGGGCCATGTTAAAACAGACTGCCCCCTCCCAAACCAGGAGACTGCCATCGCCGTCAACGGCAACAGACCTGAAAGCCCGGCGAGAGAGGCTAGTCAGTCATATATGGTCGGCACCTACTCCATAGTGTCGAGGAACTCCCATCCTCACCCACCACCCACCAATGGCTTCCACGCCCCAGCCTCCAACGAACTTGCTTTTGCCTCCGCCGAGGCCCTTCTGGACTACGTCACAACCCGCTGGCAGTCCCGCTTCGTCACGACTGATGTGCACAACGAGGCCATTCTCGACACCCTCTCTCGCCGCCCCTTCTTCATGCTCATCTCCGTCGACGCCCCCTTGACTATCCGACACGCCCGCTTCCGTGCTCTGCACAACCCTCACTGCACCCTCGAGTCCTTCGCCCTCGCCTCAGATAGCCACCTCTACGACCCGCATGAGGGCCTGCAACCCCTCATCTCCCGCGCCACCGTCCGCCTTCTCAACACGTCGTCCTCTCTCGCCCACTTGTACGCTACCCTCGGTAAGCTGCAGCTCGCCGACCCGGTCCGTCTGCGGCCCAGCTGGGACGCCTACTTCATGTCTCTCGCGGAGCTCGCCTCGCTACGTTCAAACTGCATGAAGCGCCGCGTCGGTGCGGTGCTTGTTGGCCGCGAGAAGCGTGTCATTTCCACGGGCTACAACGGCACGCCCCGCGGTCTGCAGAACTGCTCTGATGGCGGCTGCTCGCGGTGCAACTCGGGAAACTCGTCCGGTGTCGGCCTGGCAACATGTTTGTGCATCCACGCCGAGGAAAACGCGCTGCTGGAGGCGGGGCGCGAGCGTATCCGTGAAGGCGCCGTGCTATACTGTGATACATGCCCGTGCCTAACCTGCAGCATCAAGATCTGTCAAGTTGGCATCGAGGAGGTGGTGTATGCTCATGGTTACAGCATGGACACGGAAACGGCGGCGGTGTTCGCGCAGGCGGGAGTCAGGCTGAGGCAATATATTCCGGTGAGTTTCCTTGAAAATTTTTCCATAATTGAGGTGGCTGACAGAAAGACAGGCGCCAAACGGTTTGATCCACCTTGAAAACCTGGAAAACTTGGAGCTCTATTAAGATCATGAATTACCTTGAGTCAAGGAGAACCTTGATGGCCCATGTTTGAGTTGGTCACGCAAGCCAGCCCCATAAAGCGATATGAAAGATAATGACATGAGATTCAACGCAATACTTCATACGTGAACAAGTTTATGTTTCCACACGCCCCGCAATCAACTCTACACCCGCGCTCGTGTTGTCGCAGCGACTAGGCATCGGTCGAATTTGAATGATTGCCAGTTGTGTCAAGTGTCTTGCAGATGAGATCTTCGCTTTTTGCAGTCAATAGCGACTAGGACTCTGACGATGATACCCAGTCCTCAATCGAGGATCAAAAGTTAGCAGCGGCCCGAGCCGTCAAACCAGCCTGATCTACTGGCCATGCGAGATCGCGCCTTCCGAGTCACGATGCTCCAAGCTCACATCCAACGGTGTGGTATCACTAGGTTTGCGTGTCAGAAACATGTCTTGTTTCACGGAATGTCTGCATAGTGGCCAGTGATTAGAAGTTACCTCGTCGGAAACTTCGTCCGAATGCCTCTTCCCAGGAGTGCCGACCTTCGCAACCTCATTCGAATGGCCGTCAAAAGCTTTGGTTGTTGATCAGACTTCAGGGGCCTGTCAACTTTGAGACCAGGTTCTGACAACTAAAGAGCCATCAAAATTCAAAAATCTGATTGGGTTGCTTTTTTTTTTTTTTTTTTTTTTTTTTTGCAGATTGGGCCAAAACTCTAGAGGTGCGCGCATCTCCGATGACTGCACGAAGGCTTAGATTCCTGGATGGAATCAGGCGACCAATTTAACCTTCATACTGAGGTGTTTCATGCCTATTCCTCAATACTTGTGATGGTAGTGTCATGGTTGACGGTTATATCGACAACGTACTGCACGTCTCAGAAGAGCCAAACTCTGGAACTGCTGACGACTAGGGCTCCGAACTGACGAAAACACCTTGATGGCAACAAGTACATAATCCTCGGGTCGTATCTCAGGTTCGTTAAGCCAAACACCTTTTGACTAGACTCTAAGCTATAATCGTTGTTGCAAAGTCAGCGTCGATCAAAGTTGCATTAGCTTTCAAAAGTAACTTGAACAATAATAACTTGAACTTCCACTATGCAGTACCAGTCGTTCCTTACTTCCAGTTTAGCCGCCGCCACCGACGTGTACTCCTTCGCCTTCGGGCTTTCAGGGATTGCTCTCAGTATGGTAAGACACATGAGTCCGCCCCTTGATAATATTGAGCAAACTCTTATGATTTCTGCTCCGTCTCCCATATCACATCGCAGCATTCACCGAGTCCAAATAGCTAAATACTCCTCTTGGATGATTAGGGTCCCGCCCTTGCTCAATCGGCCTCCCTCTTGTCCGACGAGAGGTTTGATAACCTTGAGAGGAAGCAGAGAAGGAGCAAGTCGATCAACTCCAGTGATTGCCAGGTCAAAAAGGAGAAACGGGCTACTCGCTGACGCCGCGAATGCGGATGACGAGGAAGAAGAGAAGGAGCAATGGGAGACAACGTGCACGTCAGTCGATTCCGCCAGCTGTCAAGTGGGAAAACGGGGCGAGCTTGCTGTGGCCGGTCTGGACAACGAAGCGGAGGCTTGAGCACCTACCTACAACTACAGTGAAATGATCATAGACCATGGACGAAAACGATTGGAACATCACACAGAAAGTCGACGCAGAAAATCAATGACGCGAGGTAAATGGGGTTTGTTTGCCACATGTTGAAGACTTAGACCGCGATGTAGTCTCCCAAACCGTGAACACCGGACCTAAAGACCCCACCACCCCCGGCCTTCCACCCGCTCCGCCAAGCTCCGAGATCATCAATGCCAAATGCGACAGTCCCCAGACCCACAGCGCGTACCACCACGGCTCCCCCCTCCCGGTCTTACCCTCCGTAGTCCGGTCGGCCAGCACATCTCTCCCACATGCTTCTGCAAGCTCTCCCTGACTCTTGCATCTTTTTGCATATTTTCCCCTGACAGTCCTTTGACCGACGCCCTTCGCGGTCCGCCTTGCTTGGGCAATAATGTCACCGCATCAACGTCAAAGTTCTGGCCGAGCAACCCCCCGCCAAGCCGGCACTCGCACTCGCACCGCCACATCACCCACCTCTTCCCGATCAAGGACCGAAAGCTGACATGCCTGCCCAACACACGTCGTGTCCCAGGCCTCCGGGGCAGGCGGACATGCCCTGCAAGCTGGGGTCACACCACCGCACCCACGCACAGAGATTTCCTAATCGCTGGATATTCTCCGGCCACTGCCGCAGCTTTCGGCACTGGTGGTCGCTGAGGGCTGCATTGTTGGCCGATGGCTTGGTTCCGCCCGCGTACGAACCGGCACTACCGCCTCTCCTTCTCCCACTTCCCGCTGACGATCGCATGGTCACTATTGCTTACTACATCTGCACTGCTCGTACGCAGGGCTGGAGTGTATTTTCAGAGAGGAAAAACTTGGAATTAGACACATGTTTTGACAAATCCAGGCTAATCTTGATCCAGAAACGCCCACCCATTCTACGTGTCGTATAAAAGACCAGTAAACAAGAAATGCCAATCCGATGGAGAGGAACGCACCGAACAAAACATAAAAAAGGTATTGGCTCCCCAGACAACTCCGACCCAAGCCACGAACGAAAAACTCCCATGAAATGCCTCCTCCTGTGCCGATAAACATGTTTTCCTTCCGAAGAATCGCTTTGTGAACCGATTAATTAGTGGTAAGAAGAAAACGTGTGTATGTGTGTGTGTGTGCCCGGAACTCCGTCCCTACAGCAAGGTGGTGTGGCTGTCATACGAGTGGGGTGATCCTGCGCAGGACCATAAGCGCCCATAGTCCTCGCCGCCCTACACCCGCGGTAGTCATTAGGGGACGTAAGATAACGCGACAGTCGAGTAAAATCCTCGGGAAAGCCAATAGAATGTGTAAAATGACGTTGGAGGCTGCGGCGCTTGGCTTGGTGCACTCGTGTCGACAAGCGCCACGATGCAGCCTTTCGCCGCGGCGATTGGTAGCACCCGCTGCTGCCTGTGCCTTCAGCCAGCCCAAGAAGCCGATTACAGCCCAGAGTCGTGTTTGGGCCACTGTGCTGTCGGGTAGTACTTCCTCCACGCATCGCAAGTTGGTGCGATCGACGACAAGTCCATCTCTTGAGCGATCTCGTCCTTGCGCTCGAGGAACTGGACGCTGAGACCCATGCTGACATGCCAGGCAATGTGGCAATGCATAAGCCAGGCGCCCGGGTTATCCGTCTTGAAAGCGATCACCATCCACCCACTACCGGGGAGTTGCGCGACGTCTCTGCGAGTGGGGTTGTCAAAGTTCAGAGTCTCCGCGCTGGTGAACGCCCCATCGCCGGTGCCAAGCAACAAGAAGTCGTGACCGTGAAGGTGGATGGGGTGCGGGAGAGCGCCGCCGTTCTCAATGACCCACCACGTCCATGCATCAGCCTGAGGGATTTCAATGATGTTGGCACGCGCCGGCCAGGATGTGTTGCCCTCGGCGACGTACTCGAGGGTGGGCTTGTCCCACTGAACGTCGATGTCGTTACCATTGACCTTCCAGCGGAAGACCTTGGTGCCGTTGATCTCCGGCTGGTCCAGGACAATATCAAGAATCTTCTTGTTCGGGTCAAATTCGGATTTGGGTGCGGTTCTGGAGAGGATGGGAGTAAATCCCGTGGTGTCTTTGCAGCCTAGGTCTGCGGGAGGCGTGCCCTGGTCGACGGGGAGTCTATCGGGAGCCCCATCGTAGAAGAAGACGGAGGCGGGGTATGGGTTCCTGGACTCTCCGCAAAACCCACCTCCACCGATGGTTGCGTTAAACCAGTAGTTTTCGACCGCCTTGTCGGCTTCAATAATGACATCGTACCGCTGACCGACTGTCATGAAGAGACTGTCTTTTGTGACAGGCTTGACAGGGACAAGATCGGTGGCAATGACGGTGAAGTTGTGGCCAACCATGGATACCGTGAAAGTATTGTCCACAGAAGTGTTGATGAGTCTGAGAAGGTGCTTCTTGCCCGGCGTCAACCTGGTCTTCTGGTATTGACCGCCCGCGCCGAGTGGGTTGATGTTCTTGCCGTTGAAAAGAATGTTGTCGCTGGCTGGTGGGGGCCCGTTCGACACGAGTTCGGCCTGGCGCTCAAGATGGTCTGCAGTGTCGTAGTACCAGTCGCTGATCACGTATGGGCCGAGATCGATGTCGTAGTCTGCAGACGCCGGGCCGTTGATCTTGATGGCGCCTGCAACGCCATTGCCGTACTGGGCGGAAAAGTGGCTGTGATACCTACAGCTGGCGTGTTACCAAGTGGATCCCAAATCTTCAACAACAAAGAAATGTGCTTACCAAGATGTGCCGTACTGCGTCAGCTGAAAAGAGTACGTCTTGCTCTGACCAGGAGGAATGGGGCACTCGGTGACACCGTTGGCGCCATCTTGGTCGTTCTGACCACGCAGGTGCATGCCATGCCAATGGAAGGAGGTGCCATTGTTCTGGAGTTGGTTGTGCACATGGATCTGGACAAAGTCGCCCCAGTCCGCTTCGATCGTCGGCCCGGGGAATTGGTTGTTGATCAGCATGGCGGGCTTGTGAACTCCATCCGGTGCAATGTCGGTCAAGTTGCTAAGAGTGAAGTCGAACTACATAACTGTTAGTGCATACGGCGACACAGCCTGAAGAACCAAATGCCTACCGTTCTCAACTTTCCCTGAGGTGGTGTGAGAATCTCAAAATCCGAGTCGAGGTTGAAGTCTCCGTTCCAGCAAGCTCGGTTGCCAGGTCCATTAGAACCACAACCTGCTTGCCTTGGTTCGGCTGAACGAATGGGGTTGGCCTGAACGAGGGAAGCAAGGAAAACAGCCCCGAGGCTGGAGCTCATTAAGGTAGAAAACATGATGAACGTGAAAGCACAAGACAGGTAGGAGATGAGTGACTGAGTTGTTAGTCCGGGTTAGTGATCTGAGTTCTCGTCGAGGTATCCGACGGATAGAGCGTGTTATATACACCTTGTGTATCAACACAATGCCTCGGATTAGACGTTAGCCTCCTTTGGGACGACGAAATCAATAGTCTCGGTTCTCTTGCATGTCCAAAGACGCAGAGTAGCGTACAGTCTTCTAGGCATGCCATGATGCGAGTGAGAGGGAGACGTGTGAGTAGAGGTGAGGTGCATCCACCCCTGTCCCTCGAGCAGTGATCATGCCTCCTTCTGACATGGAGGGAACAATAAGCCAGGGCCCGTTTGTAGTGGGGACGATCGTGCGGTATGGAGAAAACGGTGTGTTTGTTGCACCATGTGGAGGTAGATGGAACATGCTTCAGGTCAACGTCGAGCCAGCCATACCGTGCATGGGAAATGTGCAGGATGGAGAAGTCGGTTGTGAACAGTTTTGGGTGAGGCTGAGCGCTGGCTTGTAAAGGGGGGGCAGTAGCCAGGCAGACGGAAAGCAACAGACTTGGTTTGGGGGGGGGGGGGAGCGGATCATGTCAGATCCCCAAATTGGGCCCAAGATTTGCCCTAATGACACTAACCTCTCTGCCCTACGGATATGAAGGACAGCAAGCTTTTGACTGGCCCGTGGGATGGAGGCTGAAGAGAGGTGAAGGATGAGGCTGACGGGCCACTTGAAGGCAGACCGTATGCCATGTCATGATTCGGTACCCACGGATGGGCATATCATTTGCCGAAAGGTTTGCAGTGCATCGGCGGGTGCTTGACTCGATCATTGGCATGCAGACGATTGTCAGCATAATTTCCACCATGACTGCCAGGTTGCAATAATACCCTGAAGGTTCTGAGATAATCTTGAGAGTGTGGACTCACACCGGCCGGCTGAGGTGTGACCGCATCTAGAAAGAACAAAGCGTGACTGGCCGGAAACCGGGACACATTGGAAAGTCGGCACGGCATGAGATACATCACGAGGAATAGACGGAGAACGAGCAGCAGCGATAGAGGGACGTCTTGATTCGGGCGTAAGCCTCGCATGGTTCGGGGAATTCACACCTTGGCAGGGCTCGTCCGGCGGGCCCGGCATGCGATGTGTCAACGGGATGAGGCTTCGTCCACTTAGCAAACAGTGTAAGCGAGACGACAGACCTGCGATCAGGACGCGAACATGACCGGGCCAAGACTCTAATGTTGAGAAGACTCGGGCTCGGCGGTGAGGTTAAAATGGCTAGGCAGCGGAAAGACAGAGTCAGGGTCTAGCTTCGCGGATACGAGGGCAGAGGTTCCAAAAAAGCAAAACCAACAGTTCTTGAGCCGTGTCGTATGGTGGGAAAGGGTGGTCTCCAGGGAGCTGAAAACGCCGAGCCAGTGCAAAGACGGAGACTTCGGTTTCGCCAAGAAGATGGCGGAAGGCCCAGCGGAATTGCAGCCAGGACAGCGCAGCAGCACCGAAAGACTACGTTGCGCTGCGCGGTTCGTGGGTGAATCGACCAGTGTTTGGAGTCGGTCCTTTCTGGGTCATGGGCTAAACAACATCATCAACGTCTCGTATTGATTGCACTATGCTCTGCTCCTGTGTTCATAGCAAGAGTCACCAGTATGTTGAAGGTGTTGTCCCGAACACACGTCCTTTGGGGGCTATTTTTAGGGTCAGCTGGAGCGAAATAGGAAGACAGAGAGGACGGGACGAAGCTTGAGGAATCTCCAAAAGGTCGTTGGGACTTTGGCTGCCGTGCAGTAAACTAACCAGTAGTCGTTAGGACAAAGCAAGACGGAGCTAGGTGAGGGATGGTCTGATGTGAAGAGGAGTCAGCGGTATCTCGGCCGGGGAACCTTGGACAAGATTCCACGGACATGGGCGGCGGATGATGAGGTGCAGGGCGCGCGATATCGTCACTCGGCGAATGATGCGATGGGGATCTGCCGGAGGAAGGTAACCCAAGTCGACAGGTACATAGTATCTGTGCTGCAAGGTCGGGATTGGGTTGTTGTTGGGTTATGGTACATCGTGGATGCGGGATGCTGCGGCCGGGGCAAATCTGACATGGAGGCGCTCACCTGCAGCGAGCGAGTACAGTTTGTGCAACGATGCTCACTGTGACATGCCATGCAAAAACATGTGACGGCACTTTCCATCTGCCGGAGACCACACTGTGCCGGCACATGCGCCGGGCAATTTTTAGGTAAAGTGTGGCTATAGCTCCTCCTCGTCCCCGAGAGTGTGTTCGGAGTCAAGAATAGCTTAGCGGCTTCCTTGCGCCACAGGGATAACACAGCCAGCCAGACAGACAGCCAGAGAAATCTCAACTGGAGGCTCACCGCTCGCTCGAGCGTCAGGTGCTGCAAACAGGGACCAGGGGGCTTCCTCTTCGTTTGGCTGTCAGTGGAATGTCAGTGCCACCATTGCCGCTGCCTTCGCATTGCTTTTGGGCGGTTTGGCAGCGGCTCGAGCGCCGCGTCTGCCTATCGGGCGAATCCTCCAATCCCAAATTCACCTCCCTACAATACGCCACGGCCACACTAAAAGTCGGATGAGGCTCGTCAACACGAATATCACGCCGTCGCCTTCCATGACTTCGACGGCATCCGGTGCCGACTGCATCGCCATGGCCTCTTCTCGCTGCCTGTTCTGACAAACTCATCGCTGTCGTAACACTTTCCCCTCGGCCGCTACGGTCGCATGGCATATATGCATGTCTCAGGGCCAAAACTTCCAACGCCACGATAGAATCTAGGCCTCGCACGTGTTTGCGTTGACAATGCATAACGCAATTTTCAATAAATCGGAACGCGACCCCAGTTTTTCCCTCTGCGAAGCTCGGCCGAATACCACAGAGTGTGCTTCTTGGGGAGCAGGGCCATGACGGGCAGAGAAGTCTGATGTGCTGACGGGCCACGCTTCTGCGCCAGCCTCTAGTCTGCCCACATCACGGCCGCGCCGGAACGCCTGTCACCTCACTTAGTTTTGCTGGTAGGGCTGCGGTAGCTTGTTCTTCTGCACACTGGGGCCGTATGATGCTCTTTCTCACCTCATCCAACTACCCGACTCCTCCGTCCTGTAATCTTTACATTCAGTCAAGTCCACCAATCTACGATACCCCCGTTGGAGCTCCGAGGTGAAGTCCGAACCGTCTCTCGCATCATTGCAATTTAAGGATCAACATGTTCAAGTGGCACGTTTCGTGCCGTTGACGGCGTGTTTTAGAGACAGGTTCGACCGGATCTGTGGGTTTCCGCGGCCCCCGTCATCCCCCCACGATGTGAACCAAATCTCTCTAATCTTTAAGAGGGGTTCGTCTGGTCTTGCATGACGCTTGCAAGACACGCCTTTCCGCCCGTCTATGCGAACTTGACCACCACTGGCGTGGCTGTGCGCTTCCCCTTCAGCCGTGGGAATTCCGCTCCCTCAGTACTGTTGCAGTTCGCATCGCGATCAATACGGCCCACACGGCCTGAGTCGATGCCAGCACAATCTCTCGTCTGCCTGTACCCTCAGCTATCATGAAGATTGACTAAGGCCCAGGGTAAGACATTGTCGATTGGATCGATGAACGGGAGGACTGTTCCCAATCATGCTATTCCTGGATGCTGGGCACCCTCTCAGGCACTGACTAACATGCCTGTCCCCTTCATTTAGGCCCCGCCACATCCGCTCTGGAAGGGTCGTCCGCTCCAATTTTTCCCCGGGATCTCGTAAAACATTGTTCGACATCTCTTGGCGTTGTTATCCCTTCAAGTGGGCTCACCATCGACCGTTTCTGCACTGCGCTCAATTCGAAATACGAGCTTTGAAGCCACCTCTCAAAACGGCATCTCCTTGCTTTTTCGCTGATTATGTCCAACTTTGGACACAAGTGTCTCTAGAGCTCACCATTGTGGCGTGTCTCATTGGGATGTAAGCTCTGGTAGAGCTGTTGCCGGAACGCAACCTAGTGGCCGTCATCCTAGCGCTTATGAGCTTTCATAAGATTTACGAGCCCTGTCACTTCGATGCCACTACTACACGCCAATGCCTCAGGTCTTGGAGGTGGGCACGCTGACGGTGAGGCACATTTGACTCAGGGTACCTGGGCGGCAACCACCTCTTTGGTGACATCACGGACCCTAGGGGACTGTCATGAGGACGAGTGTGTAGGTCCACTGACGGGACACGTTTCGACGTGGGATTCGACTTAAAAGGATTGAATAAGCTCATCAAGATTCTCGTATGCAAGGACCCAAACGTCGGCATGTGAGGTTGCAGAGGCCCAGGTTGCATTGCTAATGCAGGCCTTGGGGGCTTTTCGTACAATTTTTCTTTCTTATTACTTCAAACCCGAGCAGTCTGTTTAGGCTCTGAGTCTTCGGCCGCGTGGGCCGCCGCCAACTACAATCCAGAGCGCTTCGTTGTTCGTGCACCAGTGGGTGTTTCGACGTCACCTTGCTTTTTCCAAAGGTCTTTGTTTCTCCTGCGCCATGTCACACTTTTGTGTTCACTTTAACGGCTGTTGGCAAATTTTGCTTCCGGCAGTTCGAACGACACCCACACCAGCTTCCCGGCCCCATGTCTCTCTAGACGACGGCGCCGGCTCCCGAGGTGGTGTGCACCGGGCCCACTCTGCCGGACCGGTGCCACCTTCCGTTTTCGGTTCCGCCAACTTTGATCTCAACGACTTCAACTTTTTGCGTCCCGCAGTCGGGGTACGTTATGTGGGGAGAGGTTGCTAGTGCTTCGCGGCTGTGCAGTTTAATTCAACCGTTCCTTCCAACGCATCTCTTTCTGGACGGTTTTTGAACCAGTGTGCGCAACCGCCGAAGTTGATCTCAAGCTTCACCTCTAGGCAGAGAACGCCTAAGTGCGCGCGGTTCACACGGTCGTCCACGATTTTCGCGTCTTATTCGAGCCTTGTGGAAAATTAAGTACCTTTGTTCTGAGAGCACTATCAGACAGGACACAGACATTCATCAAGCGACGAGTGTTATTCTAGCTCGTGCCCAGATGGGCTTCACAGCCGCCTTCTATTCTTCCAATACAAGGCTAAACGCTCACGGTAATCCACATCCATTCACTGAGCAATCCATCACAGCAGTCCCGAAATCAAGAGACCAGCAGCTTTAGCTGAGGATCTTGATGACCGAACCATCTGTTCTCTCGCATCCCGCTTCATGCTGCACAGATCCGCCCTTCGCCATCTCTGCCCTGCTTAATGCCAATCACCTTACTTAGAAGGAGGAAGGGGCATCGTGAGAGGCTTCGGGAGGCTGAGGCTTACTTCGGGGCTTGGGCCAGAAAGAAGCGGTCATTGTTGCGAATAGCCAGGCGTTCTTTACTAGATGTTCTGTTGATGACGGTGTGCTGTGCCAGGTTGCTTGATGAGGTCTACGTGATTTGTTGATTTTCGAAGGCACAGGAAGATTGCCAGAAGTGGCTGGCTACTGCATCAGTCTCGTCATTTCCACAGACATTCAATGAACCAAGGTTTCTTTGGCTGATTATGTAGGCAAATCAAAAATGTAGAGGCAAGTCAACGGTGTCACCTAAACCAGGGGAACAAGCACGTGTTTCCCTTTTCGAACATGTCGATGGTAACTATACTCTTCTATTGGCGCTTTATATTAGCACTCAAACGTTTTATGCCATCAGGAGTCTGTATTATTTGAAGTTTGCGTAATGCCGTGCACAAGGCGAATGCAAGTTCCACTCGATTATGAAGCAGGTTCGATGAATTTTTACGTTGTTCAACCAATAGCTGTTGTCAATTTAGTCTTTCTCCTTCTTGTTTTATTCACGTTTAAAGATGAACACAAACAAGGCGTGCTAGCAAAACATGGATCGAGTTCAAGGATTGAGTGCGTCAGTTTGGAGATAAAAACTACCATATCGTAACATTATCATAAACGTATAGTCTTGGGTTGGTCAAAGAGTGACACGCGATATATTCGCAACATTTGGAGACCCCAAACCTCCGGGGAAACAGACACGGCAATCACCAACATGAGACATCAGTCATCGATAATCTCATCCGAGGACGACGACGATCCGGACCAGATTGACGAGGCATCATCGTATGACGGAATGCCACCCGCGTCGGTGGTGAAGTCTGTGTCTGTGGCGTTCGTCCACAGAGCAACCCACTGCCCAAGGTTCTTACGGTCCTCCCCAAAGTCCTTCTCACGGGTCAAGGGGGGTCCGAAGTCGAGCTCGAAACCGAGCTCGTAACCATCGGTGCCGGGCGGCTCTATGGTAACGACTGGTGGCATAGGCAGTCGCGGCGCAGGCATTCCCATGCGTTGCTGAGGCTTAGGAGGGAAACATCCCCACGCCGTCGGTATACCTGGGGGCCCCGGAGGCCGACCACCTCTCCAGCCTGGTGGCGGAGGCACCGAGAAAGGCTCGGCCCAGGTGAGAGGTTGAGGTGCTCCAGGGGGCAGAGGCACGCCGCCGTTGATGCCGCCGTCGTTGAAGGCCGAGATGCGCATTTTCAAAATGGCGCCTGGCTTGATTGTTGTGAACCACGCCTCCGGTGTAACGACGGTGTCGTCCTCGGCGACAATCTCGAAGGCTCCGTCCCTGACAATAGGCCAAAGTCGGTTGACATCCTTGAAGCGCTGGTGGATGGACGTTCGCGCACCCTAGCAGATCAAAGCACGTTAGCCTACACAGTGAACGTTTGTCATCTGGTGGGGTGACACTTACCTGCACACTTCGGCACAACTCATACGGTATGTCATACTTGCGGCCAAGCATGTCCGTCATATGAACAGGCTCCAAGGCAGGCTCGACGGACATGAAGACAACAGCGACGTCGGGCTCCTTGGAGAGGTCGACAGTTATCAGCTGCCTCACCCTTCCATCCTTACTCTGGGCACGCAGGAGGGCATTCAGGACAGCAATGCGGAGCTGATTATCCTGAGTGAGGAACACGTCAGGAGAGGCACTGGAACCGCGCTTCAAGATGCGCTTCAACTCCAGGCGTAGCATCTTGGGCTCAAAGGCCATGAAAATTTCAGGGGATGGTCTGTTTTTCAAAATGGTCGCCTCCAATTCCAGGTCGTCAAGGCACGGTGTACTGTTGCGGCCGAACAGACCTTTAACCCATTTCCCCATGCTCTTGAAGACTTTAGCGGGGAATCGATGCTTTGGCGTTACCAACTTGATATCAACAGGGCCGCCATCAGGGGTCCCGTCCGAAGGTTGGTGCCAGAAGGTTGTTGGTACGGGGGTGGAGGAGGGGCAATGGGCTCTACGGCAGGAGGTACATTGGCCTTCTCGTCTGACTTATCGCCACAAATTGATGGCGCTTTTGAGTCGTGGGCCGTTTTTCCGGACTTCCAGGATGCTGTATCATCGTCAGAACTGCCACCACTCGAAGATGGCGCGCCAGAGGCAATGCTCTCGGTGTCGGATTTGTCGGCCAGTGCCAGTCTTTCCTTCCTCTCGATATCTTCGATGATTGCCTTGGTGGCTCTGACCTTGCTTGACAGCATCCGAACTGCCAGCGCCCTCAAGGCCAACTCATCGTCGAAACTTCCAGGAGCTCTGGGTCTGCATGATAATGTTAGCAACAGATATTGCAATGATTAAGAGGACTCACGTGTTCTGGAGGCGTGCAATGTTGGCTACTTGCAGGTGCAGCAGAAGACTGGATTTGAGCCAACGCAGTTGAATCTCGCTAGCCTCAAAGGCGCTTGAGACCAAGCTCCACTTCATGTTGGAACGGATGGCGATGAGTCTAGAAGCTTTCAGGTCGTCTGGGCCAAGCGCCTCGAAGTCAACGTCTTCGACAACCTTGGCAGCAAGACTTGCCCTGTAGACGGTGCGGATGATGGCGGTGTAAACTTTGCCGCATCTTGTTGCAAGGTCTTCGATGGCTTCACGGCCGGCATGCTTGTAGACAGGCAGTACCTCGCAAGCGTCAGCAGCGAGGAACCCTCGAAGATCATCAAGTGCCATCGCCGTTGCGAAGATATCCTCGGCCATATTGTAGATATCACTGCCCGAGTACGACGTGCCCATCTCGTAGGCTACCAGCTTCATAGCAAGCTGTTGGCCCAAGTTGGCGATGCCGGCCATGTCAAGAGAAGGGGCCATCTTGCGCAGGAGTCGTTGACTGTGACGAAATCGAAGACTGTATGATCGATACAGGTGGTGCTGAGGAGGGTCCGAATGTCCAGTGCTTTTGAAGCACGATTAAGAGCGGGGTATATATCCTGTCAGCATTGTATTCCACCTGGCAAGCCTCATTTTTTGCAACTCGTCTCATTGGATTGAACAGGCTGCAAACACTGACTTTCGTTGGCCAATTGAGATTAGAGCTAATGAGCCGCATGAGCTCAGTGTGACTAGACTCTCAAATTTGGTCTCCCCTCCGTAGTGGGCGAGCTGCGAGACATGAGATGGCCAATAACTAGAGGCAACCATTTCGAACTTGAGGGAGTCTGTCTGTACGTTATCGTCATGCAACTGCCAACCAGTCGATTGATACAATTGGACCAACAAATACGGCCCTGGTTCCAAACTCAGCACCAAGCATATCCGCGTGATACTGAGAAGAATGACTCGTCGTGTCAGACATGGAGGCTCTTCATTCGGCCGCCCCTAGGATCGTGAATCCGGTTGCCTCATCCGTGCGCAAGCCACCATATTGAGGCCATCGTCATGAGTTCATTTCTGCAGGGATGTGTTGGCGGCCTCGAGCCTGCCTGAGTAGCTGCAGGCTAATCGTCTCCAACCTGGACTGCAACGGTTGCTTTTCATTGATGAGCTAATTGGAAGACGGTGATGCAAGAAAGTACGATGCAGCGAGCATGGGTCTAGGCCAACGGCACCGGTCATGCCTGCACGTGATCTAGTTACAGCTTACAGGTCCGTCAGCGCGGGGCAACCCGCCCTCCTCCCCTCTGCCGTCTCGATTCCAACTTGGCCTTCGGAAAGGGGACGGCGAGTGCGACATACCGTGCATGCCGTACCCCACCCGCAACTGCTGCGGACCGGCCTAGACAGATGAGGCGAGCAAGGCAGAAAGCCAGGCGGACTTTTCTGTTGGCCATGAACGTCCAAGTCGCTTTTCGACTGCATGCCGCAACTATCAAGCCTGCCTCGATCCGGCTTCGTTTCCCCTGCCCACCCATCCAGTGACCCAGGCTACTGTGCTGCTTTCACATTGAGATCTTGAAACCTTTGCGCAACCGGGCCTTGAACACTGCCGCTGGATTGTACTTTCTCCGCTGCCTCGCGCATCTTCCTCGGCATGACTACCTAGCGGATCCTGCGAACCATCGCAGAGGTTCAAGTGCCGAAACTCGACGTTGCCAGCCAAGGGACTAAGCGCACGTCTTAATGTCATTGGCAGCGCCCTTGAGTGTTGGGCACGCGACGACTGCCCTCAACTCGGGTGTGTCCACCTCGACCGCCAAGATAAGCAGCACGCAGCCGTCTTTGATGCGCTCCAATCCAAGCATATTTTCACCACGTACCGCCGAGTGTCGGCCGGAAGAGATTGGGAGTGGCCCAAGGACCATTAAGTAGAAGTCGCTGTCCGAAATGTGCCATTTCAGCATTTCTACCAATGCCTCGAGTACGTCTGCCGCTTTGGGACGACGCGAAAATCTTTTTGAAGGCAGGAGTAAACCAAATATCCCTAGATCACGGGTCAGCCAGCCACAAGCGGGAGAGATATACTCGAAGACGTGCCCACTCTTTACCAGACGGCAAAGCGAACATCGACAGATCAGTTGCAGCTGTGGTCATCTACGTTTCCCTTTGGCCGGGTGTAGCTTGGAACCTTGCTAGAGACTTGGCCTCTTGCTCACCATCCACGCTGGTCATCAACATTATGACCAAGTGATCTCTGGTCTTTTGTATTAAGACCATTCGAGAGTGAGGCTCGGAAGAATGGTGGGAGATGTGTGGCAAGTCCAACAGCAGTACAACGCATGTTAACAACTCCAACAATACATAGTGCTTACACTTGTCGTCTGCAATGCTAAGCGCATGACTGCTGGTCACCCCAATGGAACAGTTTCAATTTATAGTGCATTTCGATGGTTTTCCCTAGTTTACGATAAGTAAATACCTCAGGGCCTTCTGTCCTAAAGAATGGATGTCTCTATTGTAATCATTTGACTGCCTCAGCCCCCAGCTCTAGAGAAAGCGTTCTGGAAGGACGATATGTCATTCAGAGTCTGGCCTGGAACGAAAGATTCGCCCGTCCAGCAACCGCTGGGCCAGCCTTCGGCATCTGCACGCTCTTCCTCAGCCCAAGTAGGCCAAAAATTTGGATCCGTGGCACTGCTGATATCTCGCTGCCATATCAGCGTTGGGTTATCGAGAAGCCGGGCTTTATGCTTTTGCGCGAGCTCATCCAGAGCCACCGCGAGCTGGCCCAATCCCAGTGAGATCCAATGAAGCTCTCTATTCTCTGGGGTATCTTGAGGAACCTGTGAGCTTAATTCGTAAATAGGGGTCATGATTTTCTGAAGGGATGGTGTCCATCTGTAATGAAAGCTCGACTCAGTCCAATTTGTCACAGCATGCCTACAGAAAAGAAATCGGGAAAGGAATGGAACCCAAACAGGTAAATCGGATTGGCTTATATCTGGACTAGAGGCTGGGTTCTGAGACTGCAACTCGTTGTATCGTGTTTGCATGAGCGGTGCTTGGGGTTTGGGACTCCTGTAGCGAATATGGAAGCTAGCACATGTGTGTTGGACCCAACATAATGTAGCGTAACGAAGCAGAGGAAATTTCGAATCCACGTCTTGCCCCTCTTTTTGTCGAATTTGCTTTCGACCCTGGCCGGTTCTATCTTTGTTGCCTGATGGCTCGCCCATCAGTGGTGGAGCAGGAGATGAAGGATGTCCGGGTGTCATTGCAGGTTGAAAGGAAAGCCCAAACCTATTTTGAGGTTGCGTCAAGACCTCGGAAGTTGGCTCTCCCCGTAGCCTATCAGTGTCCATGTACGAATGGTATCCGGGGTCCGCCTGTAGGTGATTGTGGTGAGCAGCGTTTCTGAGGGCCCGAGGATCCGTTGTCACTGGCGATCCTGTGTTCCACGGCTGCGACGTAGCCGTGTCTTGTGGCCGCCCTAACTGCCCCGATTCGTTATACCAAGGAACGTCATGTTGATCTGCTCGGTCCAGATGACTCAGATACTCCATTTTGAAGGCGCTTGGTGTTTGTCCTGCGGGGGACTGTTGAAATAAAGTCCCAGTTGTATTGTAACCTTGCTGGCTGTGTGTTAACTTTCGCAAATCCATCATAGACTTTCTTTCCTCCCCAGCCAGCTTCTGATGCACATCTTCCTGTAGCTTGCGAATGGGCTTTTTGGGAATGTCATGAGTGAGATATGACAAGCAGACGCTAGCAAGCTTGCCGTGGATGGCCCTGGTATTTGCCAATGAAAAATAGTTTGGAACCTGGCATCGTGATGATGTGAGAAGTTCTCTCACCGAAAGGTGGATGAAAGCTGGCCGGCCGAACGGATCTATTTCCACGAGCGCCCCCGTCACATGGGGAAGACATCCAGGAAAGTCGACTAGATAGTCCAGGTCTGTAGTCTCATCACCAGGAGTGATAGCGAGTGCGGTGTGCAGGGCCTCTGTGGCGAGAGGATAGAGCGCCGCTCCGATCCAACTGAAGATCTTCATAGCCATTTCTTTGGCTTGGTGGCTAGCTTCATTCAAACGGTGAATAATCGCGATAATCAAGCCATCCAAACCGTCGAATTTCTGCGTGTCGGCGAGAAAATGATGCCGATTCTTTGGCGTTAGGGCGGGATTGCGAAGATAGGATACGAGCAACTGAGCCCAAAGGAACATGCCATTCGCTTGTCGGGCCGCCTGAATAGCAGCGTCCCCTGGGATGGCACGGTTTCCAAATTGCCTTTCAACGACTAGCGTCTCGAACTCCGAGACCATGAGCCCCAGAATATCTTGGAAGTTGTCCTCTGTGCTCAGCCTTAAGAACGTGGATGACTTCAAGTATTTTCGTGGGAGTGGAAGGTCCGGCCGTCCAAGAAGTAGTAGCCGGCAGTCGCTGTCGTTGGCTAGCTGGAACAGAGTGGTGAGCAGAGTTTCGTGATCAGTGCATTCGTCGACTCCGTCTACCACGATATATACGGGACAGGCTTGGGTTATCAAGATTAACGCTTCAAGGGTGTCTTCAAATGACGCCTCTAGCTGGCCCGTCCCTGCACTGCTTTGTAGCACAGCTAATGAATCGAGAATCCAGGTGGCGTCCTTTAGACGGCTTGTTAACTGCGTGGCGATCGCTTGAAGACAAGCTGATGCTTTGCAGTTGTTCATAACATTCGACGCTCGGTTGAAATGGAAGAATGCGATGATCGGCAATTTGATGCTCTCGTCATCAATCAATAAAGCAGACGGTAATGTCTCTTGCAAGTCGTCAATGATCGTACTGGAGAGATAGGTTTTGCCGTATCCTGGTTTCGCTTTGAGGGGTCAGTCAATGTTCAGACCCGAGATGCGGAATGAAATAAATTAGGTAGCTGTACCTTGAACAATCTGGATTTTGGGCACTTTCTGGTCGTCGACCACCAGAGTTCCATTTTCGAATCGAGCATCTCTCCAGAGTGTATACTTCCTGAGACTCAAGAACCACTCCCCAGACTTTTCACGTCTCCTTCTCCTTGCGCTCTCATAGATTGTGCGGTAGTCTGATACGCCCATCCACTTCTTCAGAGTGGACATCAGCCGCTCTGTCATGAAGTCTAATCAGCACAGAGCTCCCAACATGTATCTGTATCGAGATGATCAAACCTTTGGACTTTGCCAACAAATGAGTTGTAGCAAGGTCAGATAAAGCATCTACCTTTGTGAAAGACTGGGCGAGCGTTGTCTGAAGTGCATCGTAATAGATGTCGAGTCTCGATTGTACGACATTCATCATCTTGCTATCAAGGAGTGACATTTCCTGCCGGAAAATTACATCGTGTCTTTTCAATCGATTAAGGAGTTGTCCAAATCTGTCATCAAAGGGTGACCAAAGTACATGACCAACGAATGCTACCCGTCGCTTCCATGAACCTGTGATTAGAGTCAGAGAACTCCCGTATTGTCTTTGATAGGGGC